ACAATCTGGAACATCTAGTGAGGCTTCTGATTCCAGTCCGACCTCCTCCTGAGGCTGCAGGGATTGTCTCGTGTGATGAGCAGCGTCTGGGCCACAGAGTGGGCGCAGCTCCTCTCTGCCTTGTTTCCGAGCTCTTCTCAGGCCCACCTCCAGCTTTAAAAGGCAACTTTCTAAAGAGCAAACAGAATGGCAACATTTGGTTGATCTTTCATGGAGTCCCTTCTGGAGGACTGAAGGATCCGCTCAGCTGTCTGTTTATCACATCGGCAGAAATGCTTTTGTTTATGACAGATGGCAGTTCCAGGGAAAAGATCTTTCAGGAGAATCATCTTCCATTGGGGAAAAGCACACAGAACTTGAATTTCCCCTAATAAGCATGGGAAAGCAGAAAAATTCTGTGAATGAAAAGGTTGCATTGCTCTGGTTTTGTAAGTAGATGCTGACGATTCACCATCTAGAAGCAACAAGCTTTCTGCTGATTCATTTACTCCCCCGTGCATTCATTCAATCAAGAAATGCTTATTGGAAACCAACTAAACTTCAGGAGTAAGGAGAACTTTTATTATGATACAATGATAGAAAATAGACAAAAGCACGGAAGACCTATTTTATTGTGCTAAGGTCATAGAAAGGGCACTGTGTTAGTGACAGTTGACGTCAGGGTCTAACTTAGTGTGGATGACAAAGTCTTCTCTACAGATGTGGCATTTGAGCTGAGACACAAAATGAAAAAGAATGAGAATGACCCACTCCCCTGAAGAGTTAAGAATGGCATCTCCCAGATGCAGAAGAAGGACGAAGTGCCTAAGAAATCACCTTGGTAGAGAATGCAAGTAAGAGAGGGGAGTCATTGGTGAGGTTAGAGAGGCGGGCAGGAGCCAGGTCACTTAGGGTGAGGAGTCCCGTTTTTGATAAAAATCAAACACCCCAAAGGACTTAATCCAGCAGTCCCACCTCTGCCTTCTGAGTGGAAAAGTTTCACTTACTTGAAAGGAAAAGAAAGCAAAAGGAGAAGATGAGGCGACCGACAGGCATTCGGGCTTGGCGCTGGCCGGCTTTAGAGATGAGAACACACAGGTCGGATATATGGAAGTGGGAAGAAGCGAAGACCTTGCTGATCAGTTGGATGTGAAAAGAATTTCAGGCTTCCTGATTTCAGGCACCTTGTCGGGTTACAATCGATTTAACCAAAGCACAGAAAGTATCAGAGGCGGGGCGGCCCCACGGACTCTGAGCCACGTGGGATCCCCTGTCCTGCTTTCTGAGCTCTCCCGGAGGTAAATCCGAGGTTACGTTTTGTTTCACTGAAACAGCCATCCCATTTTTCTTACATGAAAGAAAGAAAGAAAAGATGTTTTATTTGAAAGAGGTTGATTTTGCTCAGAAGCTGTACATTTATGAATATGATAAATAGGGAGAAAGCAAAGCCAATCTGTCTGGTCTGGTGCCGAGTGCCCCGTTCTATTTTCCCAGAGTCAAACAGAATCAGCTGTGTGCTCACCTGGGTGCATAACAATGCATATGTGTGTGTGTGTGTGTGTGTGTGTGTGTGTGTGTGTGTGTGTGGTCCTGAAGCATCCTTCCCAGGCACAGCTGCCCTTTCCCCTGCCCCAGAGGCAGCTGCCCCCCCTTAATCCTGCACCAAGTAAGGCTGCAGTTATGACAAGATCATTAGTCTTGGGACAGTGAAGGGAAAATTTACTAATATAAGTTGTCACCTGGAGTAATCTGAGTTTGCACTCAGAGCAAACTTTTAGCACCAACAGATCTTTGCCCGCACAAAACACATTTCTTAGATACATGTCTTTGTACTTTTAATCGCCTTTCCATAATAAAGCTGTGATCTCCGTCCAGAGAGAGGGAGGCCCCGAAAGCCATTTGAATTCATCTTGTGTTGCTGCTCTAACAAATCAGCGTAAACTTGGTAGCTTAAAACAACACCAGTTCATCAGCTTGCAGCTCTGGAGGTGAGAAGCCTAAATTCGGTCTCAAGTGGCCAAAAGTCAAGGTGTTGGCAGAGTTGTGGTCCTTCTGGAGCCTCCAAGGGGAAACCCCGTTCCAGGCCTTGGTCAGCTGCCCGAGGCCACACATACCCGCTGGCCGGTGCCCTTCCTGGCACCACGCTAACCTCCTGCTTCTGGGGTCACATCTGTTACTGACGCTGACCCTCCTGTCTCCCTCTTACGAGGATCCTCGTGGTCCCACCGGGCCTCCTGGGATAATGGAGGGCAATCTCCTCCATCACAAGAAAGTTGCCTCCACCCCCCCCAGCAAAGCCCCTCCTGCCCTGTAAGGTCACACATCCATGGGTTCTGAGCATTAGGACGAGGCCGTCTTTGGAGTGGAGTGGGAAGTCAGTGATCAGCCGGCCATGGCCTCTGTGGTCACCGTCTACATCCTGGTCCCTGAAATGTGCCAGAACCCCTACAGGGTAGAGAGAGACACCTGGAAGCTTCAGCCTTAGAAAATGCCTTATCAATAGTAGGTAAAAATTAATAAATAAGCACACTAAAAAGATGCTATCCAATTAGTAATATCTCATTGCTGACATGCACTTAATTTTGGCAGGCTTGGGTGCTATAAGTTTTAGTGTGTTTTTTTACTCCTTAAAAATGTCCATAGGGAAATATTACTTTAAAATTCAGAAAAGAAAATGAAAAATTCAGAAGGTAGCAGTAACGATCGTCTGTGAGGCCATGATAAACAGAATATTACATGTCGTGGCGATGAGAACAAACATCTCTTCGACAGCACGATGCTTCGAAGTTTCACTATGAACTATGCTGGTGCTAAAGACAAAATTCACAACAGCAAGGCTGCTCTGGGATTTAAATTGTCTTTAGATTAATTCAGAGGCACCTTTAGGGCATTGGAGCACTTCTTCATTCTGCAAGCTTATAATTAAGAATTAAGAATAGTAAAGTGAGAGTATTTTAAAAACTCACTGGAAATACAACAAAAAAACTTCTTATCTTGCATTGCCCATTTGGCAATGAATTTGGAAAACATGTTTGTATTCCTCGGCTCCTCTCGTCCATCATTAGTGTGAAAATCCGCGGTGAGTCTCTCCACGCTGCCTGTCGGCCATCTCTGCAGCCCCAAGGGCCGGCGTGGGGGTGTGGCCTTGTGGGCGCCGCCGAGACAAAAGGGCACCGTAATTAAGTCTGTGTGTTCCAGGAGGGTCACTCTGACTCCCGGTTGAAGCTGGGTGAGAGGGAGGATGAAAACCAGACACCAGGACAGACAGTGTCATGTGAGTGTGTGACAGTGACCCGGAACAGTAACAGTAAGAACAGTGGCTGGCCTGCGAAGTGCCCTCTTCCAGAATCAGTGACCCAGGTGGTTACTTCCTATTTCAGAGGATGCGGTCAAAATCTACGCCGATGTCTAGGATGGCTGGGGGCCTCGCTACCTGTGTGTGGATAGAGTGTCGAGAGTCGGCAAGTCCCACCCTGTGTCTCCCATGTCGAGTTTAAGGCCTAAGGCTGGAGCCCCGAGCCTGGATTTGACTCTCGAACCCCGAACCCCACGCCGGGGTGCACTCTCCTTCTGTCAGAGTCTCATGCTCCATCTCAGTAAACCTTTCACATCGGGTGAAGTCTGAGTGCCTGACGACCGGGGGTGGCCGTCGCAAAGCTAGAAGAATAGGCCGAGTGACTGTTTTTGTACACTTGCTAACCAGTATCAGTGTACTTGGCGGAGTTGGGTCTAACAGTTGGTTTCTCTGGCACATGCTGTCTCGTGGGCAGCTAGCAGGGACAGGGGACACATAGTGGCCTAACTTCCTCTACCCACAAAACACTATTTACCACAACAACCTGACATTTACTGAGAGGTCGGATCGGCTCAGATCCACTCTCATCCATCAATGAATTATCTCATTTTTAATTAAAATTTGTATTCTGTGTGCTTATGTTTCAGGTTAAATCTTTCTGCCTGTACTCAAATATGGCATTGCTCTGAAGGGTCCGTTTTGGCTGTCTTTACTAGGTTCTAGAAACACAACGGAGTCAGGGTATGAGCAGCACAATGGATCACGGGTGCTTTTTAGTCTGATGTCTGTATTGTGATGTGTTTTATAAATTTTCTTTAAGACACTCATAAAATAGTATTAAAATTCTCAAACACTTAAAATTCTGTTAAATAACTATTGTTGGTCATTTGAATATGAACTCAACCAAAAACTTCTGTTAGTTAAAAGAAAGATTTTCAGCATTTAAGCACATAATAAAATATTTAACAGAAATTTTATATCACTTGATTCATTGACAGAAAGATAACTACTCTTTTAGGCCTACAATAGCATCTTTTTAAAATTTGACATTTATTTTAAAGTTTGTGAATCAGCTAAATTTAGATTCATCTATTTTTAAAACAAATATCGGAATTATATGAAATACAGTAACATTTTCAATAAGTTCTTCTCTAACAATTCTCACTTATAAAATTACCAATTACATTTTAAAAGTTTCTTTCCCATCTCTTACATTCAGTAATAAAATATGGCAGTTACACACCTCAAAATCAATGGTAATAATTATTCTTGGATGAACTGGATAATGGGTAAGACAGTTAATTCCATTCCTTTGTCTGTGGTAGTTTTGAAGAGAGGAGGGAAGAGAGGAAGGGAGGGAGAAAGGAAGGGAGCGAAACATGGACGCGTGGTTGCCTCTCTCGTGCCCCCTACTGGGGACCTGACCTGCAACCCAGGCATGTGTCTGGATTAGGAATCCACACCAGCCAGGGCTGAACATTCTTGATAGTTTGCATCTTATGTCCTCTGCAATGATGACTTGGAGTAAGTTTAAAAGGAACTCTTGAACTGAAATTCATCCCCAAATAACACTTCTGTGTACAAGTCTGCTCTGGATTCTAACAGGGACTGCGCTCTTTTCCTTAAATAAACAGTTCAATGCTTAATTTGAAGTATGACTTCCAAAATCTTTATTTCTTTTCTCTCAGATTATGTGGCTCTCGAGAAGAAAAATCTGCCCATCAGGCACCTCTTTCCGGAGTCAACATCTGAACCCACTTTCTGAAGGTTTTTTTTTTAATTTCCAAGGAGGCGATTTTGGCTTCGTGGCATAAAGGTGGAACTGGGGCGGCGTTTCCAGCCGGTCCTGCGTTGCCCAGGCCGGGCAGACGTCTCCAGGTGAGCTTGGTGGCAGCCGGATGAAGATAGAAAACATCTGCCCCTCTCTGGTGTCCCACCACGCCTAAATCTGCCTTCCTAGCGGGTCTGAATTATAATTTTGTTACAGGGAGCACAAGCTGGGATTGGGATCCAGTAAAATTTGAAAACAGGAGGGCTAAAATAGGAGGTAGCGTAAGGACTGAGAGGAGAATGACACTTGAAGGCTTCACGTAATTTCTGTTTCAACTCTGTGGAGTATGGAGTTGGCATTCGATTCATGGAACACCAGCGCCCTCTCGTGGTCAGGCTTGGCAGTTATCACGATTTTGCGTCACCCTCTGAAGTCTTGCACCTACCTCCCTTTTCCCCAGAGTTTTTTTCCCCCCGCCAGCATTATTTCACTTTTGTCCCCCAAGTCCCTAGCTCGTTGGCCAGCTTATTCAACACTGTCCACCAGTCAGGAAAAATTCGTACCTCAGGCCTTTTCTCTGACCACATGAAAGGACAAGCCAAATAAAATGATCAGTTTTGCCTCTAAGAGACTTTCTATGTCGAAGTCACAGAGTAGTACAATTTTGGCCCCATTAAATCTGCTTTTGCTCCTGTGGGACCTGTGGCTGGAGAATGCTCAAGCTGGTCCCTGCAAGCCAGTGAGGGACCCTCTACAGAGGAACTTGGTCCTGACATGTCCAAGTGATTGTATCCAAATCCACCTGTGCGTGTGTGTGTGTGTGTGTGCGCGTGTGTGTGTGTGTGTACAGAGTGGGACCATATTTTTTCAGTTATCACAAGCCCTCAGTATTCAACAAAAAAGCTTTTAAATATTGCTACATGATCTCAACAATATTCTGAGCGATGGAGATAGAGGGTTCTGTTCACATGCCCAGGTGGGCAGGTGTGGGGGCGGTGAGAGACCAGGGGGGCTGGGGGTGGCAAACAGGTGGGGAGAGCTGCCGCAACTTAGGGGGCACCATTTACAAAGACGTGGTAAAGAGCAGCTCTGCACCACAGGACTCAGCAAGGCGGCAAGGGGCCGCCGGGATGGCACAGTGTTATGCAGGGAAGCCCTCCCCCTGCAGCCCTGCAGGTGTTGGAGGAGGTCGCTTTGGTCCACACCATCCACTGTGAGCCCGCTGTTGGGGGCTCTCAATGGTTAGTCAGCAAAGGGCAGTGATGTCCCAAAGCTGGGGGTCCTGGAGCCCAGGGTTTGAAGGAGAAGCGGCTGCCTCGGGACTAGACGCCCACAAAAGTCATGCTTGAAAAGTAAAGCAACTTGGAATGGAAGCCGTGAAGTTGGTGACACATTTACGGATGTTATGCACACTCGAATTTGTTTAAGTCCCTTATAAATTAGGTGCATCCCGACCAGATGCCATGGCATACACGTAGCAAAAAGAGGTTGAAAGTGCCATCTTGTGGGGGAATGGAGAATTGAGTTGAAAATATTTACAAAGGAATGTTTCTTTCTCTCTCGGAAAAATCAGCATTCTATTCCTTTGTAATGGGGGAGATAGTACCTTATCTTACATGGTGTAACCAGGGGTAAGAGGCATAACAAGAAGCAAAGCTGAGAGTACGGCAGCCAGCAACAATGGGTGTGTGGTAAGGGGTTGATGTTGCGATATTCTTGTTAATCAAAACAACTCGACTACTATTATTGACAATACTAATCACTGATGGCTGGGCCTCCTCAATTTTAGGTCTATAATATCCTTGTAACAAGCTGTTTGCTTAATTCTGAAATGTCCATATTAACTTTTATTGCATAGAATTAAGTGATAATGATATAAAACGACCATCTTTAGGGCCACGCCCTCCACGGAATTGCCTCATTAGAAGTTGCTCATGAAACTCCTATTCATTCCAACATACACGACTTCCAGACCCTGTATTAGAAGCTGTCATCCTTTGGTGCCTCTACTCTATTCTTCCCAGGCCTATCTAGCTGTATTTTTAATCTTCAAAAATGTCCCTTACGCTATTTCTTTGTCTCGGCAGAAGAGTGATCACACACCAAGTGGCTGAAAACAAGCTGTGATCACCATGGCACAGGAACTTTTGAAAAGGACTGTTTGTTTTCTTTTGGTATATTCTTGCAAACACCAAGCCTCTTCCATTTGTTACTGCAGTGGATTGTCCCCTGGGGAGGCAAATGGGGACCCTGTGTCTTCTTTAGGGAAATCAAAGCCCTCTTCCAGGGACCGTCTGGGCTTGCCCTTCACAGAGCCAAACGGCCCCTGGGGACGCATTCACGCCGCTTGAGTGTTTTCCAAAACCCAGTCCACATGCTCGACCACGTTGGTATAGACACCGGGGCGCCCTCTCTGGGCACAGCCGTCGCCCCAACTTGTGACGCCCACCAGATACCAGACCTCATTGTGTTTGCAGGACAGGGGGCCTCCCGAGTCTCCCTGTGACAAGGGGGAGGAAAGAGGGGGCACGGAGGTCAGTTCAGACCCTTCTCAAGTTTTACACTTAGTTCGCTCACAGTGATCGCACCTCAGATGCCGCCGGGACCCTTTGGTAGACTTCAGTGTGAGCGTAACGAATATAGCATAACCCCCGCGTTTCCAAATGTGTTCCACGTTGGAACTGGAAAGGATTCCGTGGGTGGAGAACGGGGTTACCTTACAAGCGTCCTTCCCTCCGTCCTGGTGGCCTGCACAGATCATCTTGTTGGTTATTCTGTGTCCGCTGTAGTGTGCCTGGCACTCGCTACGTGTCACCAAGGGGATCTTGACTTTCTGGAGAGTATTTTGTATTTTGTCTGTAAAAAGGGTTTTTTTGGTTAACTAATGGAATAACTATATATTTAAATAGAAGTAGATGTCTTTAAAATTAAAATTCCACCTTTATAAAAAATCTAGAAAGGAAAAAAATGCTGGGTTTACCATGTGGGCCTTTTATAATTACAGAGTGTAAAAAAGACATTCTTCTCACTGCTGTACCATCTTGTTAATGCTAATTAAGTTAGAAAATTAATGAAGGCTCTAACTGAAATGACTACCAGGGGAAAACAATGGGATAAGAGGCTCGAACCTTTACTGAAAAGTGCTAGGTTTCACATTAAACTTCGTCGAGAAGAATCAGTCTCTACAAAGACTGTCACAGTTCACATTTCCAGTCAAACGGACGGGGCACCGCCCTCGCTGGGGGATGCTGCCCCCCCATCTTTATCAGTTTGCTTTCTGTAACAAATAATGTTGTTTTACTTGTATTTTGGCCGTGCGGCCTGAGACAGCAGAAAAGGTCAGGGTTGACTTGTGCTCGTTAAAACGGGTCACGCGGAGAAACATCATTTTTTTTTTACCTCTGAATTTCCGGTAGCCCCACCCAGTCGCCCAGCAATCCGTGTACAGGACGTCCCTGTCTGCTTTGGAAGGCAGGCATATGGGCCGTTGAAAATCTAAATTTTAAAAATCACAATGTAGTTATCCGATATGAAATGTATGTGCTCTCCCCAGACACCTTTGTTTCTGTTTGCACCATTGAGTGTGCTCTCTATTCATTTTTGCTCAGTTGTCCCACCTTTTCACCCCTCCTGTTCACACAGTACAGGATGAGGGAAGGAGAGACAAGCCACAGTCCCCTCCACCTGCCGGGCCCCGCACTGTTCATCACCCTAATGGGTCTGTGACCCTGGGCAAGTAGCGTTAGTGCTCCGACCTGCAACCCTCTGTCCCTACGAGGAAGCTACAAATCACCTTCAACATACCAGCTGCTGGATTGTTAAAACTCACCCTGGGCATCTGAAGAAGCCTAGAGAAAACGCATCTTTTCACCCAAATACGATTCCACAATCAGGAAAGAGTGTCGGTCTTAACAGGCTGGCAGTCTGGCTTTGCAGGTCCCCTCCCTGTCATAATAGCAGCGCGAGGAGAGACTGCCAGGCTCAGCCTATGGATCTGCAGGTGCCAACTACAATTCTCAGGTCACCCTGGTAGATGACTGGCCCTTTAAAACTCTACATACCCGTGTAGTTCATTGCTGCTTGCAGTTTCAACAAGGCAATGTCATATCCACTCTCTGCTGTTTCATACTGATCATGGATTATTATTTCTTGGACCGCAAAGAAAGAGGTGTCCTCTTCTATTTCCAACTGATTTAAAATGCCACTGTAGACTCGCAGCATTTTAGGTGACTCTATCCTACGGAGCAAAGGGTAGAGGAGAAAAATGTCCTGTATCAGGTAACTCCCAAACACTTGAGTCATTTTGCTATTTAACTGGCTGCTATTAACTATCTAACTTTTTTTTTGCCCATGATGGGCTTTTAAAGAAGTGATGAGCTATGGAAAAAAGTGATTTCATGCTAAGATTTTTCAGTCACGTGTTTATCATGACTCATTTATCAATAATTTACCATGACGTTCCAGTCACCCTATCTAGAAGGCCCTGGGCAAGCATGTATCTTATATTAAACATGCAAAAGTGAATGAATTTTCTTTCCACCTATCAACACACACACGTGCACACTCACCCCACAAAGAGTTTTGGGTTTTGGTCTCAACCCTGCCATTGATTAGCGGGGACCCCGAGAAACTCACTTGGACTTTCCAGTACTCCATTTCTCCATACGTAAAAGCTGAAGGAGACTATAGGCCTCAGCTGTGTGTTCGAGTTAAAAAACGTGAGTACCGATACAAAAAAACAGACAAACGAGAGCCCAAAACCATGTCTGGAAACCATCCAGAGGACACTGACGTGCAAGGGAGTTTGGCCAACTGAAATTCCCTGCATACACGGACTCTCCCGAGGGAGATTTTACATTTGGCTATTAGGGAAATTGACCCAAGTAGGGAATGCAATTTGATAAACCCTTCCTTTTGCATCTAGAAATGAGAGAGAGAGAAAAGGAGAGAGAGGGAAAGAGAAATTGAGTTTAGTCCTGGACCCAGTTCCAGGACAACGCACCAAAGGTGGCATGTTCTTATGGGAAATTACAAATTACAGAAACGTCCCAGGGGACGTGTGCACACCCCGCAGGAATTTGGGACAGTCTGCAGTCAAATGGCGGGGGGGGGTGGGGGGGGTGGAGGGCGAGGAAGAGAGGAATAGGTGAAACAAAGGAGTTTTAGGGCAATGACGTGTTCTGTGTGATATTGTAATGAGAAATGCATGTCCTCATACACTTGTTCAAACCCAGGGCATGTACGACCCCAAACGTGAGTCGGAATGTCAACTACGGTGGCCATAATGCAGGAGTGGCGAACTCCAGGCCCACAGGCCGAATCCAGCCTCCTGGTTTCATCTGGTCCGGCACCTCGTGTCTACCCGGCAGCAGCGCTGAGCTCCTTGCCCCTGGTTAAGGAGTAGCTACATTATACCGTCCATTACATTCGGCCCTTTGAAGGCAACCACGAGGCTGATATGGCCCCCGGTGGAAATGAGTTTGACACCCCTGCTATAATGCATCAATGGAGGTTGATCGATTATAACAAATGTGCTCCTCTGGTGGGCGATGTTGATAAGGGGAAGGCTACGTGGGTACGTGGGGGTAGACAGCCAATGGGAAGTCTCTGTACCTTCCCCTCAGTTTTGCCGTGAATCTGAAATGACTCTAAGTAAATAAAGTCTTGAGGATAATTTTTTTAAAGTTTCTTTAGCTTAAAATCCTTCAAAACTGTTCTAACTCGGAAAACTAAAGTGATTATGTCAAACTTAAATTTCAGTAGAAACTCTAGGAGACATCATGAAATTCTCCACACGAAGAAGGCAAAACGTCACTGGGCCCGCTTCCTCAGCGAACATGAACGGTGTCCTAAGTGAGGCCCATCATATCTCACCGTCGTACTTGAGGGTTAGGTCACCTCATTTGGGAAACAGGAGTTTACCCAGTTGGGAAAGTGCGCAGGGCTTCAGGGAGAATCCAGACACCACGTCCTTCAGCTTCGCTATCCTGGTTGGTGTCCCCGTGTGGGTGTGCTTCAGTAGACACACGTTACTGAGCAAAAGCAAAAATGGAAAAACGTTTTGTCCTTCCCCACGCAGGTAAGAGAACCCACCGATGATAAGAAATTCCCGCTTAGAGACCGCCTGAGCTGTATCCGCGAGGGGGTCTCCAGAGAGCATCCATCTGTGGTCTGGGCAGCTGGGCCCAAGTTCCCACCCCACCGAGACCCGGCGGTGGTCCTGTGAATTTTGCCAACTCCGATTTTTGTCAGTAAATTGCCATGGGCAGGAGAGATGTAAGAATGAAGGACTTCTCAGGCCCTTCTCAACTTCAGCATTTTAGCTTTTTAAAAAATGCCCATGACTCCCAATATCCTGGCTTAGTCACATTGTGTCAAGTGTTGGGGGTAAAATATGTAAAAATATGTAGTTCGAGGTGAACTAGAGACAAAAAGGGCTTGAAAATTAAGCATGAAAGTTTAATGATTAATTTGGGGGGTTGTTTTATCATTGTTGTTTTTGAAATAAACCTTGGATACTTCAGTTGTTTTCTATTCACCATCTGAATGTTCAAATCCAAATGCAAGTCATTTGAACATATTTCTGTTTTCACTGAATTCCAGATAACTGTCGTTTACTACACAGATTTAGAACATCTAAATTATTTCTGAAGATAAGAGTTATGGCCCTGGTCTGTGTGCTCAGCGGATGGCGTGCTGGTCTGTGAACCGAAAGCTTGCTGGTAGGCACATGCCTGAGTTGGGGGCCAGGTCCCCGGTTGGGGGTTGAGGGCATGAGAGACGCAAATGATTAATGTATCTCTCATACATCGATGTCTTCTCTCTCTCCCTTTCTCCCTCCCCTCCCCTCTCTCTAAAAATAAATAAATAAAATATAAACAATTATTTAAAAGTTATATTTTCCCCTAAATTTGTTTAAAAGAGAATGCAGATTAATCTTTAGAGATCAGAGCACCTTATATTCTTATACAACAGACTTATCCCTGGAATATTTCGAAATCCAGTATGGGGCAGGTTAAAACATTTCACATGGGCCTGGCTATGTTGTCATAGGTAGGAAACTGTTATTTGCAGAAAGTGGGTTTTTATTTTGTTGTGTTTTTGTTATTGTATACGGTCAGACTGCAGCATCCTTCAAGCTGGAAATGGAATAGCCAGGCGACCAATTTTAACTGTTTCAAAGTCGCCAATTTAAAAATGCAGCATTTTCCATGAAGAACTGTCTCTTAAAAGTAAAACATAAAACTGTGGCATTGAGTTGGGGGAAGGGACTTCCGGGAGGCCCCATTTTCGTCCCTTCGGGTCACCCGACTCCCCCAAGCTCGCTCACCGATGCTCCGGACTGTGAAACAACCTCGTGGCGTAGGTGAAGAAGTGGCAGTGTATGTCGTTGGTGCACTGCTCCTGGCACTCATGAGCGCCCCGGGCCACGGAGCTGTTGTAGTTCAGGCCCTTCATGTCCAGGTCCTCGTAAACTTTTTTGTTGCAAGCTGTAAAGAAAGCAGAAAATAGGGTTATCTTCCAGACGTCAGGGGCCCTTAGCAACCATCTTCCAGGTTTCCTCTTTCAATGCACTCCCCCACTTGCCTCAGAAGTCCTTTGTTTTATTGGAATCTGCTTAATTCCAGCTCTCACATGGAAACAGTAGAAGAATTCCCATGTCCTTCTTATGCACTGACACTCTATTAGAGTTGTAAATTCTCATTTCGATTTTCTGACCAGACCTCTCTTGCCTCTTTAACTCCAGCTGATTGGCTGGTTCACTAATAAACCTATTCAGGTATCTCTATCACCATCAAGAAAAGTACCATCTTGAGGTACCATTGCTTGCTTTGATTTAAATTAATATATGGAATGAGGACTTTCCTATCAAACTTCAAGCTAAGAAGGAGGTAAAAATGAATGATGAATACTGATGTAATAAGATATGTCCTCTGAAATCAGTTTCAGTAAACTATAATGAGGCTTCGAGATATCCATACATGCTAATTTTTATTCTACACTGGTAGAAGTTCATTAGGGACTTTATTTCTGTGTAGCAGGGTTTTCTTTTATAGCCATAAGACCAAACCTGATATAACTATAACTATATATACATATCCAAATAACGAGTGGTTCTGAATTCTCATAAGACATCTCACCACTTATGTGGTGCGAGCATTGCTTGAAAGAATATCCAGAAACTGCTCCTGTCATATTTACTCTTGGCAACGTTTCTGTGACGCTGTCTTTCAGGATGCAAGTAAACCTGTTTTTAAAAAAGAAATAAAAGTAAAAAAAATAAGTGGGTGGACATTTATGCTTTAAAATAAGAGGTCTTGAAAGTCAGCATGTAGACAAAGAGAAGGGGAGAAACTATTCTATCTCGTACCAAAATAAGTATTTTCTTAGCAAGATTGCAAGATTGGTTTTTTCAGTCCAATGTCCTCACTTTTAAAAGATCACATATGACAATACTCCTTCCCAACAGGAAAAGGGTGCGGGTGAACTGGGGCCTATAGTTCCAATGCTGCTCTCGGCCTATCTTGTACTGTCCTTGAGCAAACAATGGTTTCCACATTACAGTGGTTACATTTTAAATGATTATATGAGTACCAATACAATATCCATGATTTTTATCTCTGGACAACATTTTATTCTCTGTCTTGTCAAAAACAAAAGATTGTCAGCTCCTGTTGTAGAGTCTGGAAGGGTAAATTTCATAACTGCAGGGTGCTCTGTAAATATCTATGAATGCAGTAATAATACCCCAAAATGCAGATAACTTAATTTGGGAGTAAAGCTTCATTTTTTATTTTCAAGTTCAACATGGAAACAAAAGTGATGAGTGGAATACTCTCAAGTTTTAAAATATATGACTATAGAATAAACCCATCAAATGCGATTTGTGAATCTTCATAAGATTTTCTTTAATAGCAGTGAATTACTCATGGGGGGCAATTCAGGTAATATAAAAAGATTCTTTTATAATTTTTAATGTATTTTGTATAAGATAATGAATGTTGAAATATTTAAGGGGGAAGTGTTCTGATGTTTTCCAATCACTTCAAAATGTTAAACTATACGCAGTACCTATAAGACTCAAATGTCAAACAGTCTTGCTGGTGACAGGGGATCATTGTATTCTTTCATCGTCTTATAAAGTTTGATTTTTTTCCTAATAAAATTGTTGAGGGGAAGTATCAATTTACATAATACCGAATATCAACAATCATCCAAAAAGCAAAGGGCAAAATGGCTAAGAAGTGTAAAGGTAAAGAGAAATAAGAGAGCATACCACGAATATCGGCCCACACGGGAGGTTGGAAGGCCCACCGGAGAGTTACTTCTACTCCTCCCCAATCTGCCCGAACAGCCTTGTTTTGTAATATTTGATAGTTCACTTGAAGGGCAACATGCGTTTTGATTAACATAAGATTTCATAACACAACAGATGGAGCTGTATTAGTACGTCATTGTTGTGTACAATCTATCTCTCCTCTACAGAGGAATGCAAACGCTTACCATTTAGCAGGATCTTCAGATGATGATTCGGCCATAAAAGTGAAGAGCAAGCACGTCGGGTGGTGGGTGCAGACCACCTGGCAGTGCTCGGCGCTGGGCGTGAAAACCACTGCGACGTCACCTCCTTGAAAGCTGGTGTCTTGGGACAGCTTGGTCACGCATTCTGTGATGCAATGTGTGGAAGTTACGCATCTAATTAGGTGTCATCTCATGAAGTCCAGCAAAGGAGGTTTACTTAACAGGAAATATGCCTGAACTTGGAAGTCAGGGCAATCAAACGTATGTGTAAGTTTATGGGAAGAGCAGCCTCAGGTGGAGAAAGGGAATGGAAGTGGGGGCGGGAGGGCGCGGGCGGCATCGGTCAGCGGAGGGCGATGGAGAAAAACACGGGAAAACTGTAACTGAACAAAGATCAAAATCAAAATAATAATCAAATAAATATATACTGCTGGGTTAAGTTTGGTAACATTTTGCTTATGATATTTGCATCTGCGTTCATGAGGCAAGAGGACTGGGATTAAGGCTAGTGCCCCTGTCCAGGCTTAGTGTTAAAAATTACACTGACCTTATAAAATGGGCTGGCAAGTGTGACCATGTCGACCTCCTCTCGTATATACGAGACCTTCTCTCATATATATGTTAACCATTAACATGGTTAACATTTAACTGATTTCTGCAATAGTCTTTCTTTTCTCTTCCTCCTAGCTTCTTTGTACTTAATTAGCTAATCTCTTACTACCTTCTTGAGCTGGATTCTTATATCATTAAGTCTTACCTTTTCCCTATTCGAATGAATGCCTGCAGGTCTACACATTTGCTCTCAGCACTGGTTCAGCTACATCCCCAAACTTTGAAGTCCCGTATTTTCATTACTATCCAATTCAACCTATTTTCTAATATCCATTGGGATGTCTTCTTTGGCCCATATTTATTTAAAAGCCTATTACCTAATTTTTAAACATTTGGGGATTTTTCCAGTTGTCTTTTGTTTTTCAGGTTAATGCCGTTGTGATCAGATAACATGTTCTGCATAATCTTAATTCTTTCAAGTTTGCTGAGACTTGCCAGAGGCCTTGAATGTGGTCAGCATTTGTGAAGGTCCCATATGTACATGTAAAGAATGTACGTGTGTTTCGGTGCAGTTGCCGGGGCCATTGTTCAAAACGCGCCCACTTAGTTATCATAGACGTATTCTTCAATGAAATAACAGCACTATGTTACAATTATTATAATGAAGAAATATAATAACCTGGATAAAAATCTTGTCACACAGAAAAATGATCTAATGAAGTATAGTAGAATTTATTTTATTTTAAGTCTCTTTACTCAGATTTGCCATTTTTCACATAGGCCAAAGTAAGTTTACTCTGCATAAAATGCTAACAACAGCAGCAGAAATTAACTGTCATATAAATTATTTTTATAATAAATGCTTAAGTTTTCATACTAAATAAAGAATAAACATAGGGTCTAAAAATCTTTGTATTTCTGTGTCCTTCATAATATTGGTTAAGTAATTTGTAAACAAATATAGTGGATGCTATGTAAACTGGAGACTTAAAAACAGTCATTAAGTTATCGAAATGTATATAAATTCTAATTGTATGAATATTTTGCAAAATCTCTTTCAGTTCCAAATTGCGGGTATGTGTGTGTCTGTCTATATGTGTTGCATTAAACTGACTGCTTTATGGAAAACTGACTAATCAATGAGGCAAACCTAGACTTCTGTTTTTTAATATTGCTCTTAAATATCACTTAGATACGTGATGTGAATTTGGATATGAATAGAGGTATAGATACGGATAGAAATATAGATGGAGACATAACTTCCTACTCTTATGCACTCCCTCACCTCACCTTCCTCCCTGCTCTGAAAGCCCCTGGAGCCTTCGGAGGAAAACAAATACCAGAATTTTATTCCCTGGAGGGGGTCTTGTGCGATGCCCTGCCCGGGGCTGTGCTGTGCTTTCTGCTGTGGGCCCCTGCCCTCCTGTTTTCTAACCCATAAGTCAGGAAGAGATCCTATTTCCAGTCCATACTTAAGGTAAATCTTTACTTACCACCACAGACCGAGGCAGATAAAATAAAAGGTATCATTTGGTACAACAAACTCATCCTACAAAATAAAAACGTGCAGTTTCAGAACATGAAAAGTGAATTTCCAGTGAGTTTGCTGGCGTCAGGGTTTACACAAGACGGAGAGGGAAGGGTGCATTTCCCCCAACAGTGCCCACAGGGCTCCTATCGAAATGGGGAAACTTCTCTTCCCCTTATCCTAGAACATTCCGGGCAGGCCTGCGTGTTCAAGTGTTCGATGCTGTCACGGTTCTGAAGAACCCGGGCCTGAAGGGGAGGGTGTTCCCCCGCCCTCCCTCCCCTTCCCTTCTTCTCCTCCACCCCAGCTCGCTAGTCTTCAAATATTTCTCATTGTCACCCCTGGAACCACCCCCTGCCAGCTTTCCGATTTTCATCTTCTCTTCCAATTTATTTCCTTTCTCTCCATCTTTGAAGTCTCTCCGTATATCTAGCAAAGTCGATGATATCCTACCTAAGTTTTCTATTTTTAAAGTTCTGTTGCAAGTAGATTATCAAGTTTTCTTGGGCACCTATAAATGTGCTTATCCCTACAAAGTGCTGAACTAGGGAAAACTATCAGTGAGATAAATGAAGACTTCTGATTTTTTAATATTGCCCTTGACTATCTTTTTAATTTGTCACATGCGTGTTATTGAGTATTATTACTTTTCTTTCATGTTGCATCTCCTCTCAAATTGGTTCTGGATATTAACTAAAGGCCCATAAAATGTTAAACCAGACCAATTTTTAAAATCAATCATTTTCCATTGCAAAATTTTTAAAACGCCTGTGGTGAAACAGGCACTTCCAGGAATAATTGCTTGACAGACCATGAATAATAATTTTTGAACCATACCTGAAAAACCGCTGTTTGATGAAATTCTTAACAAAAATATTTTTCTCCTTCCAGAATGGCCCTCGGCCTCCTCTGAATGAGCGTGTCCAGGCAACATTCACTGAACTTTAATATTTACTTTTACTTTTACCGGCTCCCAGTGTTGTGTAACATTGTCTCTTTGTACAGCCTGTCTGTGGAAGCTGTTCAAATCTATGTGTATCCCAAACGCACCTGGGTAACATTGCTTGCTTTTTCAATACCTTAATTTTTGTATCTTCTTCTACTGTGGGTTCAGACAGATGGCACACACAGACAGCTGGGAGCTGGAATTCACCTGTGCACCTCAGCAGTCGGGTGAACGCACATTTCGTGTGCCCGCACACACCCTCACTGTGAAATACCCACTGTTAATCATTAATTCAAGGCTAGCTGGAGTCTCCCCGTCTAAAAAGAAAACAAGGGGAGTTTGTGGATGAAACGTCAGCTGCTGGGGGTTGAGGGGGAGCACCCCACTGTCCTGCATGCAGTGTCCTTGGGTAAGTATCACCTCCTCAAAGGCCTATGTGGAGACCACTGGCTCTGAGGGAGCGGGCTCTTTAACCCACTTGCAAACACCAAAAGTCTGAATTAAATTTAAAAAAAACAACACACAAAATGTGGGACGTTCATAGCTTTCTTTAGATCTCAGTTCACTGATACACAGATGGAGCTCTCATGAATGATAGCCTAGCCTTGCAGGACAAGCCATCAAAAAAAACAAAATAAAAAAACGGGTCAATCCCCTTTGTCCTGGAGGGTGCCTCCTTGTGGTGGACATGTGGCAGGTCCTGGAGAGGAAAGCTTGTGACATGCTTGTCTGGGTTTCATCTATTAGTTACACTCCTGTTGAGAGCCTTCCTGCTGCCTTTGCAAAAGGGCTGACAGCTCTCTCCACTGCACGCCAATGCAGGTGCCCTGATGCCAGGATCTATTCGCTAGTCAGCCGGTAATGCCAGGGGGTCAGCAGCCCTGCCATCACTGTGAGTCTGGGGGTCCGCGGCCCAGTGGCTTCATCTCTCTGGGCTTCAGTTGCCTCATTTGCAACACGAGACATGAACTAGCCCTAAGGATTTGTATGTGGTCCCTGGCAACCTAAAAGAAATAAATAAAAAAATTTTTGATATGTTTGATTTCAATATATTTTAGAGAAAGAAATTTCCATGGTTCAGAGAAGGCTTCTGATTTCCTACAGAAAAACAAAATAAGCTCTGAGGTGTTTATAAATGGAGTCATGAGTTTTAAAAAATAGTCTAAAGATGAGGGGATTAACAAAATGATAAGTTGGCCCTGGTTGGGGACCTCACTGAGGTGACAGGTACCAGAAGAAACAGTGAGCCGTGTGTGGGGACAATATGTGACATGAGTGTGATCTTCTGAAAATGTCACCAATTCACTTTGAGCAGTTCAGTATTTGGAGACAGAGAGACACGATCTCGTTTTATCTTGGTCATAATAATGTCATTATCTAAATGGCTTGTGAAGGTACGTAATACCCAGATTTGGTGGCCAAGTGCTTACATAAAAAAGGTTCCCCAAGATTAGAACTGCCCTCAAAACTCTTACACAAAGGGCAGTATGGGGGCTGGGGGAGAGAATTTACTGAAGGGGATGGTGACAGAACAGGTGGTAAAGGGAAATTTGAAGCTTAGCCCCATGTAAACTCATTGGAGACTTTCTGAGAAGAGAGGAGCCAGCCATTTTGTTCTGTAGGCAGAAAGTTAAGGGGATTTTGAGCTTCGAAGAGGCCTTTATGGAAATCACCAAGGTACATATTGTGACATTCTATCTGGAAGAGAGTTATTCAGGTATTTTCATTTGATCTGTTGCCAAGGTTTTAAGGCCTATGTGGGCGTAAAGAGCCCTTAGGTGCTTTCTTGAGTTTCCAATTTAAAATTAAGTACATTCCAGCCACACAAAAAGCACATACTTATGATGCTCTGCTTGTTATGAAGCTCAACATGAACTGGCAAATTTATGCCAAGATGGGCTTTCAGGGAAAACTGATATGTGAAATTATATAGGGTCCTTATATCCCGGTATTGTTTATCCATGAAACCTCATATCTACCTTAAGTGCCCAGTAAAAAGACTGTAATGGTAACTCTCCAACCCTATGAGATAAACAGAAAGACTCTAATGAGAGAACTACTTCACCGGGGAACCAACTAATAGTCTCCTAAATGTGGTTTAGCAAGTTAGTTAAATCTCTAAACCCTTTCAAATAATATAAGGATTCCAAAAATATTTTTCTCTATTCAAATAAAAGTGAAATAAGAGTCTTAACTGCATAGAAATTCTTTAAGATTAAATAGATCTTCATTTCAAACTGACGGATTTTTTTTCAACTGATGCCATTACAATTGAGAATTCTGATGTTGATTACTCATATCTAAAAGTAAAAGTATAAAGGACACATGGACAAAATCAAAGGTGGGTAGGATCAAGGCTGGGAAGTGGGGATGGCTGGGGTGGGGGGGAGTGGTGGGGGAAAATGGAGACAACTGTACTTGAACAACAATAAAGAATGTGAAAAAAATAGATGGCAACCAAAAAGAATAAAATAAAGGTAAAGGTTTCCCACCCCTGCCCCACCCTCTAGTGAAATAAAATGCTCTTGAAGCCTAATGAAAGTGGGAAATGACTACACACAATCTGGGGAAGAATCCAGAATAAAGTCTAAAGGGACCCAGAGGCAAGTCAGTGGTCAGGGTCACTGGTGGCCTCCGGCCCTCTGTCTGGGGCAGGGAACCACAAGGCCACTGCTGCTGGGTCCCTCCTCTGTCCCAGCTCAGGAAGCTTGCTCTCGGAGCTCCTCTCTCAAGACTTGCTTGGAAAAAGCTCACAGCCTCCGAGGTCCTACTACCCTTTCTCGCTGGCCCCCAAATACCCCCGTTCCATGATAAAAGTTTATTTTCCCATGAGAAGGTTTTAACCCTGACCTTAGATCTGAGTTAATCAAGCATAGCATTACTAATATCTGGAACAATGAGGCTTTGTTATGAGGCACTACTTTGCACTGCAAGGTGTTTAGCAATAGACCTGGCCTTTAACTCCACAGATGCCCACTCACCCAGGAGTGCCAAGCAAAAGTGCTCTAGAGGTTGTCAAATGTCCCCTGGGTGGGGCTGGGGGGCAAAACTGTCTCTGGTTGAGAAGCACTGCCTTAGACGATAAGGAAAATAACGAATGATGGTTAGAAATGCCCCTGCTATCTTTTCTCCTTCTCATAGTACGAGGCAACGTGATAGGGGCCATCAGCTGGGATAAGAATGCCAACCTTTGTCCTGGGTTCTGCATTTCCTGTGGCCTTGAGTTAATCTTTTCATCTTTTGGATGCCTCCAGCGCCTCATCTTTAGAATAAAGACAATTTCACTCAGTAGGCGTTGACTCAATGCTCATTGATAGGCAATCTGAAAGAGGGTCTCCTTCGGAGCTGTTCACTGTTTGGTGAGCAGATAAACCGTAATTGAAATAAAAGTTTTAAATTCAAATGAGAGGTTTCTCAGACCTCAGTGAGCAAAGAGACTAGGCTAACCTCAGACGTGACAGTGTGATGTCTATCACTCAGGCCAGCGTGCTCTTGCCACAGACCTATTGCCTGAGGCCTCTACCTTAGTATCCCTCTTACTCATGGGAGTGAAGTCATTCCAGTCCTGAGCCTTCCTAGCCTCTTACCCACTTCTGAGTCCGAAAGGCTCTTCTAGGGTGAAGGGCTTCTCTCTCTTCATATTCACCCCTGTACATGAAGACATTTGGCCCAGTTCAGTGCCACTGGCCTTGACCGGTGGCTTTGAAGCATTCATTGAAACCTGAGGAGGTCCGCATTTCGAAACTCTCCCGTCAGCACTGCCCCAAACAAGGTCATGCCCTGACCAACAAAAGCCCAATGGTTGTCCCGAGGACCCTGTTCAAATATCCTGTAGAATTATCAACCCTGCAGACAAAAGGGTTTTATTGCCAACACTTTTTTGTTGTTGAAACATAAAACAATATCCACACAGAATTAAGACCCATGTCTTTATTGCATGCATCGTAAAAGATGAAGTAGTGTTTATTTTTAATCCTTTCATGGAAGCCAGATTTGACCGAACTGGAGATACTGCTTCTGGAGAAAATCTAATTCTTCAGTTTCTTATTTTATGGTTCGTGAAGAACCCAGACCTCATGGGAGATTTTTTTCCATCCCCTTCATCTGTAGCCCTTCCTACCGCTGAGAGTGTCTTTGAGTATGAAAGAAAAACATCTCCTTTAGAAACTTCTCTATTTTTCTACTTTATTTACACAATATGCTGTAAGTGGCCACTTCTGTATAAGTGTTATGTTTGCTTAAGTGAACCAAGTCCAGAGACCTGGTGCCAATGTCATTATCACTGGCAGCCTTGGAATTTGTGTTACATAAAGATTGATAGCGTTCATTCCAGGTCTCCCTGCGACTGCCATGAAGTTACAAGACTGAACTTTATGAGACTCTTTATACCCAATAGTGCTTCTTGAATTACTGTTACACATACCAGTATCCACTGACCCCGCAGCAAAGCCGCTTCCTCACCCTCCACGAAGGCTGTACCATAAGCCTATTGCCAGAGCTACAACCAGGCAGCTGCCACCCCACGGGTCACCCTTGCCAGGCAGCCTGTAGTAGTGCCAGGGTCGCAGAAGTAGCAGGTCAAAAAGAAAAGCAGCACCACTATCCTCACGAGTTTGGGGAACTTAATCTTTTTCTTTGGAAAATAAATGCTGCACGGGTTTCTTCTCCTCAGCTTGGCAATAAACAAACAAATCAAATTCACTGGCTTCTCAGCCCCAGTAAAGGCAGTGGTGGATCTAACGACCATGTGGGTGAAGCACAGAGAAGTGATCTCTGAGACGTACTGAGTTCTGGAGGAAGCGGTAAGATTAGAATGGTCTTGGACACTGTGCTAGAATCTAGGGTCATTTTTCTTCAGCTCTGTTTTACAATTGGGGAAAAAAAGTACTCTTCATTCCACTCATTTGTAATTTTATTTCATAACAAGCAATCATGGTGTTTAGTTAGCATCTTCTGTGATCAGTGCTGTTGTCACAGGCGAAGAGCACGCCTCTGTGCGACGCCACCCTGAGCAACTCTGTGGGCATGGTCCCTTTTCCTGTTCATGAAAAGGACGCAGAACGAATGTCACCGTCCATGTCTCTGCAGAAAAGCACTCCAAGGGTCAGGATGTGAACTGCGGGCTCTGCCCCACATCCAGGAAGCTTCCTCACGCCGGTGACTTCAACGAAGACTGTCCGTCGCCTTCCTGTGTTTTTTCTGAAATCCAGTCCATGTACTCAGCCACTTTGGTGTAGATACCTGGTTGTTCTTTGCGGGCACAGCCTTCACCCCAGCTGGTGATGCCCACCAAATACCACATTTCATTGCTCTGACAAACTAAGGGACCACCTGAATCACCCTGGGTCACAGCAGGTAGAAAAAGAAAATGATAGAAGGTTATGACAGACATGCCTTGAAAATCCTGTAGTCTCCCCACACATGCATTTTCTTATAGCTCTGCAGGGGTCTCTGATACCTCGTTCGCTGTCATATGTGGTGGAAATTATTTAAGTCAGTAAAGTATTGTCCAGCAGGGAAGTTTTGACATCATCCTTTCACTGTCAAATAAGTCTACTAGTCTTATATTTTGGTACAATTGTTATATGTAAAATTGTCTTCCTTTAAATATAGCATGTCCCTGCATAGATTGGGACTCGTTTTTATATATGTATATCTATTTTATATACATTTAATTTTTAGAGGTTACATATGAAATTATCAGATTGATTGGCTCAGCTTTTAAAAACAACTATGATGAAATATGCTACTGGAAAATACATCTTGAAATGAATTTTCTCAAGTAAACTATTGCATTTTTTACACGACCAAATGTATTACCTTACAAGCATCTTTGCCCCCTTCTTTATAGCCAGCACAGATCATCTGTTTGGTTATCTCATAATCTCTGTATCTTTTCTGGCATTCTTCATTTGTTACCAAAGGAACTTTTGCCTTTTGTAGGATATTTTGGATTTCACCTGTGAAATAACCAATATATAACTCCAGAAGGAAGAAATACAATCCATAAGAAAATAAGACGGAAGTCTTAAAGCAAAGCAGAATGATGAACTCGGCATTAAAGCCCACTCCTGCGGATGTGAGTAGCAAAGGTGAGCAGGGGGAGTTAGGAGAGAAGGGGGCTCCGTAGTGGCCTTGGATGCGGGTCAGGACGACCTCAGAACCTGAGTCTGAGCAGCGATGTGGCTTCCATGTTCTCTGCTGTTCTCTCAGCTCAGTGGGAAGTGCTCAGAACGCCCTTTCCACTCCCAGCAATCCAAAAGACCGGAGTGTTTTACCTTATAGTTGTTTTATATATTAAAAATGATAATTTTGAAATATTTGGTTTTTTGAAAGAATAAACCAAATCTCTGGCCATAGAAGAGTATTTTGTTCTTCGAGTAAATGCAAGGGAACCTGAAGAACAGTTTATTTACAAATGAATTCTACCAGTAACCAGTGAAGGTTACTTTTAAATCTTCCTGTCTCTATCAGTTAAAAAAATATATTAGAACAATGTGAACTAGTTAAATAAAGGACTGAATCAGAAAAGAATGATAAAGTTTGGCGAGCTATATCTTTTTGTAGAAAAATGATGCAAATACTGTATGTGATTGTATCTATCAGGAACATAATTCTGGAAAGGAAGAATGATTGGTTTCCTGGAAATTTCAAGGGCACTTGAAATGCCCCAAGTGTCCATAAGGAGGGGTTCTCAACGTAGGATCCATAGAAAGAATTCACATTGTCTATAAATTTGGGTAGGAAAAAACATATCCTTATCTTTACCAACCTCCAACTGAAGTCTGATACTCCCTTCAATTATGAATGTGGGCAACAGTCTCGGGAATATTGGCCATATCTGAGCCCTTCCCTTCAGTATAAATCGCAGGTATGTTCCCATCACATTATAGTCATGGCAGGTAACTAAAATGATCATTTGTCCTCATCACAATTGCAAAGTCACAGTAGTTATTAGAACAACGTGTTATTGAATATATTAATAAAGAAGCACATGCTTTGCTACATCAGAGCTTTTAAAAGTTATTTTTCGATAACTGTCTCATAATTTCATTGGTTGCTTTCGCAACCCTATGTATTTTTATTTAAGCATTTAAAAACATCATTCAAGAAGTAGTTCATAGGCTTTATCAGACTGCAGGAGAAAGGCATTGCAAAATAAATAAATAAATAAATAAATAAATAAGCGCCGCCATTCAGAGATGGTGTGCCTGCTCAGTAGGCACTGGTCAGTCATAGCCAGGGGAGGCTGTGCCATTGGGAAGCAGGAACACTGCTGGTACTAGGAACAGGACGGGCTAGAGTGGGCTTATCAGCCTCTAATGGGACCAAACCAATGATCGTTTTTATGGGGTAAGGTGCTCAGTAGTTTACCTTATTTATTCTTCCAGGCCCAGGCCAAAAATATCTGCTCAAGGGCCACTGAATAAGTCTTTGAGAACCAATTGATTGAAAGATTGCAAGTTTGAACATAACGTTTGACAGAGTGCCGACCGCATGAGTCCAGGCCACATGCCCCAGCGTCTGAGACCTGCTCTGGGAACAACCTCCAACCTGCTGTACCTCTTTCCTTGGCGAAGCCCCAGCCGGTTATCCAGCAGTTAGAGTCAATGACGTTTGGGTCGTCTCTGGGAGGGAGGCATATTGGTTTCTGGAATTCTGAAAGGTAATTTTTAAATCAGAGTCTGGTTAAAGCTTTAGATACTGATCTTTAAACACACACACTTTTCTTCTCCCATGTTCTCTCACTACTGAGCACCACCAAGAAGAATAATGCTTTCGCCTCCTGCTCAATCTCTAAGGTCAGAGATTCAAGGAAATGTCTCCTGTTGGAGTCATTTCCACACGACATGTTCCGTGTTAAGTTGTTTGGACTGAATTAAAAACCTCAGCACCCAAGTTTATCGTCAGAAGCATTCAGAAGTTCTCTCTCAAACTGTGTATGATACTTTCCATGGCAATCCAGTGTCTAACGCCATTTCAGGCACCATTTTACGTGTTCTAACTTATTAACTGACTTTGTTATTTTAACAACCCAGTGAGGTCACTATTGTGCTCACTTTACCAATGTGGACATTTGCGGCACTAAGAAATAAAAGCACCTTGCCCAAGGTCACAGAACTGTTCGTGGATGCAGTGGGCAGCTAGCAGCTGTAGAACTTGTACCTGGAAAGCAGCACCTCCGACCGCCTCTTGCCTGTCTCCCCAGAGCCTCCTTCTGCGCCAGTCTCTCCTCTGCCCAAACTCCACCTGGAAGTTAGTATCCCGTCCCGCTGGCCCTCGCCCAGCCTCGGTATTGCCCAAGCCCAAAGCACAGGTAGTTGTGCTCCACTCGTCACAGGAAGCCATGCTTCCCGGTGCCAAGGACACTCCTGGGTCTATCAGTTCAGCAGCGTATAGGCAGCTGTATTCCGCCTGAAAGAACTAATGGACATTTCTCACCCCTGCTAGAGGAGGTCTTTATGGCAAGCCCGGAGTCTTACCACCCCTGGCAGTTCTCACCTTTCCCCCAACTCTACCAACCAGAAGACAAAGACAGTCTCTGCCGATTCCGCCCCCTCCTTCCAGTGCCCTAAACCAGTGCTGGGCTGCACCGTGCCTTCAATATGCCACGTACCGGTAAAATTCAAAGGGGCCTCAAGCTTTATTAAAGCAATATCGTGAGTGGTTTCTGTGATGCTATAATTTTCATGAATAATAATCTCTTTTATCTCTGAGAAAGGGGTTTCTTTTGTTATCGCTGACAAATTTAAAAGGCCACCATAAATGCGCCACGCGTCCGAATAGGAGAGCCTGGGAAAGAAAAATAAACATTTGCTTGAAACCAGGCTGGTCCTTTGTCCTTCTGCTTCACCATCTACAACAATGACAAACAAACAAAACAAACAAAAACTCAGGAAAAGAATGCTACTCGGGACATGGTTTTACTGGTCCAACCCTTCCTCCTGGAAATTTGTCATCACCCACCACAGCCATCTGAGATCGATCTCTGAAGATTTAGTCAATAACATTGGAAATACACATTGATGGGATGATTTCACATTCGTTCTGAGTAAAAATGTAAAAATGCCGCTGTCCCATTCTGGGAGAAACTGGTCGAGAAAGGTTCTAGCAGTTCATCACGGGAAAATCCTTCTCAGCTCACTGATCCTGAAAGTGACTGCCCATGAAATTCAGAAGTATCAGGAAGTTGGACTGATTTTACACAAGCTCCCTCTGCCAGGGCAGTGGAGGGGGGGGACTTGAGTGCCACTCAAAATCTATCTTGTTTTGGGAAGTGTAAAAATTTAAATGAACTTTTTAAACATGATAAGATCCGAAGTAAATCTAAAATTATTATTTAAAGCAGTCCTATCATAATTACATTAGCCAAGATTAAAATGAAGGAGAGAATCCTAGAAGCAGCAAGAGATAAGGGGACAGTCACCTACAAAGGAGTTTCCATCAGACTGTCAGCTGATTTCTCAAAAGAGACCTTACAGGCAAGAAGGGGCTGGAAAGAAGTATTTCAAGCCATGAAAGGTAAAGACCTACATCCAAGATTACTCTATCCAGAAAAGCTTTCATTTAGAATGGAAGGGCAGATAAAGTGCTTCTCAGATAAGGTCAAGTTCAAAGAGTTCATCATCACCAAGTCCTAATTATGTGAAATGATAAAGGGACTTATCTAAGAAAAAGAAGATAAAAAAATATGTATAGTAAAATGACAGCAAACTCACAATTATTAACAACTACACCTAAAACAAAAACAAACTAAGCAAACAATAGAACAGGAACAGAACCACAGAAATGGAGATCACATGGAGGGTTAGCAACAAGGGAGTGGGAGGAGGAGAAGGGGGAAGAAGGTACAGAAAATAAGTAGCATAGACGGTAGGTAGAAAATAGATAGGGGAGGGCAAGAATAGTATGGGAAATATAGAATCCAAAGAACTTGAGACACATGGTCATAAACTAAAGGGGGGAACGTGGGAGGGAGGAGGTGTGCAGGGTGGAGGGGAATGAAGGGGGGAAATGGGACAACTGTAATAGCATAATCAATAAAATATATTTTTTACAAAAAGACAGACTTCCTACAGGAAGATCTGTGGTTCCTCACCTAACAAAATGCCTTGAAGGAAATAATCATATGTATTTTTTCAAACCAGTAAACACAAATTGTACATTAAAAAAAGCAGTTCTGTGTAAAGACATGGAAAGTGTTAATTGTCAAGTGAGTGCGGTAAGACATGCAAGAAACCCCAGCTCTTACAGACACAACACTGAGCCCTCGGGACTAAATTTCTTTTTTTAAAATATTTTATTTATTTATCTTTAGAGGGGAAGGAGAGAGGGAGAGAAACATCAATGTATGGTTGCCTTTCGTGCGTCCCCTGCTGGGAACTGGCCTGCAGGGAACTGGTCTGCAACCCAGGCATGTGCCCTGACTGGGAATTGAACCTCGATTGTCTGGTTCGCAGGCCCGCGCTCAATCCACTGAGCTACACCAGCCAGGGCCGGGACTAAATTTCTTAATAGAAACAGGTGTGGCCACCGTGCAAAACAGTGTGGAGGTGCCTCAAAAAGTCAAAAATGAAACCATGTGACCCAGCAATTCCTTTTCCTGGGTACGCATCTGAAGGAAACAGGGTCACCATCCCAAAGAGATAACTGCACCCCACACTCACTGCGGCGTTGTCTACAACAGCCAAGATGTGGGGAACATCCAGGGGCCCATCGACAGTCAGACGAGTGCTTGCAGGAAATGTGGCTGTACAACAGAATATCATACAGCCACCGGAAAAAGGAGAGCCTGCCATTTGCAACAACAAGAAGGAAACTCGAGGGCATCACCCTAAGTGAAACAATCACACAGCGAAAAATACTGTCTGCTCTCACACGTGGAATCTAAAAAACCCTGAACTCAGAGAAGCAGAGAGCAGATGGGTGGTTGCCTCAGGGGAAACGTGGGGGTGGAATAGGTTGAAGATTACAAACTTCCGGTTATAGGACGAATAAATTCTGGGGAGGGGAGGTGCCTCGGGGGATTCTACTGTACTGATTAACAATACTGTGTTGCGTACTTGCTAAGAGAGTAAATCTTAAAAGTTCTCACCACACACACACACACACACACACACACACACAAAACATTGTACCTACGTGAGATGATGGATGTATTAACTGACCTCCTCCTGGTCATCTTTTTGCAACACATACGTATATCACATCACTATGCTGTACACCGTAAATTTATACAATGTTACATATCAACCATATCTCAATAAAGCTGGGGGGGAAAGGTGAAAATTCTCCATCCCAAATTGGGATTTATTTAGTGAAAAGGGGAACAACTATTTCCCATCACAGGATCTTCCTTCCGGGCCAGCAGCCTCCCCCTGAGCAAGGTCATGGACACGGAGCCAGCCTGGGGACTCACGCTGCTGCGGGCAGCTGGGGTGGAGGCCTTGGCCCTGGGAAGCAGTACCCTGCACGCTGCTCACAGCACCTTTCAGACAGAGAAAGGGAGGATTCCATGGAAACAAAAATACATTTTGAAAGAGATCACATGTCTTTTAGTCTGCTATGAGTATCTCTTCTGCTCATTCATATGCTCTCACCATGTGTACATGTATTTAATCACAGCTTATAATTTTTGAGTCACTTTATGTCCCAGGCATAGTGCCAAGGGGTTTAAGTGTGTCACTTAATCCTCCAGTAACCTTACGAATTAGACACTGCTGTCATTCATATTTTACAGACAGAAAATAAAAATAAGAGAGATTTGCAAATTGCCCAACGTCATCCATGCCTCTGATATGAGGCAGAGCTGGGACTCAAGCCTTGTCCTAACTACAAAGTCAGCTTTTAAAACTTGAAAACCCTATTGTGTACGCTATTTGCCTGATAGAGGAGAAATATTATATTAGGTCATACTATCTGGAACATATAGGGTAATAAACTATTGCATTTTTGTTTTCTTATTTACTATTAATATTACTTAGTATATTTGTGAATCCATGGGCCTGAAAATGCAGGCTTTGAAGAAGAAGTTGGGACATTTTTTAGTTATTCTGTGAAGCACACTTTTGCAAACACACCCCACGTTGGTCCGATGGGTCACACTGGTGACATTTGAATACCACCTCTGCTTTCAAATGTTTTGTATTAAATAAGAACAAACTTCCATTGTGAAACCAACAAGAGGACTGAGAACTCAGTGCAGATTCTTCAAAATGGAAAGTAACATAGGACGCTGGATAAAATGCAGCTAAAACTTACCCATTGAAGCAATGGGCAGCCGTGAGGACCCACTGGTCCCCAATGATGGAGCCTCCACACACATGCTTCTGGGTTTTCAGTCTCACTTGAAGGCTGACCTGCCAGGGCCACTCTCCCCAAGAAGAATTGGTTCCTCCAACGATGCGCATGGCTGTGTTCCTGGTGCATCCTAAAAGGAGAGCGTGGAAGGTAGTGGCTGGAATTACAGGTAAAGCAGCCAAGAAAGGCAAGACCCATAATTCCTTCGTATGAGACGGCGCGAGCTGTGAAAACCACGCAGATGTCCCTGTATGATTCTTCGAAAAGGTGAGGTTGACTCACCGATGCCATTTCCACTTCTACACAGTCTCAGAGAATAGCCGGATCTTCTTCCCGTCCCATATGTAATCCGAGTTGGAGAACCGTCCTCAGAGAATCGCAAGGAGCACTTGCACCTGCGTGAAATGATCAGAACAAAGATTAAACCTTCACACATGGGCAGGTTTCATGAAACTGTCTGCTGACTGTCTTTGAAAGATGAATTTCACTAACTTGTCTCCTCGACAGTCTTCTGGGAGTAAAGAGTACGTGAAAAACTGACAGCGGACCATCTCTGTGCAGGTCTCTTGGCAATTACTCACTCCTTTAACAAAGGTCACGTTCAGTTCTTCCCCCCCAAAATCAACTCCTGCGTACATTCTTGAATGGCAGGGCTCTGTGGCAATTGGAAACATGGGAAGACATAAAATGAAAACAGCAATAAGCCACATTCACACATGTCTCTGTTACATTGAGGATTGTTTCATCACCATTACATGTTAGAAGAGGATGACATCGATCACATTCTATGTATCATGATTGAATTACATTACCAGGCAAAGTTCTTTTGCAGGTTAAAAGGCTGTATCCAGACACAGTGTTTTCCTGAGGAGTGGGGGAGCTTGGGGTCCCACTTTTGGAAGTCTTAAGTAAACAAACGTTTCTATTTTTTAAAAAAAAGAAAAAGAAAGCAAACAGTATTAAAGGCAAATAAGAAGCACTTAATGTCAAAAAATACCCCTGCAAATTTTATTCTTCTGAGACATGTGCTTTGAAGCAGTTCAGATGGCAGGACTCTAATAAATTACAGCAATTAAATGTAAATCAAGCCACATCTACTTCTAAAGAAAACTGATAGGCACAAATAACATAAAACATGCCAATGGTAAGGTTCCATCTTCTTTTTTTTTAATTTTATTTATTTGTCTTTAGAAGGGAAGGGAAGGAGAGAGGAGGAGAAACATCACTGTATAGTTGCTTCTGGTATGTCCCCTGCTGGGAACTGGCCTGCAACCCAGGCATGTGCCCTGACTGGGAATCGAACCACAATCTTTTGGTTCACAGGCCCGAGCTCAATCCACTGAGTTACACCAGCCAGGGCAGGTTCCGCCTTCTGATTGGAAAAAAGAGAGAAAGAGAAAAGAACAAATTCTAGGGGTTTATGCTGCTGACAATCTTGTGTAACAAGATAACTTTCTCTTAGCTCCATGGTGTGCGTGTGTGTGTGTGTGTGTGTGTGTGTGTGTGTGTGTGTGTAAAGGGTGGGTTATCTGAGGGTAAGCAGGTCAAACCAGAACCTTAATCAGGACAAACAGGGCTCTGGTTTCTGAAACAGCGGAGTTAGAACCAATGAGCTTAAATGACGTGCTGAATTTTACCTCAAGCTGATGCAAAACATTAAGATCAGTAAGAAAGGGATCTAATCCTTCTTTTTCATTGGCTGTTGTTTCCTCGACTCCATGGTACATGTAAGTACAAGAAGGTAGGAAGAGAAATCTGCTAATCTCTTAAGTAAACTGCACCTGGCAGAAAAATCTGGCCCCTACTTAAATGGTGGGTATCAAGCATTTAGAGGGAAATGAGCAAAGCTGTAAACAAATAACCTTAAACGATAAAGTTAAAGTGATGACAGGACAGCAGCAAACGCTGCCCCCCGTTCTCACTCACCTTTGTGCTTCTGTGGGCGAGGCATTTGTATAGAACGTGAAGAAGAGGCAGCTGGGGTGATAGGTGCAAATTGTTCGACACACAAGAGCGTCTGGCACGATTACTCGGGCCACATCTTCGCCCGAAAATGTGAGATGTTGGAACATGTTCATGTGGCAGCCTGTGAACTCACAGAGGGAAGCTGTTGCTACAAATGACACATTACTAAATGCACATGTACTTTGTCATCATAACTATGGAAGTGATGACTCTTCATAGCACTAAACATCCTTTGTGAAAAGATGTCAACATTTCCAAGCTTGTTTGCCATTTGGAAGAAGGAAAAATTTGTTAACTCTCACAAAAGACAGATGGCTAGGCCAGAGAAATGATAAAGCTCATCCTTTCCTCCTGGCTCCATTCTAACCAATATAAGACACTTTAGTTACTCAGCATGGATTTATATTTTTTATGTTACCTTGCCCCTGAATTTCCAGCCTTAGGAACATGAAGTTTTGTGTTATATTTTCCTGAATATTATGAAAAATTTTTAATAAAAACAATTAAGAAAAATATTAGGTAGCTAACAAAAATGCCACGTGCCCATTGAAATTAGAACAGAAGAAAGTCTACCTTCGTTATTCTTATTTAATCATATTTTACTTACATTTTCTGTACATATTATTGTGCTCAATTTACTCAATTTAATAACATATTAGTTCCATTAAAATTATAGGAGCTTGGACTTCTGGACAAGATGGAGGCTGAGGTAGACACACTGTGCCTCCTCACACAACCAAAAGAAGATAACAATAAATTTAAAAAAAAAAAACAGAACTGCCAGAAAATCAAACTGTATGGAAATCAGACAGCCAAGGAGTTAAAGAAGAAATATTTATACAGACCAGTAGGAGGGGTGGAGATGGTCAGCCAGGCAGAGAGGACTCACAGCAAGATGGCAGCTGGAGGAACAGGCAGTCCCACATTTGCTTGCATTTTAGATAAACTGAGAGGAAAAACTGGGGTATGAGACAGACCTAGGAACCCAGGGTTCCAGGTCAGGGAAGTAAAGCCTCAAAACCTCTGGCTGAAAACACCTCTGGGGGTTGAGGCAGCAGGAAAAACTACCTGCCTCACAGGAGAGAGTGTTGGACAGACCTTCAGGGTCCTGGAACATACACAAACCCACCCACCAGGGAATCAGCACCAAAGGGCCCAGTTTGTTCGTGGGCGGCAAGGAAGTGACCGAAAGCCAGTGGAGAGCCAGGCAAGTTGCATTGTTCCCTCTCAGACCCCTCCTCCACATACAGTCCCACAATGCAGTGACGTGGGTTGCCCCACCTCGGTGAACCCCCAAGGCTCCACCCCTTCCTATGCAACAGATGCACTGAGACAAAAAAAATGGCCCAAATGAAAAAAACAGATCAAAGCTCCAGAAAAAATACAACTAAGTGGTGAAGAGACAGCCAACCTATCAGATGCACAGTTCAGAACACTGGTGATCAGGATGCTCACAGAATTGGTTGAATATGGTCACAAAATAGAGGAAAGAGTGAAGGCTATGAAAAGTGAAATAAAGGAAAATGTACAGGGAACCAACAGTGACAGGAAGGAAACTGATACTCAAATCAACAGTTAGAAGAAGAAGGAAGAAATAAACATTCCACCAGAACAGAATGAAGAAACAAGCATTCAAAAAAATGAGGACAGGCTTAGAAACCTCAGGGACAACTTTAAATGTTCTAACATTTCAATCATAGGAGTGCCAGAAGGAGAAGAAGGAGAACAAGAAATCAAAGACTTACTTGAAAACATAATGAAGAAGAGCTTCCTTAATCTGGCAAAGGAAATAGACTTCCAGAAAGTCCAGGAAGCTCAGAGAGTTCCAAAGAAGTTGGACCCAAGGGAGCACACACCAAGGCACGTTATCATTACATTACCCAAGATTAAAGAGAAGGAGAGAATCTTAAAACCAGCAAGAGAAAAGGAGACAGTCACCTACAAAGGAGTTCCCATAAGACTATCAGCTGATTTCTCAAAAGAAACTATACAGGCAAGAAGGGGCTAGAAAGTATTCCAAGTAATGAAAGGCAAGGACCTACATCCAAGATTGCTCTATCCAACAAAGCTATCATTTAGAATGGAAGGGCACGTAAAGTGCTTCTCAGATAAGGTCAAGTTAAAGGAGTTTATCATCATCAAGCCCTAATTATATGAAATGTTAAAGGGACTTATCTAAGGAAAAGAAGATAAAAATATGAACAGTAAAGTGACAATAAACTCACAACTATCAATAACTGAACCTAAAAAAAATAAAACTAAGTAAACAACTAGAACAGGAATAGAATCACAGAAATGGAGATTACATAGAGGGTTAGCAGCAGGAGAGGGGGAGAAAGGGAGAAAAGATACAGGGAATAAGAAGCATAATCGGTAGGTACAAAATAGGGAGAGGTTAAGAAGAGTATAGGACAAGGAGAAGCCAAAGAACTTGTATGTGTGACCCATGGACATGAACTAGGGGGAGGGATGCTGGTGGGAGAGGCTGCGCAGGGTGGAGGGGAATAAAGGGGAGGAATGGGACAACTGTAACAGCATAACCAATAAAATATATTTAAAGGAAAAAATAAAATAAATCAAATCTTTAAAAAATAAAATAAGAAAAGCTTAATAATTATATCACAATTATGGGAAAGACAAAAAGAACTTAACTTAAATGAGCATAGTCAGATTAAGAGAGCCCCCCCCCCCACATAACATAATATCTGCACAGGTGCAGGCTGGGAAATTAGGGCTCAACTATTTAAACCTTTCTTTTTTTAAATAAAAACATATTATGCGTCACATGGTACCATATGGTACCACAGCTTCCAATCTCTCTCTGACTGATTCTTTTGCCTACTTCTTTCTCTTTTAAGGACCCTTGTCACTCACTGGGCTTCTATGCATAATCCAGACTAATCTCCAATGTCAAAGTTCTTAATTTAGTTACATCTACAAAGCCCATTTTGCCATATCAGGCGACATAATCACAGGTTGCAGAGAATAGAATGTGAACACATTTGGGGAGTTCATATTCTGCCCACTACGATTATGGAGTGAAATGGTAGCTATGGAATTACCAATTTCTGAGAGTCCACAGGGCTTCAGGGAGAATCCAGACACAACGTTGTTCAGCACTTTTATACTGGTCGGTGTCCCCGTTGAACTGTGCTTTAACAGGCAGTTGTTCCTGAAGGTGAAGAAAGGAGGTTACTTTGCTTCCTAAAATGCAAAGTGCACATGGCCGTCCATTTCATGGGCTGTGAAAAATAAACAAAGCAATCTGAATAATGACTTTGATAATGAGTGGACTAGGGTTTTGCGTGTTTCGTGCAATAGACATCTTCATCCTCCTCAGAGGAAGGCTAAAAGTAGGAATGGGGTGGGAGACCTCATTCTACAGGACTGTATTCTCCTGAAGCCTCATTGCACAAAGCACAGCTGTCTGGGAACCAAGTGGAAAGTGCTCTCTCAAGGGAAAATAACACTGAAGTTAAATAAATAAGGAGAGTGTGTAGGTCTAAAAGCCCTGTTTAGTTTTCAGTTGGAAAATAAAAAAAAAATGAAGAAGAATGCAATTAAATCATAAAACCACTGCGGTAAAGAACACACATGAGGAATTTTACCCACCGGTACTCTGCATCATGAAATGCTTGGGTGGCGTAGGTGAAGAACTTGCAGTGAATGCTGTTGGTGCACCTTTTCTGGCATTCCTCGACACTTTCAACCTTGGACACATTAACATTGTCTCCTCTCATGTCGATTCCTTCATAAATGTCTCTGTGGCAAGCTGCACATACAAAATGCATAGTGCCGATTCAGTTTCCCTTCTAGAAACAGGCAGTTGGGGCGGGGTCGTTTTGAAGGATGACATCCTGTTTTGGCAACTGCTCTACTAATTAGGGGATTTAGAATTTTTTATTACATCCCTCAATGAGCAAAGTCTGCTTGAAATCAACACAGTGCAAAGTTTCAGAGAACTAGCATGGGAAACGGGCTACTTGGCTTCCAAAACTGCAAGGTGTGTGCAGCAATGTGGGGAACACTTTAGGGTGAAATGATCAGTGAGCAGAGGTAGATACACAAGGACCCTGATGCCGTGTACTGCTGGTTTGCCCCGGTAAATAAACTGACAGCCCTCGAGCTCTTGCATGGGTAAAGGAGCGCCTCTCCCCGTGGCTTATCTCCAGGTTTTCAGATACTCCTGTCTGACTGCAAACTGCATCTGCTGGCCCTGTCATTGATGCTTGTGTGTGACATCATTGTCACAACAGGTGCAGAGTCCTTGTGCATGCACAGTGAAACCATTTCCGTTCTTGCTTTCAAGTGTTCTTAAATTCCACTTCACCCTTCCAATTGAAATTTGCCTCATATAAGAAGGATAGATCATTCTCCTTACAATGAATCAAATCAATGAATTAGGCTCTTCATTTTTATACTAAAGATTCAAATTTGTTCATGAGACTCCCAGTTAGGGAACCCAGGAGTATAAACCATAGTTTATTGTATGCAATTTTCTACTCCTAATAGGGTCGAAGAAGTCATAAAACTAGATTTAATGGTGGAAATGACAGAAAATATGTACAGTATTAAAACAACGCTTTGCTGAGGTGGGCAGGGGAGTGCATTGTTCATGTTTCATTTGCCGATTATAGAAATAGAAACTCCATTTCTGTAGCACATGAGAAAAGAAGAAGGCTGAGAGGTGGGGTGCTTACAACCCAAAACTTTGTTTACGGTTAGTTGAAAGCTATAAACCTACTTCTAATGACTAATTCTAAAATTGGTCTTGAGTCTAGAAACTGTATTTGCCTGGCAACATTTTCCCCTTGAATTCCCTTTAAGTTATTTGGGGAGAATTAGAAGGAAACATTAAATCAGGTTCTGTGGGCAAGCTAATTTTGGGGGGAAAACAATGGAGAATTGAAAGGGCACAATATTATATCTCTTTAAATTGCACTGATACCATAACTGAAAAGAATGCTTAATTGCATGATTGATACTAAATTATATTAAGAGATAAATTTGATCTTATAATGTAGGAAATGTACGCTTCCTCAAGTAAACTACGTATTGGCTAAGTGAGGCCACCATATTAATAATAACCAAGGACTGCTTACTTTACAAACTGTAGGCACAGAAGTGTGTGGTGTTGAGGATGGGGGGTGTTCACAGGGGAAGAAAGAATGAAAAATGTGGAAACCTTTAAAACTTGAACCTCCAAGGTTACCTGCAGATAGGAAACCTAGAATAGCAATAGCGTTCAGTCACAGTGTGATTATTTCCAGATTCTGCCAACCTATCAGTTAAAAGGAACTTTTTAGTACTTATTGTTTTCAGATCAGTCATGGTAGAGCTGTGGTTCATTCGCCTTCAGTTTGTGAGGATAGGGTTGGGAATTGTTTCCCGGGACATCAGCAGCAATAAGCAGCAGAAGTACAGTTTTCTGGGCTCCTAATCCTCACATTTCTTCTCGGTGGTGTTGTTTTCGGTGATGTTTATGGGACCCAGGACTTTGGTGCAGGGGGTTAACGGGTTTCTTGGCCTCAGACCCCTGGCATTTGGGAACAGAGAATCTTTGCTGGGGGGCTTTCCGTGGGCCTTGTGGAATGCTCAGAGCATCTCTGTCCTCTATTCACTGGGTACCAGTAGCATCATGGCCAAGCTATAACAGTAGAAAACATCCCCAAATAGTGTCAAAGACCCCCCTGGGGAAAAGACAAAATCACCCCTGGTTGAGAACCAGGAGAAACCACTGGGGTGAAATGGGGAGAGAGTCCTTCTGTGTTCTGTTTAAGATTCTTATCTGGGATCAAGGGAAGGCCACTGTTTGGATGTCTGTTCTATTCCTCACCTCCTGCACCATAGTTCAAACCTCATAAATAATAGGGGCTCACGAAGCATGTGTTGACAAGACCAAAGGATAAGTCTGAAGTACGGTCCCTCTCTATCTGCCTCGGAGGGCTCCCTGCCAAACATCCATGGAAATACAGAGTTTGAGCAGAAGCTGTTCTAAGGTCGACTCATCATTCATTCAAACTGAGCTGAGAAATCCACACCTTACCACTTATTCGATGACCGCATTGCTTTAAGGAAGGTCCAGAAATTGCCCCGCTCAGTGACATCCTTGGCAGGGTTCCTGTAACACTGTCTTTCAAGAAGCAACCGAACCTGTTTTTAAAAGGAGCTTCACTTAGGAAACAGACTAATAAACACACATTGAGGAAATGTCTAGCATTTTGGGACACTCATAAATAGAACTGGAAGTAAGGAAAACAGGACAACTTTCCCAGCACTTGCTGGAAAGAACATTCCCAGAGGCAATTGCAGAATATCTAACAGTCTTTGTAATACCTAACATCAGCATTATTTTCCTGTAAATTCACGATTTTAAGCCCAGAAAGTCAATCATGTTAAAGAGTTAATGATTTTCCCTATGTTCCCAAATTTGGGGAGAATTATGTTTCTCCCTGGTGATTATTTCTGTACATACTTTCATTTACCTAAGAAATTAAATCAGTCATGAGAGATGGATCTGTGTTCATCTTGCTTATTATCTCCTTCTGTCCACACCTTCTTTGTCTTTAATGTCAACTCGGACGGTGATTGCATTATTCAGGAGGGTTCTGGAACCTGACTCAACTGCTTATTGAAAATGTTAACACCTGTCATACGCAGTCTGGGTTTTCTGTACAAGTTTAGCATGTAAAATCAAGGCATGATTGACTAATTCCTAGCTTTTAAATTCAAATACAGTGAAGATTTTTTAAAAGAATGATAAATGTGGAAATGGGAATGATGGAGAAACATTCATTCTGGATACTGATCAAAATTAAAGAAAATTAGAATGAAAGTATGGCTGAATTTAGGTAACTTCATGAAGTAATAAGACTTTTAATCATGAACTACTTTTCCAGTGCTCTTACTTTTCCAAATTACCAGTTAATAATACACATTCACACCCATCTGTCCACACCCTAGATGGCCAAACTTTTCACCACAAGCCCCATTCGGACCTGCCCTCTGCAAAGGTCACACGCTCTGGATCTTATGCAATTACATTTGCAACAAAAGGCTTGCTTCCCAGTCCATTTTCTTAGAACTGTGCTGTCCACAAATGTGATCACCGTCCTTGTCCAGATGAAATACTCGCCTCTTATTAAATCCTTTCTTGAATCAGTCACTTAACCCAATAATGCACAGGCATTTTCCTTGTAAGCCTTTGATAGAAAATGACTAGCTTCTGCTACTTCTAGGTCCAGGAGACCTTGGTTTGGTAGGTCTTGGCTGAAGACATTGTTTGTGCAAGAACCACTCTCAAGGACTCCTTAGACCCCATTCAAGAGACACAGCCCTGTGACAGGCTAAATAATTTTGAATACAACTGACTGCACCTTGAAAAATGATTGGCTTCCCCAATAATGAAATATCACTATTTACCTTTTGTCACTCCTTGAACTCTGCAGGAGAAAGCTGAATAGCAAGCACCTCGGGTGAAATGTGCACACCGCCTGGCAGTGCTTGACGCTGGGGCTGTACACGGTGGTGACATCCCCACCTCTGAAGAAGACATCCTTATACAGTTGAGTTAGGCATCCTGTGGTGTAATCATTGGGGGGAAAACATTAGTTTGGAATGAATGCAAATAATAGTCAGAGAAATGTATTTGTGTTCTGATCCTACTTCCTCTATGCAATACCTAAAGATCTTTGCTACGTGACTCTAATTACAGAGGCAGGGGATAACATATTTGAATAACGTAGGATGTTAAAGTCATTTTATGGGTAGTTCTGTATAAAAACACTCGGTCAATTTTTATGAAATCATTACAATAATTTGCACATAAGTTGTCCTCAAGAAAACTAAAGCCTAGCTTTGGCTTCTCCCTGTTGCCTAATGTGCTATGAAAGTATCATGCCTTAAAAATAACAATTTATGGTCTCCTTTTCAAAAACAGTTTCATAACAAATATTCTCCCTAGATTCTCACTATCGCTCTGTAAAGCAATCTAGAGACAGGTTTTAGCATGGGCATCTGACTTTTTTTTTAGAAAGCAGGTAACTAACTGAGTTTCAAGGCAGGATGGATTTATCTGAGGTCCACAGGGCTAACGAATGCCTTGGGGCATAAATGCAGCTCTTCCGCCTTTCAAACTGGTTCCCTTCTAGTGTCCAGAGTTAAATGTTCCTCATGTCAGTGTAATTCAAGCAAATGAACAGCTACTGGGTATTTATTACTTTAAGAATGATGGCAGGGAAGGCAGTATTTTTCTCAGTTATGATCAGCTCATTTTTTAGGTCGTTTAAGCAAAGGCATGCATGCGCCAAGTTGAAAATACATTTTGAGCTGTTTGCTCTTTGGAATTGTCCCCAGTTCATGAGCCTGTATCCTGCAGATGGAGAGTATCGTTACCTTTACAATTTTACTCTCTCATGTATGACAGTGATACCTTGAACAGGTGAATTGAGGGACTACCTTGAAAGACCCCCTGCAAAGTCTGCTTCGTAGGCTTTTCCACATCAGGTAGAACACACTCCTTAGTTAGCCAACTGCCCATGACCACAGGACATCCCCACAACTGCCTTGTCCATTGCTTAGGGCCACAGTCACACCTCATTCTAACCACATCTATTTTGAATCACCTTTGAGGGAACGGGCAGCTTAGACACATATACTTCATTAAACACTGAGGTTTAAAATTTTGTCTGCACCATCCAACCCCTCTGGGGATCTGGCCTTGAGATTTGCTATGACAACCGAACCCAACGGGGTGGCTTCTCTTCCTCTCAGAGGCGTGGCTGAGATGGTTTTCTCTTGGGGAAGGTTTGTGTTTAGAAAGAGCAGAGATCTCTTCAGGCAGGAGGAGCTGCTGGGAACACAAGTGGCCAAGTGCACAGGACGAGCGTTTATATGAGCACAAAACATTGAGTGAGAATGCTAGCAGCCAAGCAGCCTGTTGTTTTGAGACAACTGGTATTTTTGCCCGACTCTTCATTATTAGATGCCATCTTCCCCATCCCAATGCACAGAAAGGGTACAAATAATGACCAGTTCTAGCCTGGGAGCCCCCATTCTGCACCTGAGCCTTTGTCAGCTGCCAGGTGACTCAGTCAGTGAAAGGGGACAACTAGAAGTACATTAACTCTGAAGAGGACCAGAGGATAAGTGTTCTTGTTTATCCTCTAAGTTGGGACTGATGATGATGATGACGATTATGATGGTGACAATATGATGATGAAAGGCTTATTTGTATTGTATTTTGGAGCACGTAAAATATTATTCCACAAGTTATCTCATAACACAAAATATATATTCTGTCTATAGGCTTTGGGCAGACTATCTGGTCTTGTTAAGTGATCTAAGTTACCTCTGTTGAGGTACTGATACTGGCTGCCAATGACCAGAAGAAAACTTATTTCGAAGTGACTGGAGTCCAAATGAAATGTACTGGCTCAGACACAAAAGAGCCCGTGGTGGGTCTGACCCCAGGCAGTGCTGGCCACAGGGCTCAGCCGATCTTATCTAGACGTGATTTATTTCCATGCATGTGCTCCGTGCCAGGGTTGCCTTTGCTCCGAGAGGCCCCAAGATTGGTGCCAGAAGCCCGGACTTCTGTGTTCTCCCACAGTGCAAGTCCAGTTTGAAAAAATATGGGTCAGAGTCTTATTTCTAGAAGTGTGCACAACAGTCTTGGCCCCGGGCTGTGTGCCCTTACTGGCTCAGGCCTGCCTGGGCCACAGCCACAACCACCCACACCCAAACTGCTAAGAGGCAGCCATTTCTGGAAATACACCAGGATACGGCTTCCAAGAAAAGGGAGTACAGTGAGAGCACAAACCACGGACAGCTGTTAAGTCCCTACATGGGAAAAATGATCACTCACATTTGCTGGAGGAAAAGGTCAACTTAGGAATAACCTTTCTGGAAGACACTTTCATAATGTATAAAACCTTCCAAGACACCTGCATAAAAATACCAGCATCTGGTATTTTTATTTCCAAATCTATTTTACTGAAATAATTGAGCATGTGGGTGAAAATCTGCATGCAAAAATAATATGAATAGGGAAGAATACGAAGTTCCAAATCATATGACATATATTTATTCACTTGAAAAGATAGCTATAAATAGAAAATATAAGTGATAAAACGTATCTATAATTAATAATATCTTTGTTAAATGTGTAAGTTGTCATGTCTAGAAAAATTTCTGAAAGATTAAACAAAAGGCTTTTAAAAATGGCCATCGCTGGATTATGGGGCTATAGACAATATGTAGTTTCTCATTTTTCTGCTTACTTGGTCCTCTAATTTTCCTGGCATGATTTTACATATATATACAATTTTTTTTGCCAAAAAGATAAAATCGAAATGGCCATGGTCCACAGCATCTTTGGCTTCTAATCCTCAACATTCACCGGATTAGTCTGGGGTGACAATTATGGCTCAGAGGAGCAATGCAGGTTTAGGGGACAGATGGAGAGGTGTTGTGGTTTAGAAAATAAAAGCTTCTTTTTGAAGGAACTTTATCTCCTTATAAACATAACCCTCACCCAGCAGATGTTCCTCTTAGCCTCACAGCTGAGAAGTAAGCAAGCACCACTGTGGTGTGGTCATCCTAAGTCAACAAAGACTCCACACCTGCCCCTAATGGCGGCGCACACAAAATGCCATGCTACCATGACGGAGGTAGAACAGTGTCCAGAACCGTCCCAATTCTCTGAAAATGTACCTGGATGACGAGAGAGAGAAATACACTCAAAATTGCCGGTGTGGAAACCAGAACTACTCAAATGGATGGTTTACTAAATTACACTTAAACCAGGTGCTTACAATTTTGAAATGGTTCCCGGGTGGCCTAAGAGAGTCTCAGTATGTACTGTGTACGCTCACACACTTTAGAATGGCCAGCACTCTTGAATGTAGAGTTGGTTTTTTTAAACGTTGACAGAGGGCTGATTGTTTGTTTTAAGTTCTGCTTTGTAGAGAATCCTTTCAAAACAGGAGCTTCTGTGAACGCATGCCCAGAGACATTCTCACTCCTGGGCTCCTTTTCCTGAGGGCTCTCGGGCAAAGGTGAGCATTAAAAGGGTATGTCCTGATTTACTAGGGCCTGCCTCCTTCCCCAAAGCTCCATGTGCAAGAGTTTTCCCCAGGGGTGCTACGTTTTTCTGAACTACTGTTTCATACACCCTTAACTTCATGTTCTACAGATAATCCACTCACCACCAGAAACCGTAGCCAACAAGCAGGTGAAACAAGCCGCTTGCCTGAATGAAATCATCCTAAAAGAGAAAGCAACACATGCCTGACTCCACTGTTCCTAGATGCATTCAACAGGAATCTTAACTTAAGAAGACATGGATTTTCTTTCAAATGTCTGGATTGGGAATCAAAGTCCACAATGAAAAGAATACAGGTTTTCTGTACATTTTGTGCCCAGATATTTGGCACAAGGTGCAAATTGAGACCTCTAGACTACTAATTGTGTTTACTGTTAGTTTGCCAGCTATGTTGTTGGTTAAGTATGGAAAGAAAATTGGTAGAGGGGAGCTAAACAGTTATAAAATCTCTTGATTCGAGCAGAAAGAAAATTATTGTAAATAGTGGCAATAATATCATTTCAGTTTCCCTAACTAAAGCCCTTAACATAGTCAAGCCCATTTTTAAATTTTTACATCAGTTCATACTCTTTTGATTTTAAAACATTTTACATTTAAATATCTCCCCGTAAAAAAAGCACCACTATTTTGGATACTCTCTAAATACACAGAAAATTAAAAGAAACTAGTCGCTTCTTCAAGCCGTAGAAACCATGCTTAATTAGACAAAACAAAACAAACCAAACCAAAAAGCACTGTCTTTGGAAGCAATTGGAATAACAAATTCTCTACCTGAAAGACCCTCTACCTGAAAGGGTCTGTGCTTCCGGGCTGGGGGTTTCCCGTCACTGACAAACGGATGATGTTCAAGTGTACCCCTAGCGGCTCGGCAGGCAGTGTTTGCTGGCCTTCGATGTTGACTTTGGCTTTCTGCCAGTGGTTCCAACCATCTGCCCTGTCAACATATTCTATGACAGTGCCATTCCTGGGTTCAGCTATTTGCTATATTAACCATTTCGCGCTGGTCCTAGGGGTGCCCCCAGGTTTCCCTTTCTAAAAATGTTCCTAACGTTTCTCCGTTATTGGGGCTTGTGAAGCTGAAAGCCCCTCTAACGGGACTTTGTCCATTATAATTGCCTAGATGCACAATTGAGTAAAGGGTGGGTGGGTATAGGCAAATAACCCTGGCAGCATCTCAGGGCAAATGATGCCTTCCTCTGTCATGGGCAGAGCATCGAATACAGTACCACGGAAATTTAAGCACTGAAGGGGGTTGGTGGATGTTTAGGTCCTGCTCCCACCTCATTCAGAGAAGATGATGTAGCAAGGTTGACAGGTCATAATTCACAGACCAAATGGGGCCCAGCACTTGTCTTTGCAGATAAAGGCTTATTGCAGCACAGGTACCTGTGCAGCACACGCCCACTCAGGTATTATGTGGGCTGGCTTCCACCCTCCAATGATAGCTAAGTAGTTGTGATAGAGACACCGTGGCCTGCGAAGCTGAGATTCGCTATCCAGTCCTTTTCAGGTGAAGCAGGTAAAAAACCCAGGCTAGCATACCTGGCGTAGAGTTTAGACTTCTTTGTCAGGACACCTTGACGGCAAAGAGGCTGGTTTTCCCAGGAGCCTGTTTCTGCTCAGGGAGTTTTACCTCATTTTAATTTTTAAGAACAAGTCTCTCTATACGCTGAAATACATCTCCTTGCATCTTCCATTCTTTGGCCCTAGATTTACCTACTAGACCACACACACACAAAACTTTTCTCCTTTTTGTGCTTTTAAAAATATTTAAAGGCCAAAACCACTTGCCCATTAAAGTCTCCTTTGTTTTCTAACTATGCTTCAAAATCGCATTACATCTTTTGGGCTAGAAACCTAGATTTTCAGAGAGCTGATGCTTAGGTAAATATTTAATGCACATTGCTGCAATGCAGAACTGTGTTCATTAAAAATGTAGCCTAATGTTGTCAATAAAGTAATTTTTAGCTGTAATGAAGGAGCATATTTGAAATATGCCAGCTGCGATGCTTTTCAGATTCAGGATGTCTTTTGAACCACCTGCCAATTCTTTTCATTGGGGTTTACTTTGACTGATTCCTGTCTTTCCCAGTTAGTCAACTTATGTTTCATGAGAATAAAGGCTGTCCTAAAAATCATATTTGTATATGCTAGTTGTGCCTTAAAGGAAAAAGTGTCATCACATTGAGACGTGATCGTCTTATTTGAAACAAGGTGGTGGAGGGGGGCTCTACAAGTACCCTGGGCAACCAGAAAGATGAACAAGTGGGCCCTACAGCTAATTAAGCCTGAAACACCAGTGAAAGAGGGGAGGAAAAAAGACAAAACTGAAAGTGGCTCACTTCGGGCACATCATAAGAAGGAAGAATTATTTGGAAGAGACGATGATGCTGGGAAAACCAGCAGGCGGCAGGAGAAGGGGGGACCAGCTGTGAGATGGAGTGACTTCATCAGCGACGCCACAGGCATGAGTCTATGGGAGCTGAATTGGGCTGCTGAGGACATGGCATTGTGAACATCACTCACTCATAGGGTTTCCATCAGTGGGGCCAGACTAATGGCTCACAACACATGCACACACACCACATATTATTTAGGTGATGCAAAGAAATACATTTTGACCTTCTAGATACAGTCCATGGCAAAAATTGATCTTTTTGAGATCAGAATCTCCTTATTTGTGAGACAGGTGAGTAGTTGGTCCAGAAACGGACATTCCACAGTTGTCTCAGCATCAATTCAATCACTCATCACCTGGAGAGGTTTCTAGACAAGAAATCCCTGGTACCCAGTAGATGATTGTGGGTTTTGCCAATTCCCAGGTAGTCCTGAGAGACTGCACGTTCTTTTGTCAGCTGAACAAAACGTGTTGGGGTTTCTACTTCTTCTCTAGTTTACTTTTCAGAGGCAGGGAAACTCCAAATCAGTCTATGATGACGGCATGAGGATGACATTAACTCAAAAATGCAATTCCTTTGATTTCCTTTATTGATGAATCAGTCACCTACTAATTTACCTTTGAAAGTTATCTGTATTTCACACTGACCTCAATTCTCAGAACACAGTGTAGCAGCCATGTTTAAAATGTGATTTACTTTTCTTAAGATGTTCCTTTCAAGCAGGAGCATGACAGACTACAGGCACACGAACAGATATTTGATCATTCTCTTATTTACAAGAAAGTCAGCATCTTCATTTGGATACTACAGACCATAACATACTTTCTCCATCCAACTGAGACACAATTTAAGGGAATTTACAATTACAATATGAATAACATATTTTCTCTGGGGCCAAATAGTAACCTGAAGCAATGGTTTACTTTAAATTTAATTTCATGTCTAGTATAGAGTCACTGAGAAGATTTTTAAAAGGCAAGGTTTAAATGTAAGTGCATAAAATTGAGAAATATTAATTTGTAGCAATAAAACTTTAATTATCCAAAGTCATCTGGGAACAGATTTTCTACGTAGACCCAATTTCTAGATAACAAAGTTTATCATATCCTGGGAATCATTTTCAATGGTATCATATACTTCCTTGAGTTTTTCTCAGCAACTTGGGGGCTGCGCTGACTCTTGGAGTCAGTAGAGCGGGCACCCTGGTTGACCCAACCTGCAATGCCTCAGCCTGTAATGTTTGCCAAGTGGTTTGGTTTGTGAACCTCTTCCTTTGATATCCATTAAAGAATGGACATTCCATTCTCTTAACTTGTTGCTTCTGCTATTCTTTGAGAAAATTGAAGAAACCATCTTATTAAAAGTATCTATTAAAAGAAGTTTTTTCAAGCCACTGAGTGAGTAGAGACATGATCGGTGGAACTGAAATTCAGAGGATGTGTGTTGGTTATCTGCTTGGTAGGTGTGTTCTGGAAGATCGCATTTCCTTGGAGGTTAACCCTACACTGAGACAATGCTGGGTTGCTCAATGTGCCTGTGCAGTTTCCCTCTTCATTAACGATGGAAGACTTCCAGACCTGTGCTCTACTGACACACGCAGTTACAGATATGAGCTTCACAAGCAAGAGCATATTGCAGTAGAAGTGTATCATTCTGGGAGTGGAGAGACCGAGAGTATAGACCTCTTTCTATTTTCAGCACCGGCATGACTTTGGACAGAAACTTACCTCCCATTGATCTCTTCCATTACTTCTAATGAACAGGAGGATAACTAAGTAAGATCTAAGGTGCTTCCAGCTCCAAAAGCCCTTAATCAGCATTTTGAGGTACAGTGAGGGATTAGAGATTATGAAAAGGAATCTCTCCTCATAATACATGATGGACAAAGGTCATTGTGACATTATGTAGAATGAAATGAAGCTTGCAAGTACATAGTTAAAAGGGAGATAAAAGCAGAACCTATAGGTCAACTTATAAATGACGTACCTTCCCTGATATAATCTGAAAAGCATCACAATAATAAATACTCCCATAACTAATGCCACTGATATAATTTTTAAAACTTAAGCCCCTTCAGTCAAAGTACTTAATTACTCACCCTTCTCAAATGAAATTTATATGTGTGCCCAAACATATATGTTCCTGAGTCAACAAGAGTATCTTAAAAAAACTCTGCAACCTCAATGGAATTATACCCTTTGGGTCTGTCCATTGAAATTGAAGTGGACTATGGGTCCCTCTGTTGAGAAACTTACACATTTATTTGGGTATAGACATCAGTTAACTCTCCTTTTGGGATCAAGACCAGGGATGAGAGATATGGCCATTTTAAATATATAAAAACTCTCTGTTTGGTAGACTTTACCCCAGGGTAAGTGGTGACAAGAAAAAGTTAGGTCTAGGAATGAAGGGAATTGAACTGACGATTAAGTTTCCCTTAGAGAAAAATCTTATTCTGGAGACATGCACAGCACTAGACTAAAGTTAGGGTTCACGGACATTTCTCCTCTTCAACTTGATCCAGATGCCGTTACTCGGATGAAGAATCAGATCTCCCATCAGACCAAGTTCTTCTCTTTTCTGGCTGCATTCGACCCAAAAGTGCCTCAGGATGCAGGAAAGAATGACCTTTTCTTCCATCATGGCAAACTTTTGACCTTCAAATTAATGTAAATAACATCATTTTAATTATATATATATATCACAAACTGGAGAAAGAAGAGGTTCTACTAGAGGAGGCAAGCAATGTTGGATTTTCACTGTAGGCTCTGGGGGCACCAGAATCATTTGGAATGCTCCCTGAAATCGAAGATTCCTGAGTGCCCTTCCCCTCTCCTACCCAGAGCATCTGGAGAGCTGAGGGGGCCAAGGATCTGAATTCCTGCAGCACTCTGATGAACCCTGGGCTCGCTGGGGCATGGGAAACACTACCCTAGAAAGGCCTTCTTATAGGGCCTTTGATGCAATTTACTGTGGTGTTACCAGGCCTCCTGTTATCGATACCTGAATTTACATATATAATAAAATGCCAGCGATACTAAAGCCAGAGTGTTCATAATGCCTGATGCTGGGCATTCATTTTGTATAAGTACCCCAGCTGGTCCTACGGTAAGCATCCTTTGTGTTGCTTTTGATTTTGACAAAAAGCAGTTTTTAAAAGCAATAAACACAGAAATTGGTTTAAAAACAACTAATTGTTATTAATAAGCTTTGTATCATAGAAAGTATATTCTACTTTAATCCCAAACCTACAACACTTTAAAACTCTACCATGAAACCAATTATGCTTTATGTTACGGGATGAACTGTGTTCTACCAAAATTTATATGCTGAATTTTTAACCCTCAGGACCTCAGAACATGACTGCATTTGAAGACAGGGCCTTTAAAGAGGTGCCTGAATTAGAATGAGGTCATTCAGGTGTTCCTTAATCCAATTTGACTGGTGTCTTCATACAAAGAAGAAATCCAGACAAAGATAGATACTATGTGGAGACACAGGAAGAAGACCTCCATCTATACAGAAAGAGATCTCAGAAGAAACCAGCCCCGATGACACCTTGATCTTGGACTTCTGGCCACCATAATTATAAGAAAATAAATTTCTGTTGTGCAAGCCACCGGGTCTGTGGTACTTGGTTACGGCAGCTCTAGAAAACGGATAAACTTGATGAGAGCCCTACTTTAAATCAATAAGGTCTCGTGAAGTGGAGACAAAATAAAACCACCAGTTTTGCAAAAGACTTGTTTATGGAACACTGCATCTCATAGACATTGTGTGAGAAACCCAATACCCTGTGGGCCTGAAAGGTGAAACCAGCTCTGGTGGATACGGACCTATACAGTTTCTGGGTCCAGCAGAGAAGGGCACATATGCGTATGGATGGCGTCCTGTGGAATTTTCGGGAAGGAAACGCTCTGGCTGGAATTCCTCCGGATTGGGGAAGTGCCGCGGGTCTCTATGCAGCGAGTAGAGAAAGATGAGGACTTGGGAGCCTTTGGCAATGGTATAGCCTGCTGTCAGGAGGCAGGAAGTATGGCATGAGCATGGAGCAACCCACGTGTACAAGCCCCCTCTCCCTGCTGCTTTGATGATAGCACTCTTACCAATCTCACAATCTTCAGTAAGATTACGGGCAAAAAAAGGAACAGGAGGGAAAAGACGAAGGGTCTCCTTGATAACACACTCCAGATATTTCAGTTTCTTCAGGTCTGCTAAGGTGGCAGGGCGATCGGACTGCCCTGATTAAAGTAAACATACACAAAATAAATAAAATAAAGAACTACTTGGGCTTGGGGGATAAGATATCAAAAAAGAATACATTAATCAATACACTGAAATGTTAAATACCAACAACTAAACAAGAATATCTCATAGTAAAGGTAATCAAAATAAAATAAGACAATAACGCTAGGTAAAAAGAACCAGACACACAAGGTCATATATTGTATGGTTCGATTTATAGGAAGTACTCAGAGTAGATAAATCCATAGAGATAGAGTAAGTTAGCTGCTGTCAGGAGCTGGAGGAAGAGGAAATGGGGCGTGGATGAATGCTGCAGGGTTTCTTTTTGGGGTGCTGGAATGTTTTGTAATGAGAGGAAACAGCAGCACAGCATTGCAAATGCATTAAACTGTATTTTTAAAGGGTTCATTCTGAGTGCTCAGAGCTTCTTCCATCCTCTCTTGGGTCAGACTTTCCTCTCAACACCACCCCCACCCCTGGCCTGCCAACAAAGAAATGGAAACTGCCTGCTGCCTCCTGACCTGTGAGGAGGCAGCAACCTCTTGGGACTTGCTGGAGGAGGGAAAAGCACAGCAGGGAGCAGGGGAACATATTGAGAAAGTCAAAAATAAAATAGACCCACTTCATAAACAAGCCAATGAGAAGATTTTGAAGGTCAACCTATAAAAAGCTCTGCCCACCATTTTTCTTTTTCAGAAAATATTGAAATCAATTGCCAAAACCCCCAGTTGGTCAACCATCTCTAAGCCTGCCCTGCTCGGGGAGGGGGATGAAAAGGCACCGGGCTCATTGGACCAGAGTCGAAGTGACAGAACAGGAAGATGTGAAATCAGGCCACAGAGTAGAGCTTCATTTTGATGAAAATCCTTCCTTCGAAAATAGAAAGAATTCTCTCTAAAGAATTTCACCTGAGTGACAGCGGTGATGCATTTTCAATGTCCACTGGAATATCGGGACAAGATTTGACGGAATGTGCAAGTCCAGTGCAGAATAAGGCCAGCAGCGAGAGGCAGCGAGCCATGAAAGGCTACCCTCCCGAGTGCATGCTCAGATGCAGTGCTGATGACCGGGGAGAGATCATCAAAGGTGATGTCTGGCAAAACCCAATTTCATTACTACTTGATTCCTGATCCGGATGGTGAAAAAGAGGGAGGAGAAGAAAAAAAAGAAGATGATGATGAAGGAAAAGAGAGAGGAGGCTTGAAAGATACTGATGAAGAAGTTGATGAGGATGACAGACAAGAAGACTAAGGAAGACTAATGAATGCCAACCTCCTTTTGAAATTTTTTTTCTCCAGTCACTGGAAGCAAGACATTCGCTATTGTAATTTTGTTCCTATTTATTTATTTATTTATTTATTTATTTATTTATTTAAAAAATTTTCTTTCTCTTATGTTCAGTCACTCTTCTCTTGCTCTTTTCTCTCCTTGACATTCTGGTCCACAATTATCTTGGCAAAGATACCTTGAGCAGAACACAGTGGGGAAAGAATCTCTAGCATTTCTGTTCCAAATTCATTTTTTATCCCTTCCCGACTCAACAAACCCTGTGTGGAATCAACGCCACTGGGCTCTGTGAGAAGGAAGACCAGCTTTCTGATCCTGTGTCTCTCCTGTCAGCTGGAAGCTGGCCCATGTGGTAGGGTGTAGAACTCTAGCTTTTCCCTTCTTTTCTCTGTATGTCAGGGTTGCCATGTCTCCATGAATATGGGCAGTTAGCACTTACCAACATGTATCTGTCTACTTCCTCTCGTATAAGACGTTTTTTTAAAAATGCATTTATAGGTCAGCAAAAGGTGGTTTTCAGGTGTTTCGGTGGGTTGAGCAGGCATTTTGACAACACAGCTTTCCCCCTGACACGTTTAATTGTGATGTCTAATGGATTTCCTTGCAGTTTAAGATAATACTGTTAAAATGAAATTCCTAATGACACCTTGAGTGAGCCTATAGAGTATTACTTGGAATTGGCATTCTCTATTGTAATTTTGTTCTTGTTTATTTTCATTTTCCTTTTTTGTTTCACTAGAAAGAAACAATAATGCTCAGTGTAAAACATTAAAAGTGTACTAGTTGCTTTGTTAGAACAAAACTAAATGTAAAGTTTATCTCAGTTAAAAAAAACAACAAGGAATTGATACTTACAACTCAATACCAAAGATCAGTTGCTCAAAAATTTTAGAACTAGTACTGGGGGTAGAAGAAAAAGTGAGGCACAGTTAGCAAAAAAACAAGAGAAGCAGCATAATAAAATTTTTAATTAAAATAGTGTCACTAATTATGTGAGGTCAAGAAGCATTTCTGAGAGACTTCCACCAAGATGGAGGCATAGGTGGATATCCGTGCCTTCTCACACAACCAAGTTTAGAGACAACTAAATATTAGCAACAGAGAACACAGCCAGAACACAGAAAATTGAACTTTTTGGAAATCTGTTAACAACAAATTCTTCAGCCTGAACGGTAAGGGGCGAAACCAGCAGCTGGTGGAGCGGGGTAGCACAGGAAAACTCGGTCAGACGGACTCGGGCGCGGAATCCAGGCGCATGGTTGGACCTAGTGAGCGACTGAGCGTGGGACCAAGCGAGCGACTGCGGGGAAACAGCAAGGGAGCAGGGCTGCGGGTTGACTGTGGTCGCGCATTTGTGCGCGAATAGACAAGCTAGGGAGTGAGCGATGGAACCGGGACCCAGCGGGTTCCCGCAGCAAGCGGCAGGGAGGGTGCCGCCATTTCCCTGCTCTGACCCCACCTCCACGTACAGTGTCACAACCCAGCGACCTGGGAGTCCAAGGCTCCGTTCCTCACACTTAAAGGGCAGGAACAGACCAAAAATGGCTCAAGAAGATCTCAAAGCCCCGGAGCCTATAAATCTAAGTGATGAAGAAATAGCAAAACTCTCAGACGCACAGTTTAAAACACTGGTCATCAGGATCCTCACAGAACTGGTTGATTATAGCCACAAATTAGACAAATATATGAAGGCGAAACTAATTGAAATGAATGGAATTGCACAGGAAACCAATAGCAATGAAAAGGAAACTGGGACTCAAATCAATGGAGTGGACCAGAAGAAAGCAAATAATGACCAAACAGAAAAGAGTCAAGAAGCAAGAATTCAAAGAAATGAGGAGAGTCTTAGGAACCTCCAGGATATCTTTAAATGCTCCAACATCCGAATTATAGGGGTACCAGGAGGGGGAAAGGCACAGCCACCAGTGGAAAACTTATTTGAACAAATAATAAAGGAGCTTCCAGGAAGCTCAGAGAGTACCAAAGAAGTTGGACCCAAGAAGGAACACACCAAGGCACATCATCATTACATTAGCCAAAATTAAAATGAAGGAGAGAATCCTAGAACCAGCAACAGCTAAGGGGACAGTCGCCTACAAAGGAGTCCCCATCAGACTGTCAGCAGATTTCTCAAAAGAGACCTTACAGGCAAGAAGGGGCTGGAAAGAGGTATTCCAAGTCATGAAATCCAAAGACCTACAACCAAGATTGCTCTATCCAGCAAAACTTTCATTTAGAATGGAAGGACAGATAAAGTGCTCCTCAGATTAGGTCAAATTCAAGGAGTTCATCATCACCAAGCCCATATTATATGAAATGTTAAAGGGACTTATCTAAGAAAAAGAAGTTAAAGAAACATGAACAGTGAAAGGACAGCAAACTCACAGTCATTAACAACCATACCTAAAACAAAAGCAAACTAAAAGGACAGCTAGATCAGGAGTGGAAACATAGAAATGAAGATCTCAAGAAGGGTTAGCAACAGGGGAGTGGGAGGAGGAGAAGGGGGGAGAAGGTACAGAAAATAAGTAGCATAGACAGTAGATAGAAAATAGATGGGGGGCAAGAATAGCATGGGAAATATAGAATCTAAAGAACTTGAGACACATGGTCATAAACTAAAGGGGGGGTAATGGTGGGGACGGGGGGTAGGGTGGAGGGGAATGAAGGGGGGAATTGAACAACTGTAACAGCATAATCAATAAAAAAATTTAAAAAAAGAAGCATTTCTGAGACTGGCAATGAGCTAGAAATGATAGAGAACACAAACACATGAATGTTTTCCAAAAGGACCTGTGAGTTTTTAGAATCCCAGATTTACCCACGGGAGGAAAGCTGAAATTCACGTTGATATGGAAAAACTAAAAGGATGGCAGGAACAGACAAGAACTTTGGCTTGTCCCCATTCTACAAAACAGTCTTCCCTCTTGATAGGGAAGTCCTGTCCTCACACAATCTGAACAGGACATTACTTTTCCAACTTCATCTCTCGATATAGTCGAACACATGTACTGAATTCTACCTGTCCTTTACGGTTTACTATTATCTTCAAACTTTTCCGCTCTGCCATTGCTCATCCGGTGCCCCTCTTTCCAGGATGCCTTCCATCTCTTCCTTTTATCCTTAATTTTTCTCCCTTCCCACTTCTTTTCTGTAGGAAAATCCATCAGATACCACTTCGTTGGTTGGCCAACTTAACCTTTACCTTTCTCCTTGCAGCTACGGGAAGCCATGTGACGTGATTAAACAAAGGCAAGGTTGATGCCACAATGCATTGTCCCTTTGTGGTGGGTCCTAATCCAGGAAGCCTGCAAACGTTACCATATTTGGGAGAAGGTGCTTTTGAAGATTGTATTAAGGATCTTAAAATGGAGAGATGATGGTGGATTATCCACGTGGGCCCTAAATGCCAGCCCAGAGGTCACCAGAAGAGAGAACGGGGGGAATGTGACACACGCCCTGAGAAGAGAAGTCGATGTAAAGATGGAGACAGAGACCTGAGTGATGTAGCCATAAGCCAAGGAGTGTGGGCAGCCACCAGAAAGAATGGGTTCTCCCTCAAGGCTTCCAGAAGGAGTGCAGCCTTGCCAATACATTGATTTAGCTCAGAGAACCTGATTTGGGACTTCTAGTGTCCAGAACTGTAAGAGAATACATTTCTATTGTTTTAAGTCACCCACTTTGCAGAATTTGTCACAGCAGCAAGAGGAGACTAATACGCCCTCGTCTCCTCCTCCCCTTTCTTCTTGCCTTAAAGATAAACATGAGACCCAAGAACAGTGATCAAGGAAAAAAAACCCATGATGGTGAAAATGACAGAGAGAAAAAAGAGCAAGCCCGGAACTCTGGTGACATCCCTGTTGTAGGTCAGAACTCCTTACTTACAGATTGCTGGTGGTGCAAAAGAAATTTATGTCCTATAAGCTCAACACACATTTTCTCTCATTTGTGGCCCAAAGCAATCCTACTACAACAGCTTTCCTTGACCCCTCTAACTAGTTTCTCCTCTCTGCTCTCAGGGACCACCTTCTTCATATCACTCAAGCACACAGCCTCGATGGGATGGTTTATTTACAACGTCTGCTTCCTCTTCGAAGCAGCAAGCTCCTTGAGAACCGTAACATTTGTCGGCATAGCCCCAGCATCTAGCCTGGTGCCATCACACACCTAGAAGTTAGCAAATGCCTGTCAGTGAGTGGATGAGCTCTTGCAGAGGAGATTGGTCCTGGAAGGGATCCCACATGGCAGCCTTCCTGCTCCTTACAGCATCTTTAGAACAGGTCCTATCACACATTCTTGATGAGAAAGAACGACAGTTGCTTCAGTGACTTGGGACCTGGTGAAGGGGCCAGACATACCAAACACTTCGTCCAGCTCGTTGTCCAATTTTTTCTGGACTTCTGGATAAGAACCCAATAGATACAAGGCCAAGTTCATGGCAGCTGCAGTGGTGTCATGACCCTACGAAGGTAAAAAAAAAAAAAGAGTTGAAAAAGGAGAGTGCCATTGAGGAGACTGGGAGGGCTAACCATTGTGGATGGTGTCTAGATTTGGCAGCTGTAACATGACCCCAGCTGTCATGGGTCCAACAAAATGTTGGACAGTGTTTTACTTTGGTGAGAAACAAGTAAATGAAACGATCCCTTCCAAGTGGATGCCTCTGCTTAGAGGGACATTTCTGTGCTACTGAGTCATGAACGTGGGAGGAAGTGGTGGTGCTGGGCTAGGAAGAGCCACTCCAGGGGAATCACATGCACTAGGCTGTTTTTCAGGCAAAGTCTCTGCTGAGCCGACTTCCCAGATCTGTTCTCCTCTCCTTTCCCCCATTTGTAAGGTAGACTCTACCTCTCATTGCCACACACCAGGGATTGTGTGTGTGGTTCTGAGTACAGCATCCACATCAAAGGGTTCATAAATAGCCTCACTGAAATCTTGTGGAGTTTTAGGCAAAACACTACATTAACACTTTAGAAACTAACTCAATTATTCTTTACTAAAATCCTGGACTACATGATACTCCTATGGACATTTTACAGATGATAAACCAAGACCCCCAACCTAAAAAAGCTAAATGACTTTCCCAGGGCCGGATAGCTTAGTAGGAGGTGGAGGTAAGAACAAGACCCTTGGAGCTACTGATGACAAAGTAGAGCCCACTTCCCCTCTGGGAGTGTGGGGACCCACGTGAAGGAGACTCCAGCTCAAGTGCAAGCAGAACCCCCCTGGGTGACTCTGTTCTGTACACACTCAGTGTTTCAGGCATTAGCACCGATATCCTAACCTCATCCCACCAGGAGACTCCATATGCAAATCGGTCAGTTCCTAAAAACAAGAATGTATTTGGAAAATAAAAATTATATTTATAGCCCTCTGACTAAGACTTTTAGGGGAAAATGAACAAAAACAAAGGGTGTCCTCTGTGGGAGGTCTCATTCTTGGGTTTACCCTAGGTGACACAGGTGCTGGTTGTAATAATTCAGCCTCTGGGCAGAAACCTCTGAAGCACTTCTTTTCAGCTCCTAAGTTGAATCATTGAGGATTATTCTGCAATTTTAAAAAATATGTAGTTCACAAGTCTCTGATATTGGCATCGCTGCACTGTCTTACATTTGCAGTTTCTTTACAGAATGACTTTAAACTCCAGGCAAAATCCGGCCCATTTCACTCAGTTGTTTACCAAAATCACAGAAGGACGTGCTCTTGCTAAATAATGTCCAAGGGCTTTTCTTGAATCTGAGTGGAAGCCTGATCAGAATGTGTAAGAGACGCCAAACTTCCTGTTTCGCTTTGTCTGCTCCCAGACACCACAGAACATAGAGCACTGAGGGGACAGAAGCGCCTTGTGGGACTGGGCAGGGCAGGAATCCGATTACCTGGAATCTAAATATCTAACGGCGAGAACCACGCAACGGATGGTGCTGCGCCTACCTCTCGGAGGAAGACACAATATCACCGTTATTCATGGTTGGCCTTCTATTTCATGCAAAGGAAAAAAACAACAGAATGCCAGGGAATGTTGAGCTGGAAGAGAGAGATCATTAGTCTGGTGGTTGTGGGAAAAGTGAGGGCTTGCTGGTGGGAGATGGTGTATGTGTACACGAACACGAGCGTGTGAGTGTGTGGGTGTGCGGGTGCAGGGCCCACTTCAACATTAGATACTAGCCAACATCTTTGGCACAAGAACGTGCCAGGTGCGATTCTTGGTGCACGTGAGAAATCACTCACCTAGTAGCCGTTCTGCGGGGACCGTGCTGTAACACTGGGCACGAGAAGCCCGGGAGGGCTGGAGAAGGTGGCCAAGGCCACACCTCTCCTACAGAGCTGGAATGTGCTTCACAGCCCTCCACTTTTTAGCTAAGGAGATGTCCACTTTTTGCCTAAGGTCTCTTCGATACAGTGCTCTGCTTGGAAAGGAAGATTAAAACCACTGCCAGAGTCCATGTCTCCATTTGACACGTAGGGAACCTGAGACAGAGATCGACAGGGGACGGACCCCTTTCCTGCAGCCAGGCAGCACGGAGCCGTCCCCACAGGGAGACCCTGGCCCCAGCCAGTTGCAGGCGGAGCAAACACAATGCCTGCGGGTCCCCACTCCTGATGCCGCCTCTCCCTTCCCCTCACTGCCAGGGCATTCCACGTGCTGCTCCTTAAAACCATCGTTATCTTTACTTGGTAATCCACACATTGAGAGATTTACTGTTTATAATACCTCATATAGTTAGAATTGTCTTTGCAAAAACTATCATTTTTATTCTCATTTTTTATTTTTACTGTAGAGACCAGAAATCCCTTTGGAATCACAAGCTGGCTAATAACTTCTCTATTGGAGAGCTCCTGCTGTCTTCTTAGTTAAGGCAGCTCACGGCAGGAGCTGGGCCCGCTTGTCTGGAAGTTCAAAAAGGAGGGAGTGGAACAAGAAGGAAATCTTACCTTTTGCAACAGCCTGGAGGAACCTACAGGGTACCATGCTAAGGGAACTAATACAGAAAAATACTGAATGTAAAGTGCAATTCAAAAAATTTAAAAAACAGAGTGAAGAGACAGATGTGTGCTGTTCAGAGATTCCAAAGAAGCAGGATGCGGGAATTGATAAAAGATCCAAGAGCAATCTCTGGCTGCTTTTCTGCTCGGAAACGTCTGACGAGCCTTAGGTTTCCCGGAGAAAACCATGTGTCTACCACTCTACCCACCACGAGTCAAGTTTTCTCTGAGGAAGACCATTGGTCTGGTACTTAATCAGGGTCTTAAATTCTGTACTTTCTAACTATAATACAATGACTCTTCCTCAGTTGTAGTAAACTCTTTGAAAATGTGATTAACTTTTAAAAAATATGAAAAGCCCTTTAAAGGATTCCTGTAAGTTGTTTTTTGTTAAATTTTTAAAAAACTGAGAAAAAAATGATCTTTTATATCAAGAATCCCAACATATTTTCAAAGGCTGCTACATCTAATTCTCGTTGCTTCATGTTATTTCCGATTTTACTGTGAAATACTTAAGTCCATCTAAGCATCAGTGTTTGCTTTTTCTTCGTCCTTAGCACTTTACACTCCCAAGATTTACAAAGCCATCAACAGCCCCAGGTTTTATGTGACAGGAACTGTAATTTGTTAATAATATCCACACTAACACGACCATGTGAAATACCTCAAACATGAATGTGTCCACTTCTTCTTGAATATCGTCATGACTTAGCTTCCTTCCTTCATCATCTGTCACATTTAAAAGCAAGTCAAGAAAAGCCCTGTGCTTCTTTTTGGAGGGGGTAGTGTCCTTCTCATCACTCTGGCATTCTTCAGCTCTCTCTATTTCTTTGGCCCGTTCATTGATGACCTGGGTGATTTAAATAATTACATTCTTTTGTTTGGAATTTGATAGGGCCTAATCATGCATTTTCCTATAAAAATATAGGAGCGTCTTTAACTGATGTTTTCCCCAAAACTTTCCTGTTCTTTCTAACTCAACGATAACATAAGCTTTTGTAAAAATACAGTAAAGCTTTCTGTTAACATTTTTAGGGCATTATTTGATAAGACCTTTAAAAACAAACTTAATATCAGACAAATATGTAATTTCCAAGAGCTCTTTTTGCAGCCTTTGCAACTGGACAATGGAGTTGTGGTCTGATAATCTGGGGCCTAGTGAGTTGACCTAACTAGTGAGAAAAAAGTCTGGGTGGCAGAGAGAACACAATCATTATATATTTCATAGGCTAATTTAGATCACACTCTAATTACAGGTTGTATTGGAGGAAAGAATCACCTGTATGTTTGCTGTAACTCCTGCCTAGGATGCTCTTGCCTTGGGTGCCAGCACGGCTTGTCACACTGTCAGAAAGATGTCCCCTGATCACTGTGACCCCAGTCCCTAGCTCTCACTCTCTTCTTAAGCCTACTTCATTTTTTCCCCATTACACTTAACTTGACATTGTATGTGCTAGTTCGTATCTTTCTCCTCCAACATCAGTGGGGCAGCGCATTGGTCTTCATTCACTGATGTGTTTCCCAACCTTTAGAATGTGGCTTGGCATTTTAAGAATGTTCCTTAGATATTTGTTGAATGAATAAAAGAATGAAAGCTCACACACTTAACTTGGTTATGCATTTCAACTCTCTCCTCCTTTTTGGCAGTTGTGCAGATCTGCTACTGTGCGGTTTGCATGAACAGATGATGCCCGGGTCTCTAAGAGTAACCACCGTGTCTTCTATAATTCTTGGTGGAGCCCTAGTGCCTGGCACTCAGTATGCCATTTTCAACAGTATTAAATGAATAATATTGTCCATACAATATGGAACGCACGCATTATTGATGGTGTTGTTAATGCATGACATTTGAAGAAAAGTATAATTCCATGCACCAACTGCAAACTGTTCAGTAATCACTTAGTACCAGGTGATTATGCCACATTCTGCTGCAGAAAGCTCCCTCCAACATTCCACCCGTCTAACAGCTAGTGACTTGGCAGCCACGTAACCTGCAGGTGATAGGCAGTGCCTCACCGTGAGGAAGCAATGCCAACATACTGTAACCCAAAATTTACAGCAAAGGGTAATTACGATTATTTATGCACTTTTGTCAGTACATTTAAATTATAATTTGATGTATGTTTTCAATAAAATTTTACCTTTTCATAAACACATTTTTAGCACAAAGACTAACATCCCATTTTCGAAACATTATAGTCACCTTGTCCCTAAAAATGGAATAGTAACATATAGTTATCTTTTCCAAGTTAAGAGACTGCTGTAAATGCCCTTTGCCTTTGAAAGCTACTGCCACCTAATCCAAATATTTTCTCAGAAGGCTCTTATAACACAGACCCTTGAGTCTTTATTCTTTTAACGTAGCACACTGTTTGTTAATGAATCATCATAGAGGATATCACATTTTATAATTATGTATTTGTAGATAACCTGCACAGGTAGACTAACCTCCCTCAGTGGGAAACATTAATACTCACTATATTTCTAAACCTTGGTGCGGTACTGGACACTTAGCAAGTGACTAATTAATCTTTGGGGAACACTTAGTTTTAAGGTATGACACCTACCTTTTTTCCTACTTCCACTTAACTTTTATTTTATGAGACACGGGCCCTGTGGCCCTATACATATTGACAAAACACAGAAATCACGGACTTACCAGAGAGTTCTAGAGAGCAACAGTGGTATGGTGGCCCAATGTTCTGACTCCCCCTCATACCACGGAATGATACACTGTGAAGGGCTATAATGGTACATTTTACATGATGTATGTTTTGCGGCAATAAAAACATCAAGGACTTACGCTGTTGGTAAAATTATGTACAATTCGTAGGGTCCTTTTGTGCTCCCATCCGTCCTTAAACATAAGGTACAAAAAATCAAACCAGAGCCAGGGCTGCTTCATCCTCTGATGTACCAGATCACTCATCCTATAAGAGGATACAAATATACTGGTTCATACGTCCACCACGCATGTTGCTCAGACGCCCATGTAGCGCCTGGTCTCAGGGAGGGTGAGGCGTGGTAATGACAATGGTTTGCCTCAGAGGCTGCTACAAGCTCCATCCTCTGTTTTGCTTGACAATGAAGGTATGGGTTTTTACACGCCCACAGCGGCTTAAAAATCGAATGGGTTCTTTGGAGAAATGCAGAATGTTCCACGAAACATCCTCACTAGATGGCCATCTGGCTTCTGCCTCTGTGTCTCCAGCAAGAGCCCTGGACCTCCCCAGTCTGCCTGTGGCTCAGGCGCCCCCGCGTGGGATGAAACCTGCCTGTTTAATGTCACCCCTCTGCTTGACTGCTTCTCTGGAGGGACAGAAAACAACTGGTTGTCCTTGTCCACAGAGAAGTGCCAGCTAAATACCCGTCAGTCACGTACCTGTCCCCAGTTCCTCCCTCATCACTTCCAGCCATAGAGCAGAAAGACCCAGACACAGTCCCCTGCTTCGAGAGCAGGTTCAAGGCCAATCCTGCAGACAGGCCCTTCCTGGTCACTCAATCTGTGGGAGGTATCGCCGTTTTCTTCTCAAATATCAAGTATTTAGTTTTTTTCTTTCTAAACAATTATTGTGATTTATATGTTTCTATTGATTGGTTTCAATGCTTGTCTCCCCTGTTATTCTGTGCTGTGGGCCACTAAAAACTAGTCAGTATATTGGGCAATAAATGGCAGCTTATATATCCTAAACAGATACTTGTTAGAATGAAGTAAAATGAGCAGTGGACTTAATGATAGGATACCTCAAATCAAATCAAACCCTGCCTGGGCCTTTTAATAGCTGAGTAACCTCAAGCAATTTTTAAAGTAAAAATGATTATATTTCAATAAAAAAGCAATACACACTCAGTGCAGAAAATATGGGAAAAGAAAATGGATAACAAAAACACAATAAGAAAGAGAAGCACATAACACAAAACAATAATCACAGCTAACATTCTAGTATAATATCTTAAAGTATTTTTTCAATGAATAATTTTTTATACCTAGCGGCCATCATGCTTAAAATACTTTTATCTTTCTTTTGTCACTAAATATCATAATGCAATCTCTCAATACATTATAAAATAATCAGATAAAATTACTACATAATCTGAGTATGCCATAATGTACCTAACCATTCCTCTACAGTTAAAATACATGCTTACATGATTCAGTTGCTTTTTAGTATAATGTTTCCTTTTGAAACAATGAAAGAGATACATCACAGATATGATTGGCAATAGCTTTTTAAAGCCCTGATCCATAATAACATTAAAAATAACTAGAAGGTCCCCATTTACCTATTAACTGCACGGACATACTTGGAGTCATCATTACTCTGGGCACCGATATTCTTGCCCATCGCTGTTTCTGTAAAACAGAGGTGAGAAGCCACCATTCAGCTCACACACACACCTTGTATTTCTTTTCCAGTGGCAAACACTTGAAAAGAGACATGCATTCTTTTTTTTAACCCTAACTTTCTTTTTTTTAACTTATTTTTTTAAAGATTTTATTTATTTATCTTTAGAGGGGAAGGGAAGGAGAGCGGGAGAGAAATATCAATGTATGGTTGCCTCTCGTGGGTCCCCTGCTGGGAACTGGCCTGCAGCCCAGGAATGTGCCCTGACTGGGAATCGAACCGTGGTTGCTTGGTTCCCAGGCCCGCACCAGCCAGGGAGACATACATTCTTATATATTTTAAAGCTGTTCCCTCCTCCCTTCTCACTATTGTGCCATTTATTTCTCCCACTTCCTGTTTTCTGCACTTTCTCCCCTTTGGCCTTCCTGGCCTGGTGGCTCTTTAACCTGTCAGCTCAGCTCCAAGCCCTGGCAGCAGCTGCTGCCTCTTTAGGGGGCTAACTGAGGAGTGAGCCCACCCAGAAGGAAGCCAAGATCCTTTCCAATCCCTCCACTGGCCTTCCCGGTGGAGTGCACTTTTCTAATTGGACCATTTTGTCTTTATGCCTCAGGTCGAGAAACCAACCAGGGAGACTCACCACAGATGATATCTAAGGCACAGAGAGCGACGTAAATTGAGCAGTTAAAGGCCTCTCCGTCGACGTGTTTGTTCAACTTGTTAACTAGTACATTTGCTTGTTCGTTCATGACATCCAAGAAACTTTCCAGAATTGTAAAATGGAAAGTGGGTGTTAACATTTTCCTCCTGGAGCGCCATTTGTAGCCAGTACTAGGAATACAACACGTGGTCATGAATGAAACAATATTCACACCAAACACAGAAAGACGCCAAAGTTCTTCCGGAACAGTTGTATCTACAGAATCTCAAATACTTTGGTCAGAATGACAAGGAAAATTCAGGTGTAGTTACAGAACGGACATAGTCGAGATATCCCTCCATATTACTAGCATTTCAGAGAGTATTCCTAAAAACTGAAAAATTTTAAGAATTAAAAAAAAATCTAAACTCTGAGTCTCTAAAAATTAGATTCTCACTACCTCTAACAAACCTTAAGTTCTATGAGTCTACTACTTTGTCTGTCATCTTGAAATTCTCCAGCATCCCCACCAAGGCCCTCCCTTGTCCTTTTCAGTCACTGTGTCCCTATTTCAGGGACGGAGGTCACTGGGCTCCCCATACTTCTCTGAGGAGCACTGCCTTTTTCACTGAAGTTTCAGGATTTCCCTGCTGAAAACTCCCTACTGTTCCACTCCATTTATACACCAGGACTTTCTAATTCTTCTTGAAACACTGGTGATCCGAATTACTGACTATCACGGCTGGAGATTACTTTGACGGACCTTGTCCGTCAAAGGCCAGTTTCCCCTTGACCTTGTCTTCCAGCTTCTCCCTACTACCAGATAGTATGCTCTTGCTATAGGAAAACTACCCTGTGTCAATGGCTAACATAAGTTACTCACGAGATAGCTTTACAGATTTACAATGACATACCTTGTCAGGAGTCCTAGGCCAAGCCATGGTTCTAGAAACTTGTATGTATAGGATTTGTCAATTTCCTTTGAATTTGTTAAAATCACCTTAGAAAGAGAGAAGAAATGGGAGCTATAGATATCCACACAATCTCAATTATAGGAATACCTGGCTAGAACACAACTACTTTCCAAAGCAACATTTCATAACTATTATTTTCCTGTGATTCGTTTTATTCTTGTGACTCGAAGCAGTTCAGTTAGAGTTTTGAACATGTAACTGTCACTCTGTTTGGACACTAATGAAGGGAAAATGGTCAACATGATTCCCTGGTTCCTGCCATGAACGAGGAACCAAGTGGAGTCACTGACTGAGGTGGGGAGTGAGGGTGGATCTAAGGATGCCCACATCTAGGGAGATAGAAATCACACGCTCATTATCTGCTATGTTGACTGGAGGCATTCAAGTTGCCATACTCTGAAAGCTGGGGTAAAGCTCAGGATTAAGTTTTGCATTAGAGATGCTCACATTTGAGTGTCTCCGAACTTAAGTCACATTGGAAGCCATGGGTGGTACTGGGTCATCTGGAGTCAAAGTCAAGCATAGAAGACTAAGCAGGAAATGCTTCTCAGTCTTCTTGCTCAAGTTCCCTACTCTGGATAGACCTCTATCCCTTTGCACCAAGCACACTGAGTCAGCAGCGGCTAAAATCCTCTATGTGGCCCTCTGGCTCTCTCCTCCGCACCAGCAGATTCTGCTAGGTGGTATGAGAGAAACTCTAACAGTTTTACGACAATAATGAAGAAAAAACAATCCTAGCCCAACGTCCTAGGAAATTGCTTTTAGTTCTGTTCTATGAGGAAAAGAATTTGTTTATTGCACTTTTGGCCCCCTGACCCAAATTCTTGGTCATCAAACCACAAGGCAATTCCCCCAATGTCACAATAATAAGCAAAATGCAAAGCAATTTGTTGAGTAGTGATTTCGATAACACAGATTAATAATATCTGACTTATCAATATCAGATTAGTATTCTCTTTTAGGAAAATCTGCTTATATAATAAAAGTATTATGGATATAAATATGAAACTTGAGCATTTTGAAGGAAACACTCAAATTTTATTAGTCTTATGTTTTTGGAATCTTAAAACAGTGCCTGGAAGGTAATATAAGCTCACCTTCTGGAACAATCTATTTATGGTTCTGTAAAACCATATCCTTCTGCAAACTTTTAAAAAAGGGGAGAATATATTGACACCTGATAATAGAAGTATACAGGCATCTTGAGGTTGCTATTCTCCCCTGAATTCAGACTCTACCTGAAAAGCATTAATTGGTCCCTACACAGCCCAAGATATTTAATGGATGTTCAATGTCTTAAATTCAATTACATATATGGAGATATTTACTATATTCTGATGAAATTCTCACACCATCACATATTCAATGGAATATTGATTCTATTCATCAAGACTCACCTCCACAACTTCTGTGTTATACATGGCCACCATCGGCAGGGGACCAAGCCAGACTATGGTAAATGGCAAAGATCGGCATTTTTCAGAGTACTCAATTAGCTGCTGAAAAAATTCTAGGAGAAAATATTTAATTTTAAAGAAGTCCCTTACTGTGTCTTTTGGGATTTTTTTTTTACCTTTTTCCTTTTGGATAACTCACTTAATATCTCCCAGCTCTTTCATATCTTAAAGGTAAACCACACAGCCCCTACGAAATGATTGAATGAATGAAATATGAGAGTACTTTAATTTAATTATAAGTGAGATAACATATATACAACAATCTGGTTAAATACGAAATGCCAAACCCTGGGGATGCTTGCGTGAGTTTCGTCCTGTGCCTTTCCCAAGCCTCTGAGGCTGTTAAACTTCTCCTGGCCCGGTTTCAGGGTACCCTTTCGGACGGAGGAAAACCTCTCCTGCTTCTCCAGCCCTGGTGGATAGACGCTTCCCTTCCATCCTTCCCTTCCATCCTTTCTGAGGTTCCTCAAAATATTGAGAATAGAGCTACCATACGATACATCAATTATTCCTCTGGGTATAATCTGGAGACCGGGAACACACTAATTCAAGCAGATATGTGTGCCTCCGTGTGCACTGCAGCATTATTAACAAGAGCCAGGATATGGAGGCAAGCTTAGGTGTCCATCAACACATGCATGGATAAAGAAGATTCCACACAATGGAATCCTATTCAGCCATAAAAAGGGATAAAATATGGTCATTTGTGACAACATGGATGGCCCTTAAGGGTATTATGCTAAGTGAAATAAGTCAGACATAAAAGGACAAAAAGAGTCTGATTTCACTCATGTGTGGAATATAAATCAAAAAGGAACAAATGAAGAAATATAACAAAGCAAAAACAAACACAGATACAGACACCAGAGTGGTGGTTCCTTTGGCAAAGGGGTGAGAGAGGAGAGAAATGGTCAAACAAGTGGTGATAGATGGAAACTAGATTTTTGGTTGTGAGCACACAACAGAGTATACAGAAATCAAATTTTACTATTGTACACCTGAAATTTATATAATGTTATTAACCAAGGTTACCTCCATTAAAAATAATTTAAAGAAACTCCCCTGCTTTACTAATCCTTCAGCTTCTTCCATGTCTCATTACAGAACTTCCTTGTGGGAAATGCTTATTCCTGCTGCTTTTTGTCTGACAACGCCTGTTCTTCAAAAAGCATCTTAAATGGGATTTGGCTTCGGTCCTTTCTGGCCCTGAAAACAAGACCTTGTAATAGAGCTTTTCAGGTTGGCTCCCTGTCCTTGCTCCGTCAACCACATCTCAGTACTTCTAAATACGGTTCTACAATAAAATAAACCAATTATCCTTGGAGAGGTGATTGATTTCAGAGTAGAGACAGAGAAAATACAAGAAGAGCAGAATACATTGCGGTGCCAGAAAATAAGGAAGTGCTCAAACATCAAGGAGCCAACCCCAAAAAGCTCCTAAAACCCAACACGGGAACAATCTGAGCAACAGACTAAATAATGATGGTATCGGATTATACAATGCCACTTAAGTTCATACTAATATACATGCATAAATGCATACATACGTGGTGCCAAGGGACAACTCTTCTTTACAGAAGAATTCTAAGTAATGAGTGTAGAAGAAAGGAAGGAAATACAATTACCATTGGGCAAACAGCACAGTAATATCGTTGCAGGGAAGGTCCACCGAGATGTAAAAATCAGGGGGTGCTAAAGGTTTGAGGGGAAACAGCCTATTTGCAGAGTCTCAAAGTACAGTTAAATATTTATATTTGTAATATTTGTTTATAAATTACAAAGGGAAAAAGAGTAACTTTAGAGTGAAACAACCTGGCAGACACACTTCTTAACGAGCAATCACAGTTAATACCACCAGTGACAACATATTGTCTCTGGTCCCCAGTGATGCCATGTGCTGTAAAGGACACATCACTTTTATGACACTCTTTTTCTAACGGAGTTATCATTGAAATAGCACATATTAGTTTCAGGTGTACAACAGACATGATGATTTTTTATATTGTACACATTTTGAAATGATCACTACAGTAAGTCTAGTTAACATCCATCACCTTACATACTTAAGACTTTTTTTCATGTGATTAAAACCTTTAACATCTGCTCTCTTAGCAGCTTCCAAATAAGCAATACAGTGTTGTTAACCGTGGATGGAATAGTGTGCATTCCATCTGCAGGGACTGTTATTTTATAAATAAAATAATGTAAGATAGTGACACAGGTTTTCTAAGAGCGCTTTTTAATTGATTGAACTGAGAGAGAGAAAGAGAGAGACGTTGACTTGTGTTTCACTTGTTTGCACATTCATTGGTTGCTTCTTTTATGTGCCCTCACTGGAGATCAAACCCATAACCTTGGCATATCAGGATGATGCTTAAACTAACTGTGATACCCGGCCAGATCCCAACAGCATAGTCTGTCCATTCTTGTTGCCTTTGTCAAAAATTAATTGACCATATTTGCATGGGTTTATTTCTGAGTTCTCGATTCTACAGATTTGTAGTAAAGGTTAAAAGTAGGAATTGTAATGTATTCAGCTTGGTCCTTCTTTCTCAAGATTGCCTTGTCTAGTCAGGTTTTGTGTGTGTGTGTGTGTGTGTGTGTGTGTGTGTGTGTGTGGTTCCATATAAATTTTAGAATTTTTGCTCATTTTTTTTCAGTGCACAAGACTTCCACCACTTTGGTTAAATTTATTCCTAGGTATTTTATTCCTTTTGAATTAATTGTAAATGGGACTGTTTTCTTAATTGCTCTCCCTGATAGTTCATTATTAGCATAAAGAAACAAGTGATTTTTATATATTGATTTTATAGTCTGCAACTTTACTAAATTTGTTTATTAATTCTAACAATTGTGTGTGTGTGCATGTGGAGTGTTTAGGGTTTTCTACATAAATAATCATGTCATCTGCAAATGATGACAGTTTCATTTCTTCCTTTCTGATTTGAGTGACCTTTATTTCTTTTTCCTGCCTAAATGCTCTGGCCAGGGCTTCTATTAATACCGCGTGGAATAAAAGTGGTGAGAGAGGGCATCTTCGTCTTCCTGACCTTGGAGGAAAAGCTTTCAACATCACGTTTATGGTGTTCTTGTCAAGAATGCACAACCTCAATGTAACTCTGAGGAAACGACAAACAAACCCTAGCTGAGACTTAGCCTACAGAACACCTGACCTGGCCAAAGTGCCAAGGTCCTAACCTATATGTAAAGACTGAAGAAAGGCCACAGATTACAAAAGGCTAGTACTGAAGAACAAGAAAACACAACTGCTAGATGCCAGGTGAGATTTTAGGGTTGAGTCGTGGAACAGAAAAAGGACATTACCGGGAAACGTAAAATTCAAATAAGGGCTATAGTTTTGTTAACAACATTGTACAAATATGAATGTTCTGATTTTGATCATGAAACTAATTGTGTAATATATCACCATTAGAGGAGGCTGGGTAGTGCCATGTGTGAACTCTACTATTTTTACAACTTTTCTCTAGTTCTAACATTATTTATGTAAACAAAATTTTATAAAGAAGCAGCTGCTTTATTTTTCTGAAGCTGGAGGAAGATTAAAAAATATTTTGTTGGTAGAAGAGGAACAGATATACACAAACATATAAATAATTGTCTGTGTCTACATTTTCTTTGATATGGGAAAAAGCTTAAAACATAAGAGTCCAGGTGGTGGAATTTGGTTTGGAGATGTAACTAAAATGTGGAAGAAATGTCATAGTGAACGTAAGAAGGAAGTGTTAAGATAAAAAGAATTACTGAGCAGCAGTGAGGAAATTATAGGGATTAGTTAGGGAAATTTGATAGCCAATCATCTGACACGTCCAAAAATAAGAATGCATCCCACAGACAGGTAGTGTGTCCCTCCAAAGGCCCAGGTCCCTACTCACAAGGAACTGATGATCAGAGATGGTCACACCTGTAACTAATCACAGTATCTGATAAAATGAAGCGGGTGTTAACACAGAAGTTGAAGTATGAGGAGTTAGTGATTTTCATTGAGAGTTCTGGAGAACTTCCCTAAAAGAGATGGCATTTGAGCATAAAAGAATGAGCTGGCTTTCTATAGGCAGAAGAGGGGAAGGTGGGATGAAGGGGAAGAACAGACGCCAAGCAGCAGGAAGAGCAGAACAGAGGCGGGAGGGCTGAAACTACCTGCAAGTCTAACCAAAGAACGGGGTGGGAACGATCACATTGGTAGATGAAACTGGAGTGTTGGAAGGCTATGGGACTTTGTTTTCGGATTTTGCGTTTTTCAAGATTTTATTTCTTCATTTTTAGAGAGAGGGGAAGGAAGGCAGAAAGAGAGGGAGGGAGGGAAACATCAGTGTGTGGCTGTCTCTCCTGCATCCCCAACTGTGGGCCTGTCCCGCACCCCAGGCAAGTGCCCGGACCAGAAATCGAATTGGCTACCTTTGGGTTTGCCGGCCAGTATTCGATCTGTGGAGCCATACAAGCCGGGGCAAAAGTTTGATTTTCTTTTATAGGCTCCAGGCAATAACTGAAAGTTTCTGATGAGGACTAGCATGGCTGGAGTTGTATTTTGTGTGAGATCTGTGAGTAACTTGTGTATTCTGAGACCACAGGGAGTTTTCTGGAGAGAGGAGGAGAAAAGACTGGGATTCCACGCATCCGGAGCTGGAGGCCCTGGCCCTGCTTTATGGCTGGTCCTTGTGCTGGGCGTGGGGAGATGCTGCCCATTAACCCCAACAACCACTGAAGTCGTGAGGGAGAGCCTGGAATCCACACTCTCTGTGTTGAGCTTCCTGAGGCCCCAATCTGGGGAAGGCAGCCCGGCACTGAGAGAGGTCACACGGTGACACCAATCTCAGTCAGGGAATACCATTTGGATGAGGGCTACCTGGGGGGAAACACGGAGACTAGAGAGACTTGGTGGCCAGGGTCCAGACCTCAGAGAAAAGACAGAGCAACGGTCAGACGGAGCCCAGGTCAAACAGGATGAGGCCAAGAGAGGACCGGAGCTCCAGCTGGGGAGTCGACTGCGGGATAGGGAGCGAGGCAGAGGTCTCGGGAGACTGCCAGCAAACTCCAGGTAGGGAAGGATGAGGAGGGCAGGCCAGCTGGGAGGCGTCTGCGTACCCCGGCTTCCTCCTGGCAAACGGAATGCCCGACTGCCAAGAAACAGGACTAATGCCAACCGCGTGGTGAGGCCAAATCTTTTCAGTTCTGGGTATTTTATCTCGTACACCCATGAAGTTGAAGAGCTCAGATCGAATCTGCCCTCCCTCCCCTCCTAGGTGATTGCAAATTATCAGGTGCTTTTAAGAGCTTTGTAACTTACAGTGACTTTTTTCCCCTGTTGGCAAAACATAATATAAACCTATCTCTTCAAAAGATGATTTCAATTTTTAAAAATCACTCTTTAATAAATAAGACTTTAAAAAACTTGCTGCATGAGTTTTGGGGAAAGCCCCACCAACATAATTTTATTTTTAGATAACACCTTAGAAGGGCTACAGTATCGTGGCCAAGAAGAAATGAAACTTGCAGTCAGATTTTGTGGGAGAGGCGTCATCTCAAACAAATCTCTAGTCCCTTCTTTTTCAGAGAGAAACACCAAGTTTTAAGGTGTTTCTGCCTTCGCGGCTTTAAGAGTCCATTCAGAAGAAAAGACAGGCGGTGTTTAGAGCGAGAGCAGCAGCCAGGAGTCGGCAAAGGGAGAAGAGAAAAAGCAGAAGAAGAAAAACTTCTTAGGGAACGGAGGGCACCACCAATTGTTCCGAGTGTCATAGGAGAAACTGGATAGACTCGGGAACCCATTCTATTATCCAGGGGGTGCTAAGTCCTCCCTCACTAAGCAGCGGCCCCCACCCTGAGTCACTGTGTTCCAAAGCTGAGGAGCGGGGATGAGCCCGGGGCTCCGGCTCCAGGAGATGCTGCTGCGCCTCGGTCCCCAGTCACCTTGCTAGAAGGGGTGCGCGGGCAGCGAGCCCACCCGCCCTCCGATGGGGATGCTACCGGCCTGGACGCACGGTCCCTTACCTCTCGAATCTGTCTTCAGCTGTAGTAAATGTCCCACAAAAGGGTAGAATTTCTCGTCAACGACCGGGAGCGACTTCATTTTCACCCATATCCGCCTGTAGCTCGCCAGCGTCTGCAGGAGTCTCAAGATCGCGGCAATGCCAGCCAGGGAGACGGCGCTCAAAGCGCCCCAGAGCAGCAGCTGTTGGCCGATGTGCACCAGCCACTGTGCCATCATGGCGCCAGTCGTTAGCTACCTGCGGGGACTGAGATGTAGGGCATCCAGGCCAAGGAGTGATCCAGGAGCTTCCTTTGGCTGGGGGGCGCGGGGAGGAGTCCCGAAACTCCCGGAGGCGGGTTCGCAGGGCGAGCCCGTTGCGGGAGCTTCTGGGAGCGCGGAGTGGTGGCGCAGGGCTAGTTGGCGTCCTCCTCCCGCCGCACCCCGAGTGAGCTGCAGCCAGTAAGCACAAGCCCCGAGACCCAGAATCGGGGACATTCTGTTGCCAGGGCCACCCTGTCGCTGGGGACTAGGGCGGAGCCTTCCAGTCCCTCCTGGGAAAGCAACGGGGCGAAATTAGAATTGTGCTGGACAAAAGCTTACGCGAGGCGCACGGCTCTGTGAGTGGTTCAAGCAGAAAACAAAAGCCCAAAAGACCATCTCTGAAGACAGACTGTGCTGAAAGTAGACAAAGGCACCTGAGTGGAGAGCAGCACGGAAGTGATGTTTAAGGCAGTGATGAGTAGAGAGGCGCGTTGGGGCCAGGGTGGGCTTATCTTCGGGTTACAGGGGCGCGGCTGCCGGACCCTTACTGTCTAAAATTGAAGTAAAGAGGTTTCGGGTTTGAAGTTCGCCTTTCGGGGGTTTTGTTTTGTTTTGTTTTCTTCCACTTGGGTACGTAGCCTCATGTGTTTCCTTGTGCAACCGGGAGCGTCTCCCACTGGCTGGCTGAGGGAGGTGGGTAGCATCCTGGCCTTGCCTCCCGGTCATTGAAGAACAGCTTCCTAGTTTGATCTAGAATAGCTTTAGGGACACCAACCTTAGGAGTACTCGTTCAAGTTTGCCCTCAGGTCACGAGAGAGCTGAGTAATGTTGTGATCCAAATATTTTCCAAAATATCCTAGAGGGCGGAAAATAAAGCCAGCACATAAGAGAACACAGGAGGTGGGAGTGGGAGAGAATGAAAGCAGTAGGAGTCACAGATGCTGGAGGATACCTTGGGATAAAGAGACCTTAATGAAGGGGCACTCGGAAAAGACAAGGAAGCTGGCCCACTGAGCCTACAGGACAAGGGAAGGATGGTGAGAAAGACACCGCGGTTCTGCCCAAGGAGAAAACCATGCCTCGGACATTCTTCCAGATTTTTTTAAAGTCACCTGTATGCACTGACATGAAAACAAGTTCATGAAATAGTGGGGGGGGGGGGAAGGTCGCAGAACACAGTATATAAGGTGATGCCATCTTTGGGTACAAAACGTTTCTCTACAGCTGGACTGCCGTGTGGGAACAAAAACACAGGTCCACTTCAGGCAATGGCCCTGCAGAAGAACTTATGACCGTTACAATATTTCACTTAATCTGCTTAAGGCTTTTTACTCGTATTTAATGTTTTTAAGTCTATCTCATGGGCTTCAGTTTTCTTCTCTCTAAAGGTCTCTTACAGCTGCAAAGCTATGGGATTTGTATCTGACGCTCTTCTACTCTCCGGGGACAAAACAAGAAATACATCAGGGCTGCCCCTAAGGAGTGGAGAAGGGGGTTGGGGGAGTGATTCGGGCAGCAGCAGACAGAAGCAAAAAGTGCTCCAAAGCAGGAAAGGGTATGATGCTTTCCAGAAACTTCGGGGAGGGGGTGGGGCTCCTGCTTGGAGCACAAGGTGCCTCCTACAGTCTGGAGCCAGCTGTAATAGAACTTGACTACCAGGCTTAGAAATGTTATCTTTACTTTGAAGGTAATTTGGGGATGAGGAGGAGATTGCTGAGGATCTTTGAAAAGGGCCAATAGAACAAAAGCCTATCCCTTTGTTCCCTGCGTCATCCTTCCCATCCTATTTGTTACCAGATAGGACCCTCCTCACACTGCCAGGGAAGCTCAGATGAAACAAACCAGTCAGATGGCAAAGCATCAGAGAAACCTGTGGAAACACCAACCTCTCCTGGCAACACCCTACTTTCCTGGCAACAGTGTTCCAAGTGTTGCAGTAGGGTGAACGCTGTGGCAACATCTTACTCTCCTGGCAACAATGTTCCCAGTGTTGCACCTGCGCATGGACACCCTGAGAGGTAAGAACACCCTGCGTGGGAAGCATGACATAGATAGTCCACCTACACTTGTGACCGCTGTGTCAATTTCATGGAGCTCAGCCAGCTGAGCAGGAAGCTGGCTCCTAGCTTCCTCTCTTCGAGATTCATGCTACATGAAAGGGCAAACCCCTTCCCAGCTTCGAAGACCTGTGTTCCTCTCCCTTGCTTGGAATACATGCTTTGGAAAGTTCAAGTCATGGACAGAATATGTCATAAACCACAGAAGGGCTTCGTAAATGTTAGCACTTCGATTTCCTTAAATGTTCCATCACTTGGAATGACTCTCAATATGAAAAAGATATTTAATTTAGATTGGAAAAATAAATTCAGGCTGAATATGGAACTATCTTATTTACAAACTTATACATAGAAATTATCAGGATAACAGGAAGCTTTGTCAGTTGTTGTTGAAGGGCCAAGATCAGATAAAGTGCAGTTAGGATCACTGAAAATTACAGTTTTATGTAACGGGTCAGCTTCTGTGTAGCTGACCCGGGTCATACAACTAGAACATAGAATCACACTGTATGTACTCTTGCATCTGTCTTCTGAGACTCAACATTATTCCCATGAGGTGACTCTATAGTGCTATGTCTAGTATTTTTCCTTATTTTTCATAGCTGTGTTTTATTTCATTGTTTGACTATCCCTCAACTTATTATCTATTTTATGACCAATGGCTGCTTCAGCAATCATCCTCATATATATTTCATTTCATATATATACATATAGATCCTTTTAATTTTGTTTCTATGGAGAATCCTGACTAATATAACCATTACATTTATTCCTATTATTTGATGTTTTTGAGGCTAGTATAAATCACATTTTTACATTTCATTATATATCACTGTCTAATTGTTGTTAGTATATAGAAATGCAAGTGAATTATGTTGACCTTGTATTCAGTGAGCTTGCTACAGTCACATATGGATTTTTAAATATGTAGATTACTTTGGATTTTTTACCTATACAATGAATTTTTTGTGAAGAACAAATTTTTTTTCTTTCCAATATTTAAGACCCTCTATATTTTAATCTTACCTTATCGGGCTGCCTTGGATGCCCTGTAAAATGATGAGTAACTTTGGTGGCTAGCAAGAACTTTTTGCATTGCTTCTGATCTCAGTGGGTATAGTTGAACATTTTACCTTTAGGTGTGAAGTTGGCTGGAGGATATTTTTCCTCTAAGTACCCATAATCAAATGATAATTATTTCCTTCTTTTCCTAGAAGATTTTTATTGTGAATAAGCTTTTTCAAAGGGCTTTTCTCCATCTGTTGAGAAAATCCTATGGTGTCTTCTCTTGACCTCATTTGTTCATTGATTGACTATTTCTCATGTGGTAGGCCAAACTTGCATTCTTGGCATGGATCTACTTTGGATGATATATTGCCCATTTCACACCTGATGGATTTGATTTGCTACTCTCTTGCTTAGTGTTCAGAGATGAGGTTGTCCTATAACTTTCTCTTTTTTTTTTTGGTAATATTTTTATCAGGCTTTGTATCAAGGTTATACTAACCTTTCAAAATGACACTCTATTCTCTTAGAAAAAAATTATTTTGGTGTCATTGATGCCACATTTTCCTCAAATATTTGGAAGAATTAGCCATGGAAGTCACTAGGGCTTGGAGTTCTCGTTGAGAAAAGGACTTTCATCATAAATTTAAGTCTGTAATAGATATAAACCTTTGCAGATTTTCTATTTCTTCTTTGGTGATGTCGTATTTTTCAAGGAATTTAAACATTTCCTCTAAATTATCAAATCAAGTCATAGTATACTGGTTAAATTTTACCATCTGTAAGATCAGTAGTGATATGCCCAGTTTTATTCCTTAAACATCCTCCACCCCTTGACTTCAAAGATTCCACATTCTCTTAATTTTTATTCTCCCTCACCAGCCATTTTTCCTCAGTCTGCTTTGCTGGTTCCTGGGCACAGCCCACACCTCTGGATGTTCAAAGGCCCGGGGCCCAGAATGCTTTTCTTCCCTGCTGCTTTATACTCACTCTCTTGGTCCTCTCATCCATTCAGTACTTAAATCCTGTCTGTGTGTGGAAACATCTGTACTTCTGGTCTATACCCCGTCTCTAAACCCCAGGTGCAGAGGTACTAGATTTGAGAGGTACCTTCAAATACCCCCACATCTCTACTGAGGCATCTCAGACATAACGCGTCCCCGCATGCTTCTAAATGTGCTCCTTTTGAATTTTCTCCGATTCCAGGGAATGACACCCCCCATCTCCCCAAGTGTTAAGCCAAAGCCTTGGAGTCCGTATTGATTCTGTCTTCAGTTACAAGTCACATCCAGTCCCGCAATGAACCCTGCTGACTGGACTTCCAGAACAAATGCAAAGTCCTGTGACAGCTCAGCAACAGGACTGTCACTGGACTGAGACAGTGACTCCTGGCAGGCTGCACCCCTCTGTGTTCAACACTTTTCAGTTGCTTCCTAGTTCAGATGACGTTCCATGTCCCAGGCCAAAAAGGATCTTAATAACGCAGCCCTTATCGCTTCACTGAGCTCATCTCCTGCTATTCTGCCCCTTGCCAATTCCACTCTGTGTCCCAGTGGTCTCTCTGCTGTTCTTCACATCTCCAGGTGTGCTCCTGTCTTAGGCCTATGTGTTTTTTTCCTGGGTTCGGAATTCCCTTTTTTACATCTGCATGGCTTCTTACCTCATCTACTTTGCATCTTTGCTCAAATATTACCCCTAGATGAAAGCTTTCCCTGATGACTCTATCTGAAGTTGCATCCCTGTTTTAGGTTTCTTTACAGCTTTTGTTGCTATCCCACCTTCTATTATGTTTTTATTGATTTATTGAAAACGATGACAGTAAAAATATAGTACTCAAATGATTTATGATACTAAAAAGTCGATTGTCTCTTCCACTGGAATCTAAGTTCTGTTAGGGCAAAGATTTTATGTTGTTCAGTCCCATGATTAGAACAGAATCTTAACACAAAGAAGGTGCTTGATGAATATTCCATGAAATAATAAATCCGAGATGATCACCACACAGGAGTGTAATCTGAAACAAAGAGGAAATTGGAGAACGGATAAAGGAGTTAAAACTCTCACAAAACCCTGGCTGGTGTAGCTCAGTGGATTGAGCGTGGGCTTGCGAACCACACGATCGCGGTTTGATTCCCAGTCAGGGCACATGCCTGGGTTGCAGGCCAGTTCCCAGCAGGGGACTCATGAGAGGCAACCACACATTGATATTTCTTTCCTTCTCTCCTTCCCTTCCTCTCTAAAGATAAATAAATTTAAAAAAAACTCTCACAAAGATACATAGATATATATTTTGAATTCATGGGGGAAATTTTGCTCTGTGGTTAGAAATAAATTAGGAAAAACCTGAGTATTAAAAACTGCAGAATAGAAAGATATTTACACAAATTATATAAAAATTGGGAACCTTAATAAATTTTTTAAAACTCTTTCAACACTTTATTAAAACTTAAGGAGTCAAAAATCCTCAACAATGATCTATAGTCATAAAACAGTAAAATTATGATATATAAATGATTTATATCACAAAATATACCTCTTAATTGGTATGTTAATTATTCTAGTTCAAAGTAACATCAATATGGATACTTCCTCTTCTGTTAAATTTATAAAATCTAGCAGTTTTATGGTATTTTACATATCTTTGTATTACTTTTAAATCCCTTCATTCCTTCTTTGCTTTTGGATAAATTAACAGACATTTTATTAATGTAGTCACTAACCTTAGTTTAAAAATTGATCGCAGGAGTAATTTAGTTTGCATTTTTCAATTTTCCACCAAGAAACTTTAAGACGACTAATTTAGCAATGATTAGCATGAAAACACTGCCCTAATTGTTTACCTAATCAGTTCAAAAAGCGCCATCCCTGATATAAAGATTACTTGCTAACCTCTAACCCTCAGCTAACCTGTGAATGGAGCGCTGTCTTGAGCACAGGTGCGAGCAGGTCTTTTCAACTCAGTGGCACAGCCGTGTCTTTTCCTTACGTCCAAAATGGTACCTAACTTCCAACTGAAAATATTCAGAAGCTAATGCATCACTCTAATTGGTTCTGCTTTTCAAATTATTTTTTTCCAATATATGTAAATAATAGTACTTTTTGTTGGTGTTGCAAAACTCCAAAGCCAAATAAAACAAAGCTGCCATAAAATCTATTCAATGCTTCTCTATGTGAAAACATAATAATTCATTTTGGATACTTTCCTGTTAGTATAGGCTGCATAGCAACCTCTTCTCTTCCAAGAAGTCTTCTGGGCTGATTAGGGAAGGACTTGGATGGTTCTTAGAAATTAGCATAAAATAGCCTGAGCGGTTTTGAAAGAGCCAGGTAGATGGCCATGGCACATTTAGCGGTAATTACGGACTGGAGAGCACTTCAGTAGAGCCCCTCAGCTACAGGGGCTGCAGACCACATACTGTCTAGAAATTCCTCGTGTTTGACAGCTGCCAAATGGAGACTGATATTTTCTCTTGAGCGTCTTTCTAGCTAATCTTTAGGGGCAGTTAGAAAACTGTGCATGTTACTGAGCATTAGGAATACTTCCTAGAGGCATGGAGCTGTGGGCATCCAAAAGAGCTACAGACACAGTGACTTCTCTAGCATTGCCTACTCCCTGGCATTGCCATCACTGTAGAAATTCAAGTCCAGAATGCAAAGGAAAAAGTGTCGATCACAGGCAGGCCGCCTCTAAAGCCATTGCTGTTTTGTCACTCTGTGATAAAGGACAACACTAATTCCAGTCCCAACACACTTCTTCATTTCCAGGCATCTGTCAAGGGGCAACGATCCTGTCTTCTTACCACCAGAAATACGTCTGAAAATAATTGATTATACATTTATAGGAATATATATGTAGATCTATGTAAAGTTTCCTTTCGGGTTAATAAAATTAAATTGATAAAATATAATGGTCTGATAGAAAAGAAGACATTATGCAAAGTTGAGATCTGAGAAGATCAAAATGAGCCTACAGGTTTAAACTACTATAAAGGAAAACAACCGGGAGAGAAGAGAAGGAGAAATGGCGTTTGAGAGCCTTGCCTCTGAAGGATCATCTCCTCTATTCCATTGCCTGGATTACTGTCAGCCAGGAATACAGGCTCCGCAGAAAAGCAAAGCAGGGCAAGAGGACAGAGAGAGGAGGGCACTGCTGCTTTAGACAGAGGGAGGGAGGAAGGTCTTGTCCACAGGGGACGTCTGCGGAAAGGTCAGGCTGCGATGAGATGAGGAGCGTGTGCTGCAGACCCTTCCCTCCGACGGATGGACTCTTCCATTGTCAACAATAAAGATGAAACCGTATGCAACATCTTTTAATTATGTTTATGTTCATAATCAAAATCAATCGACGGGCTTAAAAAAACAATAAACAGAGGAGACTTCTAAATGGAGTGCCTGAATTTGAACAGGAAAACCAGCTCAAGAAAATCAGCTTGGGCGACTGGGCCACTGTCATCCCAGAGAGAGGTTCAGGACTGAACTACAGACGACAACTGGAGCAGCCTGAGTCTCTGTCACACCAGCACATGGTGCCGAAGACGACTTGGCTATTTTCTAAAGAAGGAAATAGTATCTGTTAGCGACTCGGATTTTGATGGCATTAGTTATGGAACAAGACCTACCTAAGAATAGGTCAAGGCAAAGTTATAAAATGGCATATTACTAGAAAATATACTCTCATATATGAAGCAGTAGGTGAACATGTATGTTGATTATGTGTATGTCTGTGTATAATTGATAAAATGATGAATTATAAACAGGTATTGGATTCTTCCGAGCAAAGCCTAAAGATCGCATATTAGAATGTTTCTGATAAAGATTTGTGAGTCTGACTTGCATTCTGTTTGTGATGCGGAGTGTTCAAAATTAACCTGTTTGTCTGCATTTCTCTCAGATAGTTTAATATCTCAGCCCATCGGGCCAACAGATACAAAATGTAACACTTGTCCTTCCATTGCTCCAGTGGTGGATGGGAGCCTCTGAATAACCCCACACAGCGGCGCTGTAGTTCTGGCACAGTGACATCAAGACGCCACCTGGAATCTCTTTCTTACAGTCCAAGTTGTCCTCTGAAAAGATTTAGATGGATACTGGGAACCTGAAACACCAACCAAAAGAGTAATTCTCATTAAAATGTTAAAAATCCCAGTTTGCCAAAGGATTGTTTTGTATATCCCATGCAGATGATATTTTTTAAAGAAAAAAAAATTATTTTAACATCACCTTTACAGAAACCAGAAATCAGCCATACGCAAAAAAACTGCCATTTGGGATTTGGGGTCCCGAGAAGAAGGGAAGGTGCTCTTCCCCCACAAAGCCACGTGTCCCCCGGAGCCGCTGGGTTTCAGGAACCGCCTCCCTGGAGATGGACCCCTGTGGTCCAGGAGGCTGAGTGTGGGGCTCGGGCAGCTCAACTGCTTCACCAGGTGGAAGCAAAGTCAGCTGCCTTCCTGCTGCTAGGGACACCCCATCAGCTCCTTCTCTCTTTTTTTCAGCCACAAAAACAGTATGTTGATAAGTTAATAGCTCCAGATGCTTTCAGACTTGGCAGCAAAGGTAGGGAAGAGACTACATGCTTGCTTGTCAGAGAAAAATGAAAATAAATCCTTAGAAACATAGAAACACCTTTTTAATGTACCCTCACTCCCTTCTCTAGAAATAAAAAAGGCCTCCGACCATCAGGAATAGTTGTCACAAGTGATAGAGAAGAGACTGCACTGACTTACTATTGAGTGAAAAATTAAGAATGCAGAGTTCAAACAAATTCCGTCTCCTAGCCTTTGCTCCTGTGCACACAGCAAACTAGCCAGCCTCTCCACTTGGCATTCTGCCGTCCACGTCTCTGATACGAAATGGATCAAAAATCCTCAAAGATGTTTGTCCCTCTTTCAGTCCCGTCCACTGAATCACATTCACCTGCCTTCACTCCCGCTCCCTCATATTCCACAGGATGTTCCTCCTGACCCAGTGGCCCTGCCTCTCCAGGAAGGCTCTGGGCCCCTTTGCCCACCTGCGTATCCAGGTGGGTGGCTCTGCTCACCACTCCCATAACCCTTCTCCATTGTCCCCACTAGGCTGAACCTTCGTTCCTTCAGGCACAGACCAAAACATCCATGGTGTCTGAATCTCTGCCTTTAGCCCAGAATTTGGCATATGTGCAAGTAGTTAGTACATTGTGATTTATTAATAAACAACCTTGGATGTCTACTTTCCCCTTGACCATAGATAATTAAATTAAGAGTGATACCTGGTAGTGCAGCATGGCCACCCTTTAGAGGAAGGACTGTTGTCACTGACCATGACAGCTAACGGTGCTAGGGAATGTATAAGGGGAAAAAACAAAACACACAGCAGCCTAGAGTTATGAAGCATTGGGGGAAATTCTCCAAGGGCTAAAGAACCTTTGACACCACTCTGCTATAGAAGGGCTGGTGGACACAGTCACAAACCTGTGTTCTTCCAATGCTTACATCTTGCTAAATTTATTTTAAAATTATAATATATGAAGTATTTCCCTGAGAACAACAAATTATTTTTTTTACATTTCAGATCATAACGCAGATGCTCATAATTGTTGAGCAAAGAATGTCTGTCTGGCATGTAGTGTGTTCCTCTCCAAACATTCTTCCAATGATTATAAAAGGAGAAACTGAGGCCCAGAGAGGTTGTGGCACACGGAATACAGCTCAGCAAGTAGGTGGCAGAGCCGGGCTGGAGACCGAGAGCTGATTCCAGAATGGCTCCGCTCACAGCGATGCCATGCTGCCTCCTTGGACAACAATGTGGGTTATCATTTGAAAATGAAGACATCATTGACTTACATTCAGACTACATACTTTATTCTTCAAAGAGCATACTTCTCTATAAAACTCTACATTTAAAATAATTAGAATATATGTATTAATTTTATTAACCATTTTTATAATTAGATCTTCAGAGAATGGAAGCTTTGGGTTTCATTTAGAAGAAAAGCATGAAACTCTATGGCTGAAAGAGACACTAATTTCTCATAAGACTCAAAAGGCAGCATTTTCCTTTTTCATGAGGGTGAGGCCCTAAGTTAATTAAGGGCATTTAGGCATCTTCCCCTTGGTGACCAACAGCAGCTTATCTTTGGGGTTTTGCTCTTTGTAGAGATTTCTGAGGTCTGGCTGTGGATCACAAACACTTAGCATTTCTCTGACATGGTCAACAATTCTATCAAAGTAGACAGTCTCCCATCTCTCTTTCCAAAACGTGCAACCTCACCAATTACGTCACTTTATTTATAGACTGCGAACACTGACCTGTCAGGAAACCTTGACTCGTCCAGGTGTGACCAGCAAATCCAACCAGTGTCAGTGAACCTTTCCGAGGTGTGTCTGACTGTTAGAAGAACAATAAAATAAGGGATGAGTTTGATTGTTTCAGATATTTTTTCCTTGTGTGATGTTTAATCAAAAGGTTTTTTTTTATATTCAATATCGTTGTATTAGTTTCAGGTGTTCAACATCGTATTTAGACAATCGTATACTTTACAGAACATTGCCCCGGCAGTTCCAGTGCCTGCCTGGCACCCCCCACAGACACAACAGAATAACATTATTGACTACATTCCCTGTGATGTACTTTACATCCCCATGACTATTCTGTAACCGCCAATCTGTACTTCTCAATGCCTCCACCCTACCCAGCCTCCCAGCCCCTCCTCTGTGGCAACCATCAATCGGTCTGTTCTCTGTATCTGAGTCTGTTTCTATTTTCTTTGTTTTATTTAATTTTTCTTTAGATTCTACATCTGAGTGAAATTATATAGTATTTGCTTTTCTCTGACCAACTTATTTCACTTAGCACGGTACCCTCTAGGTCTATCCATGCTGTTGCAAATGGTAAGATTCCCTTCTTTTTTATGACCGAGTAATATTCCATTGTACATATGTACCACAACTTCTTTATCCACTCATCTAATGATGGGCACTTGGTTGGATATTTTTAGAAAACCAAAGTATGGTTAACGGAGAACGTACCCGAAAGGTATGGGTGGTGCTGGGCCGTGAAAGCTGTTCTGTGGCCAGGAGTCTTTCTTGACGAGGTGATCGGACTGTATTATCAGGTACTGCGCTTAACACACAGTGTGCGTGCCTTCCTCTGTACTGCATGAAAGATAATTTGTTCTCTTTTAAATGAAATGCAACCCTTTGAAAACAAAAGAAAATCCCTATCTGCTTCCTTTACTCATTTCATCATTCATGCACTCACTTATTTGAAAACTTATTTACACATGGCTAAATATTAGGCCTACTGAGCATAAATATCAAAATATATTTTAATTACGTCATGGTATTATTTAGACTGATAAAATGGTAAATATGTATTAAACCTTAACCACATCAAATTCTTAATATTAAATTATAATAAAAATGTAACTCCACATTTGTGAAGCATCAAACTTTTTTTAAAGATTTTATTTATTTATCTTTAGAGGGGAAGGGAAGGAGAGAAAGGGAGAGAAACATCAATGTATGGTTGCCTTTTGTGCATCCCCTGCTGGGAATTGGCTTGCAGGGAACTGGCTTGCAACCCAGGTGTGTGCCCTGACTGGGAATCAAACCGCGATTGTCTGGCTCGCAGGCCCGTGCTCAATCCACTGAGCTACACCAGCCAGGGTGCATCAGACTTTTTTCAAAGGTGATATTTGTCTTCTTGCATGGCTTCACTCTAAACCTCAATATTCTGAGATGAAACATGAACTCTTGCCAGTCTCGCCTCGTGGGAATAGTGCTGCTGCTGGGCTCCCAGACATGCAAGAAATGCAAAAGAAAACATTGCCTCTGTGGTTTGTTCGATCTCTAAGCCTTTATGTCTCCACAGCTGGGTCCTTCCATGTTTGATGAAATAGACACAAGCTACCAGAGCAAAGTTCGTGGTCATTACAGAATCCGATTACATGGAATACCAGCAGCACGGCTTCCCTGGACCTTTTGCAATTGCACAGCTGAGTTGATCTTGGGTGGGGAAGGTAGTGACACAACATTGCAATAAACATGGTCAATTCAGCTGCAAAAATGACCACTGATGAAAATGGCAGGGGTATTAAACCGAACTCATAATTTATGCCAGTCATTATTCAATACCGAAACATTTATTTCACCCTTATATAATTCTTGGAGGGAGAAATCACTATCACCCTTTTATAGATTACAAAACTGAGGCTCCAGGAGATTCACTGGTGCCAAATACACAGTTTGTGTAGCAAGATTCACACACACACACACATCTGCCTGTCTCCTGACCGCCCCTTCCTGCTACTTTCTTCACCACGCCATCCTGACCATCACACCCAAACTGTCTGATTTAGCTTAAGCCATATTTTTATTTTGCACAGTGCTGAATTAATCCTCCCATCCCCTATAAATCCTCACAAACCATTCAATGTTTTTATCATCTGCCATGAAGCAGATGATGGAGACCTTTTTTGTTCAAGATTTCACTTCCAAGTGCCAAGATTATATTTTCTTTGTTCGTTTGTTTTCCAATGGACTATCCAAACCGTGCACTTAATTATAATGAAATCTGTCTCACAGAAGCAGGGCGAGATCCGGGAAGGGCCACATTCTGTTCGGCGGTCTCGGAGCCTATCGGGGGTAGCCTGGTCCGTGGGCCTGGAACCAGTGGGGAGGACAGGTGCTCTATGCCAGTCTGCCTGCAAGCACAACAACAGGTAACTGAGCACCCAGGTGCCAGGCTGAGGGCAGACCTTACCACGAGCTCCTAATCTGAGCTCTTCCTCACTGGAGTCAGCTTCTGAAAGAAAGGAGCTGAATTTCAGGAAGACAAATGTGGGGAGGGGACTGACTGCCCACTCCAGTCGCCTTCTCCTTGATCTGCCGTGGCTGTCAAACTGTACTTACTGAGTGCTCAGCTCTGCCGGCCACTGTGTGGAACAGAGAGCTAGTTCCAACCCTTACGGAGTCCTCAGGTTATGGAAAACACATCAAGTAATCAGAGCACAGTGCAATGCAGTTTATAGTTTATATAATAAAGTGCTGTGGTATATGGTTTTGAAGATAAGCCCTGTAGAAATTCAGGGAATAGAGTGATCTATGAAAGAAAAATTACTTACAAACACGCAGGGCCTTGATTTGGAAAACCACAAAACTTTATGCATGGTCATAGAAGGGAGAGGCAAAATACGTTCTTTAATGCAAAACTAAAGATTGTGAAAACGTCAGTTATTTCCTACATTTTCAATAAATTTAATTCTAGGAAGTCCAATGTGACACTTGTTTAAAAAGCTTGTCAACCAGATTGTATAGTTTACTTGTCATGATGGCTGAGTACGTTTTAATTAAAAAAAAAAAAATGATGGTAGGGAACTTTCCCTTCCAGATGTTAACACTGAAAAATTAAATTGTTTTGCTCAACCACAAGACTACAGATGAATATCCTAAAAACAGATCTAATTTACTTATTCATTAATAATAAAATTGTAAAAATTCAAATAGAACCATTTTTCAACCTATCAAGTTTTAAAATACACATACTACTCAAAGTTTTGCAGCTGAAGGAAAGAAGACGGTCTTTTGTATTGTCAATGGAACCACAGATTAGTAGAACCATTCTGGGAAGAACTTTGAAAAAATGTTCAAGAGCCTTAAAAATATCCGTAGCCGTGAATCTGATAGTTTTAGTTCTAGGACTGTGTTACCAAGAAGCAATTTAACAACATCCTTACTGAGATTTACATAAAATGATGTTTACTACACATTATAATAATGAAAATATAATGTCTCAATATATAATTATCTCAATAATTATATTGCTGTAAAGTCTCAGTAGTAAATTATCACATACCTACATGATTATATTCTAGTCATTAAAATAATGCTTTCAAAAATATCTAATAATATGGAAAATATTAAGACTGCTAAGTAAAAAAACATGAAAACCTGCTACATTCAACAACAGTAAAATAATATTAATATTAAAAAAAGATTGGAAAGAAAAGAAAACATATAGGTATAAGAAACATGGTGGTAAATCTACCAACAGTTGTCATTTTTATATTTGTGTGTGTTGAGCACATAGTTGATCTTTGATTTCTACTCATATTTTTGGCATTGCCCTAATATTCCACAGCGAGCTCATGTAGTTCAATATTTAGGAAGCAAATGTTATTTCAATAAAAGTGAAAGACACAGCATGAACAAAATCACGTGGGAATGTGCAGGACTGGGGGGGTCTGTGGGTCAGAGAGAGGATGAGGCTGACAAAGTCAAGGGGGGATGAGGAGTGATGGGAAGTAGGTATGTATAGTAAAAACCATGCTCTAGTCCCCAAGGGACAAACACTGGTTTTTGGTGGGACACACACAAAAAATCTTTCTCTTTTAATTCATTAATCACAGATATAAAAATATATATCAACTGTACAGCGTATTTGTGGACTATTAAATTCCACACTCTGGGGATGAATTAGGAGAGAGGGTAACAGCACCCCGAGAATGGCAATAATGAAAAACACGTTGGAAAACACGTGTCTGCAGAGAGGGAGAGGCCGGCAGCAAAGGGGAGCGCACAGCCAGAGGCGGCCGAGCGCACTTCTATGGGGAACAGATAGGGTTTGGATGGTGGAGCCCAGGTGCCCGGGAGGAAGAGGCAAGAACCAGTAAAGCTACTGAGGTGGCTGTGAGTGAGGAATGGGTCCCAGGAAGCCCCAGGGACAACGCAGGAGGGAGTGGGGCCTTTAGAGAAGTAACAGGCAGGCCCAGATAAAGCTGGAAATTTCTGGTCCAGATGGTAAGACAAACACTGACCTATCCAAAAGCTGAATGTGGGGCTTTGTAACACATTTTGAAAAAGTCCACCATCACAGGTTAGGTGTTGGCAGTTGCTTCCGCCTCCTGCCCCTGCGGGGGGACCTTTGATGACCCCCTCCCTTGCCGAAGGCCTGTGGCAGATGGTCCAGGCAGTGTCTCCAAAGCGAGACAGCATGGTGCCAACGAGTTACCTATACAGCTAAGTGTACTGCTGAAACCAAATTCATGTTACACTCACATAGTCAAATGTTAAATATTCAAATACATGACCTACTTAAAAAAGTGTTCACGTAAATTCGACAAAGGAGGCTTTGCCTTGTCTGGAATAATCCATGAGCCCTGAGCAATAAGGGTCTCTATCCTCTGTGGCCTTTGGTGTGCCGTGGGAGACTTACAGTTTTGTTCCCTTAAGCAGCTCATCACTGTCCACAGTCGGGGTTCTCAGCCTCTGTGAGTCTGAAGGAAGGGAAGGCAGCCTCCTGTGGACTAGTGTTTTCTTGGCAGGAGTCTGCAGGCCGCGAGTGTCTGAGATTCGTCCCAGATGACGGCGTGCCGAGGAAAGCACAGTGGCCCCGACACCCACTGATTTGTCCTCCTGGTCGTTCCTGGGGGAGGGAAATCAAGTTAGTGACCCAGGCGTTAGCCCTGGGAGAACAGGGGACATTTGCCTGTCACCAGACACAGTCTAGCGCCTGACATACTACAGTGCCTGGCTCATAGAAGATACTCCTAACTATCTGTTGAAAATAAATGGAGTATCATTTTCAACTTCAGTGAAGAATCGTTGACAGGAAAAAAAGATCTAAGTTTCTTACTGTTTATGACCAAAAGAGTATCGCCCACAAGATTAAGAATTCACAGCCACATTCTGTTTTTCTTCTTATCTGCCCCAAACTACTAGTCATCCCTTTGCGGTCGATATTAGAAGAGCGTGTTTTTGTTCTCACGCAGTGGCTGTGTCCTGCCCCGAGTGTGAGTCTCGCTCTCGCACCCTCTGTAGTCCCGGGGCTCAAGGGCGCCCCGCACAGAGAGACAGATGGCTGGGAGGTCACTGCTTACACTTACTGTGTCCTGTCAGCCAAGTAGGCAGGTCTCTGTTGAAGTGGCTTTGCTTGAATAGTCATCACACCATTCAGATCATTATAAAAGTTGCTGGAGGAGCGATGGGTCTGAGAAAAGGGACAACAATAAACATCAGAAAGCATCCAGTGGCTCAGCAATCACAAATGCCACTAGGAAAACCACACGCAAAGGGACTAAGTTGAGGAAAATTTAATAAAGGGACTGGATGTTATAAAGCTGTGGGGTGCAAAATCAACAAGGGATAGCTTAATGCCCTGAGACTCATAACAGAGGGGACGCATGAGCCACAAGGGTGGCTGCCTGGAGAAATGCGGCCAACACACTGTGCCTAGGCAGCCGGGAGAAAACCATAAGCCAGGCTTCATTCTGGTCTCATCTCTCAGCTCCCAACAACTGCTGGGCCAGGGAGCCAGCTCACGCAGCCTCCTAGGCACGCCAGGGTGCAGAAGGGACAGAGAGGAGCTGGAGAAGCAGAGCAAAGGTGGCCCAGCCCCTCCCTGGCTGGTTTGCTTTGGAGATCTTCTCCTACCCTGTCCTTCAAAGCTGCCCCCTCGGCTTCCCAGAAGCGGCACGATAGCACCAGATCCCAAAGACCTAGACTGAAATCCCAGTGCTGACCGCTTCCTGGTAGGTGATCTTGGGAAGATAACTTTGGAGTTTCAATTTCCTTATGTTTCAGTTAGGAATAATGACACCTGTTTCACAGAATGAGTACAGGAATCAAATTAGACAACTCAGGCGAGACCATGGAGTAAGGGCTCAATAATGGCTTCTCGATCCAAGCCCTTAACATGTCCAACTAGGATTCAAAACAACATTTAGATCTAGACAAACAGGATACCTGAAACTAGAATTCTCTTCTAGTTCAAGAACAGATGTAGCAACCACAGTCACACTGTCCGTATGTTAAATGGATTAAAAAGAAGTGTCGAAGGACTGAATAAAGACCTCTTATAACTACCACTAGAATGCTTTATTTCAAAATAAGTTCTATTAGTATTTACTTACACTTTCAACTGTGTTGTCCATTCACTTTATTTTAGCAATTATCCAAAAGAAAATACTTATAGAAAAACACTTTTAAAAACCATAAACAGTTATAAAAATCCCCAAATATCTGTGGAAAATGGCTTTGATTTAAAAGTATCCTTGTTTCTCAAGTTTATTTTTTTTGCCCGACATTTAAAGGTTCTTTCCTATGTTGCTCTCCTCTGCTCATTGTTATGCAGTTCATACCGCACATTTTCTTATGCTAAGTGGTAACTACTGTTGAACTGTGGGAGCTGTTTCAAGAGACCAAAAAGCACAACAAGTCGGTAGCAATTCCAAAGCTCCTTTTGAACAGCGAAAGCAGAGAAGACATGGTGAAGCCTTTCCACCAGAGAGTAAGGCCCTCTCACCTGACGTTTCTCTTCCCAACCACTGCTCGCTGAACTGCGTGCCCTACCCAGTCCTTTCAATCTTACAGACTTTCTGTTGATTTGCTCCTGTGTGAAGTGCCTTAGTTTGGGCCTCTGCCTTGGGTGTCCCCCCTTTTCTCTTCAGCGCACCCAATCTTGCCTGTTGTCCAGGATTTAGTTAAGTCTTACTCTGCTTTGTCAAAGGTATGCTGTTTTTCCTTTGAACCCTACATCATTATGAGCAATAATTATTATCTAATTATTATAGAATGCCGTATAATAATATGGTATAATAAAAATTAGCATCTAATGACAATAGTAAAACTAACATGTATTGACTGGCTACTCTAATGCTTCATCTCTTGCAGATTCCTAGATCCCATCGATCAGGGTGCCAAACTCATTTTCACCGGGGGCCACATCAGCATCACAGTTGCCTTCAAAGGGCCAAATGTAATTGTAGGACTGTGTAAATGTAACTACCCCTAAACAGTTCATCGAAAGCTCAGTGCTGCCGCTGGGTAGAAACAGGGTGCCCAGCCAGATAAAACACGGTGCCCAGCCAGATTCAGCCCACGGGCCTTGTGCTTGCCACCTGTGCCTTAGATAACGAAGCTCAGGTTTTGAGCGAAAGGGACTTACTCATGATCACAAAGTTAACGAATCGTGATGCCAGGCTCCAAACCTGCAGTCTACACCCAAAGCTCAGTCTGTCATTCACCCCACTACCCACTATTGCCTTGTCTTGTGTGCATGCACGTAAGTGTGGAACGGTTTGGCACGGCTAGACCCCTCCAGCTCAATTAGATGGTCCTTGAGACCAGGAACCCTCTCTTACCCCTTTTCTCTGCTCCCCTACACAAGGCAGACTGTGCAAACATAAAGTCCCAAAGCCTCAGCACGACTGAAGGTCTCCCAGGAACAAGCCACACTTTCCAACTGGGTGTCTGAGTAAGAACACACTCCAAGAAAAATTTACTGAGTAGGTTAGTTGCCAGGTTCTGTGTGAGTAGCTCTGACTTATTGACGTGGTCTTATCCTCACCACAGTCCCTTGGACAACACAGTATTTTCTTCATTTTACAGATAAGGAAACTAAAGTTTAGAAAAGTTAAACAACACATCCAAAAGCTCTGATCTTGCCACAATGCCCCTGCTGGTCCCAGTATCCCATTCTCTTAACTCGAAATCCAATCACTGCTCCCTAAATACACCCTGTCTCTCATTTCTCCACGCCTTTGCCTGAAGACTTCCTACTCCTTTGTTCTCCAGCGACACTTTTTTACATATTGCTCACAGAACGAATGTACTAAATCTGACTTGTTTTATACTTTTCGTTTTACTAAGCTGGGGACTATGATTTCTTTACCTACAAATCTCTTCAAAACACCTACTGTACTTCATTCACATAATGCAAATTCAGTCAATGTTGAATGAACCCAGCATATGCTCACTGACCGATTGTCACTTTGGTGGGAGGAGAGGAGAACATTTGTAACCTAGAAACAGTGAGGGAAACATTTTTTTTGTCTCCAAACATCTGTCAGCTCAAAGCCGATGCAAAGTTCAAATCTGAGTGCCCCCACTCTATTAAAGAATACGGTGGTTCTATGAACATGCGCGAAATAAGTATTTTTAAATGTCGGTCTTGATCACAAATGGGCCCCAACAGCTTGATAATAAAATGTAACAGGACAGCAGTCTTGACAACTGAAGCCAAAGATATAAAAGCCAAAGGAAAGCAAGGGAGACTAATGGGAAAGTGTTTACCGGAAGTGGGTTAGGATGAGGAGCCAGGGAGATGCTTCGAGTTTCTGAGCTTCTGGAAGGAGGGGCACTTGGTACCTCAGTGGCCAGATGGGAAACAAGCACCTGCGGAGATTTAGTCTCAGCTGCTTTCAATTTTTCTTTCTTGGTTTTTCTTCCTGTGTCAACAGAAAATGCAAGATTGTTCAGAAACATGTTACATCTAATCTGTGTACTTAAAATTCACCGTTCAAAGAAAATGTTTATTCTTGAGTCTGCCATGAGTCTACCACGGCCACGGAACCTTGCTACAGAGAGCAGAGATGCCATCGAGCGGGGGGCTGCTGTGGCACTTCTTCAGGCACACATAAGGAAATGCCTGTCACTTCAGTGTTGGTCAGAAAAACAGAGATTATATTGTGAAGCAAGGAAGATTCTTGGTATTTTATGATATCCTATCCAATCCCTTCGGTTGGAAAAAATAATATTTAACATGTACCCTATATATACCCATGAATATATACACCCTATTATACAAAGTGATTACATAATACCAGTCTACCAGTTAACATTTCTATGATTTGCTTCTGCTCAACTGCAAGTAGCTTATTTAGAAAACATTTTATAAGGTTAAATGAAGTGATTATTAAATTATCCATGTTTACATGTTACTTCACAAATAATGTTAAACACAATTAAAAACCAATATCCCATTACTAGAGATTAGTTAGATGAGGTTTTTTATTATCATAATACATTTTTTACAATGTGACCTCTAGCTTCTTTCTTGTGTATACCTGTGGGGGATTTTCCCAGAGTACATATATATTATCTTTAATACCCAAAAACAATAACGTCCTTTTTGAAATGATTAAAGATCACTTGCGAGTGAAGGCGAACACGCACGTTCCTCTCACCTGGAGCACGTCCTACGTGTGGCCAGGCCAGGGGTGGGGCACAGCGCCGAGAAACCAGGGACTTTTTTCATTGGGCGAAGCACTGCTATAGATAAGTACCTGTGAGCGCCACTTCCCAGTTCTTCCGAATCAGCTTCTCCAATATTTCTACCACGCTTCTCCAGACACGATCGAACACTTCTGCAGCCACGGCATCTTTGATACAGTCATGCGGGGACACAGGCGGAAGTCCGTGTTTGTGCCACGGCCTATAACGGTGAGCGGATTTTTGTCCGGGGCGTTCATCGTCACTGAGGACAAAACCCATTCCAGTTACCGAGAGACTCCATGGTTGAAGGTATTAATGCCAGCTAGCTAGCTAACATGCATGCATAGATGTACACTGTACATATAGGTAATGGCATTCTTTTTGAAACACACTGTTAATTTTCAGTGTACCAATTTTCAACCACAAGGCAAATTTTTATATAATGTTTGTGGCTTTTGTGTAAGAACCCAATAGGCGTTTAGGGAAGAGACCGGCCCATCTCCTTTGCTCTTCTGGGTAGCCAAGTCCCGGGACCAGAGCTCCTGGGCACCAGGCCCACTGAGAGCTTGTCCATCGGTCACCAGCATGCTGCTTTCTACCTCCATCACATCGTCAACAGGAAAGGGACACCCTCCCCCAGCACGAGCATTTCCTGCCGGGGACATAAAACCTTGGGAGAGCATGTTACTCCCCAAAGCACGGAAATCTTTTGAATACGTGAAATATACACAAAGCACTACCTGAGTGTGTAATCTAAATAAACACCAACTACATGAATATTGTTAAACTAAGAAGTTAGTGTCAAATGAAATTGTATTCACTCTTCTTTCCGGTCGAAAGCGAAATACTCTTCAATCTTCCCTTCCACGTCATAGACCTCTTCTTGCAGGGATGAACACGCCATGAAGTCGGCCACCCCTGTGCCCTCGGAACCTGGCTCAGCTGGGGCTGCAAGTGCTGCTGGGAGTATTTGAGAGCCAAAGATGCACAACCTACGGGAGAAGCAGGTTCTCCATGAGAGCTTATAGAAGTTCCAAAATGCAAGGTTTATGTGGTTATGGTAGGCCTTTATATTATTCACAAAGCACAGAGTCCCATATTTGAAAATCAGTAAATGTTACATTTAACCAAAGTCATATCCTTAAAAGCAGCACTTTTAACACAGGCTTCGTTAAACATTTTAAGGGCTTCTTGAAAGCCTAAATTGTTCTATGAGTTTGTGTCCTCTTGGCTGTCATGAAAGGATGTCATGGCCCCATCCCAAACATGTGTGACTGGCATACGGGGCCTTGTCGAAATCAGTGGAGGGCAAAGGAAAATGGATGGGGCTTTATTTCTTCTGCTGCTACTGTCTTGGGGCTTAGGGTCCGTCTGTTTTGATTTTGCATCTAGCTCGCCTTTCAGAGAGTCTTCGGAACAAAACTTGAAAAGTTAACCCCCTGGATATCTGTACCACACACACACACACACACACACACACACACACACACAAGTCATTGTCATCATCATCAATTTAGAATCAGAAGCACTATGTGAAAATAATGCTCTGTACCTGTCCTTCAATGACCTGGAAACTTCCCAAGTGGTGGAGCCGGGGCTCACAGCTGAGACAGACATGGAAAAGGACACCTAAATGCAATTAAAAATACTTTTTGAAAGCAGCCGGTAGGAACGTACTGTCTGCTGTTGCCACTGCGTTCACCGGTGTCCGAGAAGGATTCCTGGGCCGTGGAGCGAGGCTCGCTGCACTGGAAGTGGCGGACCCCTTCATCAGTTGGCAGGACGATCTGTCTTCCTAATACTCTGCGAGGTTTTAAAAAAAGAGAGAAAAGTATATACCAATATTTTTACCTAGAAGAGGAAAAAAGGTTTTGCAATTTTAAAGGTCAAATGAAATGTTGTTTTGAGGGACTGCATAAAGGAAGCAAGGGAATGCTATTTTGAGGGACCGTGTAAGGAACATACTGGTCGGAGAAGCATGACAGGGCATCACAGAAAAACCAGAGGCTTTCAGGGAGAGGCCAGAGTGCTCATGCTGCTGCTGGAAAGACCTGAGGCCAAGTCCTCTGGTTCTGTAAGCCACTGATCGCATTCGTTTGATTGGCTGGGCAAGACAAAATACTAATAGTCACCTTGTAGGAACAGCGAGTGGCTTGAAGGTAACATCTACCAGATCCTTACCTTCAGGGTAGTGACTTTCAAGCTTTTTTACCTCCTGGCACACATAAACTCATCACCAAATGTCTGCAGCACACCAAAGAATATACTAGATATTTTTTTCAATCTGACAAAAAAAATAAGTATAATTTTGAATCATTCACAGTAGCAGACAACTACTGTTGTGTGACCCATGGTCATTTTTTTATTTGACAACCTAAAGAAAAAGAGGTCAGTGCCCCTGATGAAATAGCCAAGAACTGTGTATTTTAAAACTTCTTGTGGCAACACCTGACTATTTCATCAGAAGCACTGACCTCTCTTCCCTTAGACTGTCAAATAAAAAAATGATAACAGCCCACATAACAATAGCCACCTGCTGTGAGTGATTCAAAATTATACTTATTTTTTGTCAGATTGGCAGAAAATACAGTATTTTTTGGTGTGCTGCAGATTTTTAGTAATTAGTCTTCATGTGCCATGAGATGCAAAAGGTTGAAAATCACAGCTTTAGAGTAATTTCAGGCACACAGAAGTCCTCTATAAATGTTAACTAATACCTACAAAATGAATAAACATATACAAATGTGTAGAGTTAGCTAATGTGCCTTACAATCTTTCCTTTTTCCATCCTCCCGCCTTCCTCTTTTATCTTAGCTCTGTGAGTGAACAGTGACAGGAAGCAGGTTGGGCTCCTGGCATTTCGGTAGGTTTGCCAGGCCTGGAAAAGGAAGCACCCTCGATTAATACCTCGTGGGCATACTGTACTTTCTTAAGGCAGGAGGTTTATGAAAGGCCAGAAAGAAAAGGTAAAAATCTACTTAGTCAAGATTTGTTTCAAATGTATATAGGTGTGTTCACCAGAGGATCCACCAACATTTGTATGAGTATTCTCATTTATCTGCCCATATATATATGGGCAGATAAATGAGAATATATATATATATATAGAGAGAGAGAGAGAGAGAGAGAGGAACTTCAGATAACTGGTATGGATTTCCCCCCCTAAGTATTTTGGCTAAGTAATTGAAGGAAGAAAAGCTTCCCTTTATATCCAGTCTATATTCTCCATTTTTGACATAAAAAACAACAAATGATCCTTTCTACATAAGGAATCTCGGTGCAGTGGTAAAGTTCATCTGTCCAATCAGTGGGCAAGTAATGACTCTGCCCCTCCCCCCACCCCCACCCTGTGCATTGCTCTCAGCGCTGAGGACACCCACACGTGGCTGTCACATGGGTGCACGTGAAGGTAAAGAACGACTCCTACCCCTCGCATATCGGTTACGCAGGCCATGCCTCTCTGAGGGTTAGCTCAGTGTGCTTCTCACAAATTAAAATGCACTCCAGTGTTGGGATGTCTCTGTATGCCCTACGATGCCATTTCAAAGGATGGGAGTTCCCAGTAGAGGACGTGTGTTTTGGGGCAGGCGTTTCAGCCAAAATGTGCTCGTTGTGTGAAGCCAGTCCGGAGGGGGCAGCGCCACAACCCACTCTGGTGAACTACTACGAATGGCCTCCTACCTCAGGTGCACCGACCGCCTGGCCCACTCAGTGCATTCGGCCACTAGGTTCTGGGTCGGAGGGCTCACTTTCCCTTCAAACAGCATTTCCTCAACCTCCCAGAACAGCTGCTGTACTTTCTGTGCACTGGCTTTGTCAAACTCCTAAAACAGAAATGCATGTTCAGTTACAGGACAAGACGCTGTAGAAATACTGGCTTCATGATCAGTGACGTTTCATAATCGATGATACTCCCCCCACCCAGGATATGGAGCGTGACGTGATAAAAAAGCAGACTCTGTGGTTAGACACAAATGCCGCAATTCTTACCCTTCTGCTAGATTACGCCCCACTCTGAACCTCAGTTTCTGTAACTGTTAAGTAGAGGTCATTTCTACCACATGAGTCATAAGACCTATTCGATTTGACACAGATACAGGTATGCATATTGGCACAAGCCTTGATACACATGCTTAGACATACACACACCTACATACCTGTACACACACAAGTACGTGTATCTATACACACAGACATATGTCCCTCACACAGTGGGGGTGTGAGGCATTGAAGAACATCTGCAAAATACTAAGTATTTTTTATCTGCTTATATCACGGGAAAGGAAAATTACTTTTATAGAAGGGCCATTCACATTATTTTAATCAATGGGGGAAAAAATCCTGAGGCGTGGTTCTTAGGCTGGAGCCAGAGGACTTACTGTTCCTGCCTGACCTAAAGAGGGTCTTGCACCGAGGCTGCAGGGAGGTGAGAAAACCCGTCAGCCTTGGAGTTCTCCATGGCTGGGAGGCGAAAGGCTGCAGGGCGGGAGACCTGGCTGTGTTTTCTTTTTTTTTTTTTTTTTTTTTTTTTATTTGGTTACTTTTCAAGTACATTTTTTTTCTCTTCCCCCCTCCCCCGCCCGGTCTCCCCCCCTCCCTCCCATTCCCCCGCCCCAGTCCTCATCTCTGTGTCATTCATACTTGTTCCTCAAAATCCCTCCCCCTTTTTCCCCTTAAGTTCCCTTCCCTCTCCCCTCTGGTCGCTGCCCACTTGTTCTCTATTTCAGCGTCTTTGTTTTTATTCTGTTTGCTTGTTTGTTTGGATTGTAGACTGGTACAACCATTATGGAAAACAGTATGGAATTTTCTCAGAAAAATAAAAATGGACCTGCTTTTTGACCCAGCAATTCCACTGCTAGGATTATACCCCAAGAATCCTAAAACATCAATTTCAAAGAACCTATGCACCACAATGTTCATAGCAGCACAATTTACAATAGCCAAGAGTTGGAAGCAACCTAGGTGCCCATCAGTAAATGAATGGATCCAAAAATTGTGGTACATATACACCATGGAATTTTATGCAGCAGAGAGAAAGAAGGAGCTACTACCTTTTGCAACAACATGGATGGAACTGGAAAGCATTATGCTGAGTGAAATAGGCCAGGCATTGAAGGACAAATACCATATGATCTCACCTTTGACAGGAAGCTAAAGAATAAAACAAACTGGCTGTGTTTTCTTCCAGGAATGTGTGAACCTGAAATCTACTCCACAACTCAGAGCAACAAAGTGCATGTCAGTCTGACCCACCTGATCCGATGGCATATTCAGGCTGGTTTTCACAGAATGCTGTTCAATATTTTCTGGGTTACGCCTTCCCTCCAACTGATAATGAACTAGAGCACCAGGTGGCAGGGAGTTGAATTCTCTTTTAAAAATGCAAATACAGAGGAAAGCAATAATAATATATGCCTCTTAGGAGGGGCCTGGGTGACTGAGGCCTAGAAGAAGGCTTTCTTTCAATTTTCTCTTTTGCATTTGTTTGCTTTTGCAGCTATTACCAACTGAAAAGTAAATAAAAGTGTTTGAAAGCAACGGGAGGTTCTGGAATAATGCAAATTCTGTATGTATGAAAGTCACACGAATCTCTCTGGATGATGACGTGAAAATGCGTACCGGAGGAAACATACAATTTGGACAGTATGAAGCAATGAGTCTCAGCCCCCAAAGAGTGGGGCGGGGCAGGGAGTGGGGTGAGGTGGAGGCTGTTTATCAGAAGCGAGAGCTGCATCTCATTTAAAGAAGCTATGCATGATTCGCAGCTGACCGGCTTCCTGGGTCCCCTCCCTCCTTTGCGCATCTCTGTTGTACGCTGCAACATTCTGGGTGGAAAAGGAGGCGGTGGAGAACTGCTTTTAGAGAGAAAATGGAACACAAGCAAAGAGCAGGATTTATTACATCCAAGATGCTTCAGTAGAGGGAGGCTCCTCCCAGCCAAGGGCTCCACCAAAGGCCAGGAGCCCCCCGGGCACTTTGGGGACTGCAGAGTCAGACAGGGACCAGGCTGTCAGCAGAGTGCCCCGCTCCGGACTAGAAGCTGCCCCGCCAAGAATCCCACTCCCAAAAAGAATGAAAACCGGGCTGAAGTTAATAGTTTGCACAAGAGTTAGAAAGAAGGTGAAAGTAAAACTTCTGACTTAGAAATCCTCTAATCGTGAGGAATTTTTTACTTCTTCCCAATTTCTCTCTTATTTGAGTTCCTGTTGTCAGCATCTGTCCTGAACTCCCACCATAGATCTCATGCAAAAAAATGTATATAATACCCTGAGAGGCAGGGAAAAGAAGCAGGAAAGACAAAGCTGTCAATGGCTCAGACTCTGAGTTATAATGTGAACGGTTTTTATTTTTCCTTATATTTTTCTCTTTTTAAGTTATGACTTGTGACATGTAAATGTTTTATATGTATAACTGTGTATGTGTATAACAGGTAATGATTTTAAAAATATACCTGTGTATAACAGGTAATGGTTTTTTAAAAATAAAAAAAGTGATTCTTCATTACACACTATAATCATGAGATTATCCAAAGTATTCAGACATACATCATCTCCCCAAGAGTAGATGGAGGTCCTCTCGGTAGAAAAGCCAGTCGTGGGACTCCGAGTCCCAGACCCAGACCAAGAGCTGTGGGCTTCCGAGGGAGCGGGGCTTCCATCCGAGGAGAAGGACGAGGACTCACTGCAGGGACAAAGGTACGAGACATAAATGACATTTCCTGGGAAGACCTTGGTCTGGAAAGTGGCTGTCCTCCTCTGAGCCACTTCCTCTCTCCTTAAATACATGTGTGAATTTCACAGCACCCTGAATTTTGAAACATTTATGCAATATAATGTGTCACTCCTTTTGGTGTCCGCTGACAATAAAGCTGCTTTTCCACTTTTAGAAATCCATGGCCAGTCACCAATTCTGTGTCCCATATTCGTGACTGCCGTGTTTCGGTTTGGGGGTCTGAAGCATTTCACAGATGAATTCTTACCAAGAATATTTACCGATGGCTGTCTGCACACGTCTTGTAAAACGTGTAGGTAAAGGAGCTTCATTTTTCCCAGTGAAATTGTGTTTTCCAGATCCTTTGGACAGTCCTCTTCTGAAAAATAAATACAATAAAATATTAAAAGTGTCTATAATGTAGTAACATCATTTTATCCACTAAAGCCTTTAAAATCTTCCTTTGCCTAAAGTTGCTCCTTCCCTTCTGCCATTTCCCCCTAAAATCACATGTGTGCACATACACACCACGTATGCCAAAGAAAGCGAGGTCCAGGCTTTTAATGTTTCTGTTTCCTTAAAAGGAGGGTTGCCTTTCACCTACAGGCAACCTAATTTAAACTGGACAAAATCAATGACTATGATGTTGTCAGACCGCTAAAAGTTTCCCAAAACTCTGGACAAACACAGCCTCACGCCCACGCAGGACTTGGCAAGTGAACAGGAACTGAACTCAGGTCCCACCTGTCCTTCGAACAGGTGGCCTGTGCTTGCGAAAGCCAACCAGCACTCCAGGAAAAAAAAAAAGTCAGCAATTCCATGTATTTCTGAAATACATCAAATATTCTTGAGTCACCAAACACATAAACAGAAAACATACACAGAAAGAAGTTCCTCCAAGTTAAATAAGGTCTTCAGGCTGGCTGGTCCAAGGCCATCAGCGTTGATCATTAACTTTCAATTAGCCTCTGGAAATGCTGACTGCACTCCAGTCAAAATGCCTTCCTCATGTTTAATAGTAAACAAAGCACGTAAGTCTGTAAAAACGGACGTACTTTCTCGAACAAAGAAGTTATATTAATTTAAGATATGAGTGATTTGGGGGGAAAGCCAACTTTTACTCTTTCTAACAGGGACATCACTTTAGCATTCATGAAAGTAAAGCTTTGCTTTCGCTTTCAATTATAATGGTTCTTCACTTTCAACATCTGTATTTCTGAATGTAAATGGAGTTTTAAGAAACATTAATATATGAACAAAGTGTGTCCTTAGTTATTTACCAATAGGTACAACAAAGGGAATTTCAAAAACAAATCAATTACTATACACAGAGGTTCGCAAGAACCTCTGCCTTCCAAACATATCTTGTAGAAAAGAGAATAGAACTATATGACTTTTTCTTCTCCTTATTGCTGTCTGTCTTCAGTACAACCAAGCAATTCTGAGGATAAAGGTGGTAAAGACAGGGTACCAGAGAAAAGAACACAGGACAAGCTTTCATACTAATAAGCTGCATAACCTTGAATCCTGTTCAGCTCTTTCAAAACCATCAATTATTTACCATTTGCACATGACACAGTAACATCAGATAAACATAAAAATATGTGTGACATAAAGGGGCAATCCATTAAAATTGTATCAGACAGACCTGCTTTGACCATTAAGAAGTATATACTGGTATGTGAGTTAATTGGCTATCATTGAAAAATAATTTTCAATAACCTCAGGGTAGTGAGTCAAATAAAACATTGTTCCTTTATAGTATCTCTGTAACATCAACTGCAACGGTGGATTCGAATTTTGTTCTGCCACTGACAGGGATGTGCCCTTTGAACCAGCAGTTTCCCCTCCCTGGACGCAGCATCTATTACGTCCGTGGAACGGTGACAATCCTGTCAACTGTTTTGTGCAGTTGTTGTGAGACTGAAATGAGATCAAGCGTGTGAAGTGTCTGTGCAATCGGTGCTAGATACCTTGGCTGCTCCTTCCCACTGCCATTATGCTCAGCAAAGGCTGCCCCACGAAAACCCTGCTCTTGTTAACTTGCACCTCCCACGGCATTTCCAACTACACACCTCAGTTTGTTTTATTTCTTTAAGTTCATTTTTAATTTTTCAATTACAGTTGGCATTCGATATCATGTTTCAGGGGTGCAGCCTCGTGGTTAGACATTTCTGTATCTTACGAAGTGACCCCAAAGTGATGCCCCTGGAAAGTCCAGAACCTCCCCAGCACCACACAGAATTGTTACATGATTGGCTACATCTCCTACGCTGCGCTTCCCATCCCATGACTATTCGTACTTCTTAATCTCTTCATCTTTTTCACCCAAACTTCCCACCCACCTCCGCCTCTGGCTTCCATCAGTTGGTCCTCTGCATTCGGGAGTCTGTTTCTGTTTTGTTTGTTTGTTTATTTTGCTCTTTAGATTCCACACATAAGTGAAATCATATGGCATTTGTCTTTCTCTGTCTGACTTATTTCACTTAGCACAATACCCTCCGGGGCCATCATGTGGTCATCGATGGTAAGATTTCACTCTGTTGATGGCTGAGTAGTATTCCATCACATATATGTACCACAGCTTTTTCTCCACTCATTCACTGAGGGGCACTTAGGTTGCTTACAGCGCCCTTTAAAAATTTAGCTTTTTACTGTGATGATCTTGACACTTTATTAAATAGATTTCCTTATCTGTAGCAGCTAAATCAATGCCTGTCACATAGAGATGTTCTGTTGGTTGAAGGAACCAATAGGCAGAGACTAAATTAGTAATTTGAAAGAACATGTTTTTACTCTGTAATTACTTTGAATGTTCATGGTTAGTTCAGAAGATTACCTTGTGACTAGAGCTGAAAATATGCTCCAAGTTCAAGACATTTCTGGGGAACCCTTTCTCCTTTATAAAGAAAGAAAATTCACAGCTCTCACAGTAGCTGGTATATCCAAACAACTAGTTTCTCCCTTCACATTCCACCATATCCTACCAAGACGAATGCTCCTGCTCACTGCGAAGCGAGTGGTCGCAGGAGTCTCCGAGAGGCAGGGGTGCCGGGGTCGGGTGGGGTGGGGTGGGGGGACCGCTATGAAATGGATGCTTTGAAACTACATCTACTTCCACAGTATTTCTCCAAGTCTTTCTCCTCTGCTCTTTTCCACTTCTTCGCAGTCTCTGGACCTCTGCGGAACTTCCTGAGCTTCCGAGTTCGGTGTAGTAACATGTACACTGGACCAGAGAACGCAGAATTCTGAGTCCTGAGGAGGAGCTCACATTTGCCCGAGGCTGTGAAGCCCACAGGGACGGAGCGGGTCCCAGGACCCAGGCCAGCTAACTTGCATGTCTTTCCAGGAGTCAGATGTCACTGACATTGTCAATTAAAAACAGGATCTGTAAAAATGTACCTTTCCTTTTCATTTTTACATCTTGTTTTGGTTCTTTGGCTTCTCTGTCTTCCAACCATGCACTGTAGTGTTATTTCATGCAAAATAGTGAACATCTTGAATTCCCAGTAAACTACTGACTCCTACGTAAGCCATACGCTCTACGAAAGTGTGCAAAGCTCTACGGAAGTGTGCAACTTACGTAGATGTGTCCCAAAACATCTTGAAAGTGGTGGAATGTTCAAGCTCTTATTACATAATACATAGACATATAAGAGTTATATACTAGTTCCTTGTATCTTAGAGATGGTACAACTCAGCTTAGTGGGTACATTTAAAGCTATTCTTTTGGAGACAGGACCTAGTTTTTAGTGTCAACTGAACTGCAACAACTGAACTACACTGTATTAATTTCTTGGTTAAGGCATCAAAGTTAAGGCTGAGTCCCCATCTCCACGAGTCACTCCATTCTAGTTGTCAAGGTAATGACTCGACCATCTACTTTTACTTTGAAAAAGCTGCCTTTTGGTAGCCCCACAAACTTTGCCTGTACAAATAATCACAATTTTCAGTTTCGTATTTCTGTTTAAAAGGGCTGTCTGAAAAGAGCGCTGTGTTCTGAATGAGCTGAAATGCAAGATGATTTTCCCGATGAACTGGCCATCACGAAGCTGCCCCTCCTAGAAACCACGCTGCCCCGATTTAACGCAAGAACATCCTAGAAGTAACCTCAGCTCTCTGGACGGTTGAACAATACTGGTGAACAATCATCTCGGATGTCACAGATGCTCCTCAGAGCCGAGGAGCAACTCCACTTGGGAGGGCCGCATGAGGTCAGCACGAGAGAGTTCATGAATGGATGCGAGACAAACCGAACAGATGGATTCCAGCTTTGCAGGCGGGGCGTGGGGAGGGGCGTGGGGGGAGCACTTGGCACACAAACAGGACGGAGGACAGAGTTAATTCACTTCTCAGATCAGGACTTACCCAATCACAATCAGCCCCAGGCCTGCGCTCGAGACCCCAAGGCCCAGCTGCGCCTCTCCCGGCCCGCGCGCTCCAGGACGCGGACACATCGCGCTGACACCCCGCGGGCCGCGGGCAGCCGTGCGCTCCCGCGCCCCAGGACCCTCGGCTCCCCGCCTGCCCAGCGCTGCGCCCCTGGCCCGGCTAAGGCCGCGCGGGCCGCGAGTGGCGTCTGGAAACAGCGAGCTTCCCGGCCAGGTCTACGGGGCCCACGGGCTAGGCTGCTCACTGCAGGGCTGCCTCCCCCTCCAGATCCTGAGACCCAGCAAGGGCCAGATTCCGGTGCGGCAGGCAACGCCTCCGTCCCTTCCGCGCCCGCCCTTCCGCCCTCCTCCCCTGGTCTCGGCGACCTCCGCTGAGATCCGGCCCGGCCGGCGGAGGCCCCCAGCGCTTGGTCTTCCACGGCCTTTCGGGGCTCCCAGCCCCCACCTGCGGACTTCCTGCCCTCTGCCCACCCCCCACTCTCCCAGGCCCTAGATTTCCAGGAAAGCACAGGGTTTTCCCTTCCCCCTGCCAGAGGCCAGAGAGTTCATAACCCAGTGATTTTAGACTTGCTCGGAGGCACCCGCTCGCCCCGCCGCCCTCTCCAGGCCTCCAGTGAGCTTGGATCTTCCCACTCCTTCCCCGGGCGCTGTGTGGGTGGGAGAGTCTGTCCTGACTGGTGCTGGCTGTTCTTAGTTCTTTTAAATAGAATTGCTGAGACTTGGTATGTGCCAGATGCTCTTCTAATTACCAAGAACTCCAGGCTTAATGATGCACGAGATTTGCTTTCTTTTATATCTCGTCTTTCACCTTCAGATAGACGGTTCATCTCCTGCAGTCCAGCAACTTGTCCGCAAACCAGAGAGCATGCCTGGGTTTCGGTTTAGTAATATGTGCTCGTTCCCATCTTGGAGGCACACGGTTACAGCAGGGCCCGGTCACCAGGCTCTGGGTTGTGAGACAGCAGAATGACCAGGCCACCATTTTCAC